GTCTGATTTAATTAAGCTGATATAGGTGTTTTGTCCAAAAATCAAACGGAAGTAACGAGTTGTTTATGAATTTATTCTTCCAGGAAATCGGACTTTGCTGGGTGTTAATTATTCAAATATTGAGCTTCTAACTTTTGCCGGATCTTCGTTTGGTGTGTTTCGATTTCCATCTGTGAAAAAATCTCAACTCAAAAGCCACCGGGAAAATTCTGAACTACAAAAAAAAGTATAATTTGATGTCTCTGTAAAATCTTACACAGAAAACATTCAAGCAACGGAAAGTTTGGAAATCAACTGCCAGACGAGATATTAAGAGGTGTTTTTAACACAAATCAAATAGATGTTAGATGATCCAAATGGCGTCATTTGTATAACGTCTAATCAGTGTTAATTGTAAACACTTATATCTTGTCTAGGAGTTAATTTCCATACTTCTTATCGTATAGTTTATTTCCTCCGTGAAATGTTGAGGGGGAACATGCGGTGTATTGCTTGAATTGGATTTGTATTTTGCAAAAAGGAACCAAGATCATTCCAATGTCGCTAAGATTGTGGAACTTATTTTACTTTACAAACATTGATTGATCATCTAAACAAGTTATATCTTTACTCTCAATAAACTATGAATTCAAGACAAAAATTACCATTTGTCATACATTTTTTGCATGATTTCCGTAATGTTTGGCAAATGATTCAAGTTGCACAATCCTAGGAACATTGGAATTCTCTTGGTTCCTTTTTGCAAAATACAATCCAATTCTTACCTTGTCTGCGGGCCGATTATTGAAATTTATAGACAAATCTATAGAAAAGAAGACAGAAGAGCTATGGAGGGATCCAATTGGTGGAAGCGGATGGTTGCAATAGACGAAGGAGGTAGATAATAGACTAAGTAATGGCAACCCCCGAGGGACCTGATAGTTATTCCATCATTTTCTCCCTTAGTCCAGGAACCACTTATTTCAACCAACAGGATAGCTCCATACTCCCTACGTCTTCTTTGTCTGTCGCTTCGTCTATCAATTACAAAATCGACTCGCTAGAGGACTTTCGACGTCAGGAAATTGAATAAAATCGGTTCAGTTCAGAGTGCAGTTTATTTTTTTCGTTCCAGCAATTGTAGTTTCAAGCAGGAATCATATTGAATAATATTACGTCAGAACAGAGAGCTTGTATCTAGTTTAACCATCCGACTCACTAGCGTGCGCATCTCTCCAGGCCGGTTACTACTCACGAGGCCCTGATCTCGTGATACGCAATGATTGATGAGATCTCCCGCTCCAAGTTCACGCAAATTCACTCACACGCACGAAGGAAAATCATTGGTCATCGATGCGCGGTACCAGCGTGACGTCACGGGGGACTGGAACAAGATTGGTTCTCCGATCAAACTGCTTTGATCAAATCCTACCTTTCTCCGTACATCTGATCTCGTCGGCGGAAAAAGAGAGGGGAGAGGGTGTGCTTTTACTCGGTGTTGCAGATTTTGCAGGCCGGAGATAGGGCTCAATTATTTTCTCTTCTCGGTGAGCTTAATTATAAGGTCTATTATAAATACAGATCCATCTCATTTGCGCGGCATCAGACGTTTCCAACCTGCCGGGCTGTGTGTCTTAGTGTCCTGTGTTTCTTCCTTGTTTTCTAATTAGCTTTCGACCATGTATTTCTCTCAAGTGAGTGTTGTTTAGTTTAAATGTGATGCTGTTTTTTTGTTTGAAAATTTGACTTTCGTCGTTTTTTTTGGAATCATGCTATCTACCAACGGATTACATCACTTCAGTATATCTAGTGGACTTTAATTACAGGAAGCTTCATCATTTATTCATTCATCGTGCTTTTATTTTGATATATTTTCCATTCAGATTAGTCTGTGCATGATTCGCTTCAGCCATAAACTGATTATGAATATTTTCTTAACTCGTGAAACGCAAACAAATATTTTGCAATAGTTATTGAAATTATACGACTTCCGTATTCAAAATGTATATTTGTTGAGGAAGGTTTTCGTCTAAATCTATTGATACGGTCACTCCTCATAATTTGCTCTAGTCATAAATTGATCAAGAATATATTTTGACCATGCAAACAAAAAACAAATAGTTTGCAATATCTATTGAACTTCTATATATTTCCCTATTGGAATTCATTTATCGTTTGCTTTTCGATTCACTGAGACACTCGGATGATGTGAAGTTATCAGTACATTTTCCGAGATAAAAAATTTACTCTTTGGTTCTCTCGTTATAGTTAAGTGAACATTTTCATCTTCTCTATTATTTTTCAAACTACCTACCCCAAAATTTCGTGCTCTAACGCATCAAATTATTTGATGATGATATTCTAGTCAGAGCAAAAAAAACGCACGATGAATGGATAATTGTTACGCGAAAAAGGTCATGTTTATCAAGTGACTGATTACATCGGAATAATTAATGTAAACGAGACTTACCCTCCAACACCTTTAATTTTACATTTAAGTCAGTTAAGTTGGATTTTTAGGAACATTTTAGATTTTTTTGGATGTGTTTAAATTAACCAAGCTATGTACACACCACAGCATTAGCAAGTACAAATAAGACCTAATTTTAGTAGAGAGCAGTCTGTTCAAAACCTGGGTGCCCCACAATTCTAATCATAGCCGAATGCAGGAAATGCTATATGTTCCAGAGGGGAAAAAAGTAAAATGTTGCGAGAAATACGCAATTGTGCCACTGGTTTACCCTGAAACGATAACTCCAAAGCACAAAAAAGCTCTCAAAGTTGAAGCCGTAATGGAGGGTGTATCCCACGCCACCCTGAGAGCCTACCTTTATGTCAACTTCAAGTCAAACTCTTCATGCAAGATAGGGAACAAATGTACATTAAAAGGTTTGCCACATCGTTTGGGGACTCCAATGTTGGAATCACGGCAACCCTGCTAATGTATTCGCTCCGTATCTTTGCATGGAGAGTCTGACTTTATATAGAGGTGGGACTCTCAAAATAGCGTGGAATATCCCTTCCATTACGGCCTCAACTTTGAGAGCTTTTTTTGAGCTTTGGAGTACGTTTCAAAGAAAACCAGTGGCAGAATCGTGTTTCTATCGGAATTCTTCTTAGTAAAGAACTTAGTACTTAAATCTCAAATACTTTACTCATGCAAAAGCTCAATCTTGCAGTGCTAAAAAAAACGTCGTATGAGCCTTCATCGGTTGCCGCATTTTCTTTCATTAAATACGAATTTTCAGGGAAACTCATAAATATTTTCCGTTCAATTTTTCAGAGAGTTTCTTTTGTAACTAGATCTAAATTATCTGAACATTTCAAGAGAAAATATTCACAACTCCCCTCAAAAATAAACAAATTATCTGAGAAAATTTAGCAACCCCGAATGCTCGTACGGCATTTTGCCTCAGCACGGCAGCATAGAACCCCAAAATTACTTGAGTTTTCTTCCGGCCATGGAACGACAGATAAAAATTACTCTTACTATCACGGGAAGGCTAATCTTACAATCACGATTGCAGAGCCTGCTATTCGTCTCGCTGGCGGCGATGCTGAGCCAAGGGTGGTGCGGCTACGACGACCACTACGACCACCACGAGCCGGCCCACTACTCGTTCGGCTACTCGGTGAACGACCACCACACGGGCGACATCCACTCGCAGCACGAGTCCCGGCACGGCGACTCCGTCCACGGCTCCTACTCCCTCGTCGAGCCGGACGGGCACGTGAGGACCGTCAAGTACGAGGCCGACCACAAGCACGGCTTCAACGCCCACGTCAGCCGGAAGGAGTACCACCACGGCTACCACGCCCCCGCCCCCGCTCCCGTCCACCACCACCACGAGGGCCACCATGGCACTGCATACTTCCATCTTCACTAAGGGTTGAAGTTATCTACTCCCGGATCAGGAGGACCTGTCGCGGGATATGCTATTCGAGATGAATCTTCGGTCATGAGAGACACCAGTGGGCTCATTGTTGAAATTCATAGACAAAGCTATAGACACAGACGATAAAAAGGATATGGAGGGTTCCATTGGTGGAGGTGGGTGGTTGCAATGGACAAAGGACGTAGGTAATAGACTAACTAACAGCAATCCACGAAAGACCTGATAGTTAGTCCATCATTTACTCCCTTAGTCTATAAGAACCGCCAATTTCAACCAATAGGATCGTCCTATACTCCTTAAGTCTTCTTTGTCTATAAATTTCAATAATCGGCCCGCAGCGAGCTCATTGTTGACATTGATAGACAAAGCAATAGACAAAGAAAGCATAAGGAGTATGGAGCGCTCCTATTTGTTGAGTTGGTTCTTACATACTGAGGGAGAACATTGACTGCGTTTATAAGAAAGGAACCGAGCCACATAAGCTATTGCCAAATTTTATCGGACAATTTAATTTTTTACGTGAGAACGTTTTAGCGGATTCCTTTGAAAATTTTAAGGAATTTTCTTCGCCAGATGGAGAAAATTCACTGGAATTTGCACACAAATCCGCACAACCGTTTTCATGTATACAATTGAATTTCCCGATTAAATTTTATAATGGCTGATGTGGCTTCGTTCCCTTAATGATGGACTAACTAAAGGGTCTCCCTTGGGTTGCCCTCAGTTAGACTATATTACCTCCCTACTTTGTCCATTGCAACCACCCGCTTCAACCAATAGGATCCCTCCATATCCTTTTTGTCATCTTTGTCTACCGCTTTGTCTACCAATTTCAACAATCAGCGCGTAGGGACGAGGAGGAACCCTCCATTGGTACCTCAGCATTAGTCCCATCCTAAGGAAGAACGCCGTATAAGTCTTTAGACGCAGTCATATTTCCTCTAGTAAGACATGAATTAACCGGGGAAATATTGAATATTTTCCCCCTCATTTTTCAGATAATTTTGCCCGTAATTTAATGTAAAACGTCTGAAAATCTCAAGGAAAAATGTGCGTATATTTCCTAAAAAATACATATTTTGTCGTGAAATTTGGCAACTTTCGAATAATCGTACGGCGTTCCTCCTTAGTCTGACAGAATGGTGGTTGCTTTTGCTTCCTAGACTTTTGACCTCCGATCGTCTCTGTGAAAGGCAAGTTTATCCGGGTGAAAATCTAGCGGTAAGATGAGAAAACCGTTGTCATTTATTACATTACCAACAATGAAGATACACTACTTCATTAGATCTCATATATAAATCATGAGTCGTGCAGTATTACGTTGAGTTGACTCGAAACGAAGCGGAAAGATTTCGTAGATTTTCCGAAAATATTAATTTATCAATAATTTATTTATTTCACGTATAGAGCGGAAGCCTCCCCCAAAAGTTTTTTACCGCACATATCATAAGAACATGGGAATTTCATACACATGTGACTACAATGGAATCTTGGGATTTGACGAGCCTATGTAATGATTTAAAGCTGATTCTGGTACTTCGTCATTACCAAGTTCATATTGTTTGCATTGCCTGTTTATGTGCACTCAAATGTTAATTTTGTATCTTTACGGTGCCAAAAAGCTTTATACTACAGCTAAAAATTTTACATTCCCAAAATTCTAATTTTCTCGTTCCCAAAGTTCCGTTTTAGATACAACATGCTGTTTGAAATCCACGACTTCTCAAAAAAGTTTCAACTTTTGGAAAGGCTTTTCATAGGACATAACAGGTTAAAACACTTTAGCGCTATAAAGAGTCCTTTTGGAAGAAACAAGAGGTAAATTTAGTAACTATCAGCTCCGTTATTCTGACCTGTTTTAGTTACTCAGTTCTTCCCTCAAACTCTCACCCTGCCTAGTCATACCTTCATCTTAATTCAAAGAATTTTTTATTCTCATGTCTTTTTTCAGTAATTCAATTCCTTGAGAAGGACTCAGATTTGCTACTTTGCACTTCTATATTCTGTAATCTAATTAAAACTTGTTACCAATACCTATTTGTCAGAGGAGCAATCGTCAATAAAATAAAATAAAAAGAAAAAATTGTATGTGCTAAAATTTGTGTCGTCATTTTTGTTTTGTAAGTTTTTTGTCTTCTCAAAATGATAAAAATAAAATTAAAAATAAAATAATTTACTGAGCAAAAGAAGCATAAAAAATTAAGACAGGATAACAGAAACAAAATAATGGAGAGTAATAAGAGAAATAAAAAAATGAAGAAAACCTATAAATTCTATCGAACAGCTTGCATTCCCGTCTTTATGCAATTTTACAGTTCACACTTTCACTCACAAAAAAAAAAAAACCAAAGTCCACCCGAACCAAATCAATTTCTTAACTAATTTCTGAATATTTTTCGATGGAAGAATTTTCCTGTTCGCTTACTTTCTTCCGGAAAGGTCTGTCTGACCCCAGGTTGTCTTTATAGGCTAATTTAATTAAACCTACTTTCCTCATAGTTTTTTTGTGAGCGAAAATTTGAATTTACTGTTCAGTTTCTCTAGTGTACACAACTTTTACAAATATTAATTTAAAAAGACTACTTAATACCTCATTTGCACGTATTTTTGACAAACGGAACTGTGCTCATTAAGACATGAGCCCTGAGACTCATAAAAATACATGCCTAATAAGGCACATGTCTTAAGGCACGTAGTTCCGTTTGGCAAAATACGTCCATTTATGAGAAACTTTGGAATTTTTTGATATGTTGAACATGTTTTACGTAAATTTTTAACGAGAATACATGTCATTCAGAAGTTTCATGCCGTGTCCTCACCTTGCTTAGTGGCCCCTTGAGAAATAAAGCAGCCACCCATCGTCTTCAACTTTTTAGGGGGAGTTTTTTAGGATTCGGCCGGGATGGCTACCTTCACCTAGAATTCCGATACGTCTATCGTGCCACAAGAGGTTTTTTTTGCTAAAGAAACACGAATTGCAATGCTTGATTTCCTACCTCGTCCACTGGTCCATCCACGTTCCACCTGTTCGAAAATAATTCCGCACCACTAAGAGGTGTTTTTTGAAGGAAAAATAAATAAATCAAATAAAATTATAAAAAATAATGAATGAGTGAAATACGGTGGTGCAGCGCCGCGTTATGAGTGGCTGAAAAAATTGCAGTGACCAACCGAAGTCCGAATGATTGGCATTATGCAAGGGAAGGAAGCGCCTCCTGGCGTGATCGTGTTGTGAGTGAGCTGCGCCAGACGGGCCCGTGTTTGGCACGTTCACGAGCCGCGGAGCTTGAGCAACACCCGCTAACTTTCGATCGCTCATCGATTGCCCATTGAGTCTACGTGCGCCCGGCTACCGATTTGGGGTTTTTCAGTGACCCACATTTCGCCCCACAGATCCGCGACCGGATCCTACTTTACTTGCTCCCTCTGGTTGACCTCTCAAGGTCATTCCAGGAGCGACACTGAAAAAAAATTCGCGGCGTTTTTACCAAGGTCCGTTGGTACCTTTACCATCTCACTTTTTTTTACCAATTATGGGTAATTTTATCAAGAGAGACTGGTAAGCTTACCTAAAAACCGGTATTTTTTCTGTTTTTTCAGGTACAAATACCACTTTTATTGGTTATCAATTCCCGGTAACTTTGCCATTTTATCTCGGTAATTCTACCACAGTCGATAAAAAATATTGGCGTTTTTACTAAGGTCCAGCAAAATTACCGAGAAAGTTCAATAATTTTACCGAGATTTCTTGATAAAATTACCAATTCCATAAATGGCAATTTTACCAAGAAAAAACTGGGATCAAATAGAACCCCGAATTCTTGATAATTTTACCCTTTTCTTAGTAAATACACCAAGATTTTTTTTTTTCAGTGAGGGGCTTTGTGCTCTTTGGTTCCTCGTAACTTCCTCGTACAGGCACGAGAGGAGACCCTTTATCAGTATCTTCATAGTAAAAACAACTTAGTGCTGTGCATCGACTGTTTGGATAAAATAGCGTTAACTAGACGTATTTCTGCCAAACGGAACCAGAAACCGGTAGGAAGGAAGTCATGTGAAGCATTATATTGGTGCGAGTGATCCTAATACGGAGACTTTAACGCAGCAGTAGAAAAGTAGCGACGAAAATGTTTTTTATTTTGGTTTGCTATATGAGTTTCCGCTCTGAGGCACCAATTTGCTTTATTCATTGAACACTTATTTATCGTCTAATCAACTGAATTCATTGAAGGAAATCAAATGCATCAAAAGAATAAAAACTTTCCCGAAATTTCTTGGTAAGCAAAGATAATAATTGTTGCATTCGTTTAAATGATTTTTATTTACTCGCATAATATATCGTCAAAATGTTTTGCAAAATTGCATTTACATTATTTCGGACTCACTTTCGTCGATTAAGCACCTCTAAAGAACCTAAACCTAAATATCGTAATTGAGGAAAAAGTCACAGCTTAATGATCAGAGATTAAGCCTGCATGGACGTGCTCTGTAACCATTATGATTTATTGTAATTTATTCTTGTTTGTATGTTGATTGTTAAGCCTCACCTTCTCATCTCAGTTCTGCATGCTGTACAGGCTAAATTCTGAGGAGAGAAAATATTATTTAGAATCATAATAAAATTCAGTACCTCTGTATGACCTTGGCCTATCGAGTATTATACTCTGTATGCTGTAACAGTATTAATTTTGGGAGTCAGAACATGACCCAAAACGCCGGGTATCTTTATTTTATATATTTATGCGTTTTATATAAAACGTAAACTATAAGACTGTTTCTACAGGGGTCTGTTTCAGGGGGATTGCTCATGTCTGGTTCTTCCTGGGTTATTACAGGTCGGGGATCGCAAGAACAAATAGAGAATCGATCTCTAGAAATCGAAAAATCAGCGCGCGGTGGTCCTGACTTTAAAAGTAGAGACCCTCAGCATGGTTTTGAGATTAATCTATCAAAATCAGAAATTACAGAAAATTGTAACATAAATCGACACCAAGAAGTCCAAAATTAGCCCGTCTCTGTCCAAAATACTGACCTCCTACTCAAAATGCGCGATCACTGAATTATTGTTGTAGATGCTTGATCAGTTGCGATTCTTGAAAGTTGGCAGCACCGATTTTCTTCCATTTGAAATAATTTAAAACAATCGATTGTTAGAGAGACAGCTTTCTCACCTGAAATTGATATTTTAAATGGATTTGAATGAAGGAAAAACAATACATTGCCAACTTGCAAAATCGCCACTGAGCTTAATAAAAATGTTTTTTCGAAAATTGGACCGAGCAATCTGTATCTGTAAGTCTCATGGACCCCCGATTATTCACTGATAGGGTATAGGGGAGCCCTAAAATTTTTCACGGAAAAAATGGATTGCTGATTCAACGATTCAGTAAAATGTTCAAAAATAATTCCGACCTATTTCAAATGTACATTTTACAATCGTGGAAAGCTAATTTAACCATTGGGGTGATTGAAGTAGCTTTTTTTACTGTAAAATCTACATTGAAACCAATGGAAACATGTCGGACACTTGTTTTAACCATAAAATTGTTAAATCAGTAATTTCACTTTTTTCCGTGTTGAATTTACCAGAATTTGGAGGCACTCTGAGAGATTCCCCTCTTTTTGAGAATTTACATGATCGTGGCAAATTGATTATTAACGATGCGATCATCGGCTGAACGTGTGACGGCCATCCCGCTTATTATCCGCCAAATGTCACCTGAGAGTGATTCAGGCTCAGGGGTCAGATGCCTCTCGTTGGTCATTAAAATTAAGCGAGCTCCCATCGGTCCCATTGACGACTACCTTGTCATTTAAGTTTCCTTGGGAGGCCTGCTCAATTGGACGGATCTGTCGCACTCAGGAGATAAAGACGACCTAGTGGACATTTGATGGAAAAAAGTATTAAACAAATCTTATTCACTGAAAAAAAACCACATTGGATCTAGAGTCCAGACTCTTAAAAACATCGACAAGAAAAAGTACTCTTGATTCAATCAGAATCTAGCTTAAATCAAGAACCAAGCCTCTTATTTTAAGCGGATTTCGTTTTGATTCAAGCAAAAATCCGATTGAATCAAGAGTATTTTTTCTTGTCAATGTTTTTGAGAGTCTGGACTGTAGATCCAATGTGTTTTTCTCCAGTGTTGAGTACATCAAAAACGTCAAAGATGGGCCCATTTTGCTATTCGTAAGTGATGATGCTAGATGAATCAATCACGTTTTGATAATTTAATCGTATAAATTAGCAAAAAGAAGTAAGATCCATTTACACCCCAAACAACTTCCAATATTACCGGAAATACCGTCCATCGAAAACTTAATGCATGCATGCATGACATCATCCACCGCATAGTGCATATCGTAATTTCTTCTTCTTTAGTTTCATCCATGTTTTTCTTCTAAAATGAAACTAACTTTCGACTCTTTGGAGGTTCTGGAAGTTTTAAGGAACAATTATTTTGCTATTGGTTAGTTTGGTTGAAATTATGTGAGTGTTAATCAGACTACAATATGGGTCAATTTTTTTTCGACTTGAACCAATCGTTGCATATTCCATCACATACTAAGTAAGACGACGGAAATACCGCGCCAAATGGTATACTCTCTCTTCCTCTTGCTCCTCGCAAATTATGCTCTCAAGTTAGCCAAAAATGCATCCTGTTCCAAAAATCCGGACTTAACCGTGCCGTGGTACCTATTTCAAGGTCATGCCGTCCAAGCGGCTCTAGTTGCGTCGGAGGATTCGCAGATTGAATAATATTAGATTGCATGACCGCAATCTATCATCAATATTCCAAAAGTGTTTCGGTCATCTCCAAAGGGGGGCCCGGTCATCGGGCTTGACTATAAAACGACCCATCCTTGCAGAACCAACATATTAGTCTAGTGTTGGTGTGCATTTGTATCGTGTTGTGCGTTGGACTTATTGTTTTGCCCGAGGAACGAAATTTGGATTAACACTATGAGCTCTTTCGCAGTAAGTATAAGCTTTGAAATTTTCTAGAAATTACCTCCATCACGTACCTCGATTTTTATCACACAAGTTTGCTTGAGTTTAAAATATCAGCTTTCTTACTATTCCTCCGTTTTTTGTTTTTTTTTTTGGTAAATTGTAATAAGTAGGAATTTTGTAATGATGATTGACGATTTAAGGAAGCAGTCAATCAATATTGTACTTTTAATGGCTATAGATATCACTGAATGACTTTGAAGGCAGGAAAAGTAAAAATTGTCCTTTTCTTCTCCTGTTAAATTCTCAATTCGAAAGCAATCAGAGATCCTGACTATATAAACCATCCGACCGTGCTGTGTTATATTGTACCCGTTGCATCTTCGGAAGTTTGAAAAACTTTTACTAGAACTGTCTTCGAATGTAAATTAAAATCCGCTCGTACCATGCCAAGAAATTGCTCGCACATCCTTTCTAAATGTTTTCATGAGCAACTCTTTGGCGAGCTCGCTTTTTATAATAAGCAAGTCGATTTGGGTACGTTCATTATTTCACAAATAACTCAAATCTAATTTTAAGTTTTTAATTTCATCCAATTTTTAAAGCTAGAGTCCCTGACGAGTCTACTTATTTTCGGAGTGAAACGGAAGATGCGTCCATCCTAAATTCATTCCTACCTTCATTCCTAAATTCACCTTTAATACGAAACTAAATCTGCTACTGATCTTTTTTAGCACTCTAAAAGTGCGTAAACTTATTTAGCTTGAACTCTACCCAACGATCATAGTAACCCTTGATTCTATCCAAGGACAAAATTAAGCAAATACAGTTTAAAGTTTTACTTGGATATTAAAACACTCCTTCAAATTAAAACATTTTACACTGCTGCAAATTTCCAAATTTTTTAAAAACAAAATTCTGGAATCATCTTCCCTTAAAACATTTAGTATTTGCAGTATTTAAAATTCCCTAAAATTTGGATGAAAAATACAGCCCTATCAAATAGTGCGAAAAAGAAGACTTGGTGTCAACCATGAAATGAAGTTGGCTTTCCCATCTTTCTAGTAGAGATACCTTGAAAATAGACAGGTTTTACAAGTAATATGGTTGATTTCATATTTTTTTCTGTTAGGTACCAAAAGCAGCTCTGAGTGTTGTTAAATAAATCCTCCATCTATAATCCGCGTTAAAGGGTGGCAACAACTCCCTTCCATCCAAAGTTACCGTCATTTTTTATAAACCCAAGGGGGCCGTTCAAGTATTTCGGAAGCAACATAGGGCAATTTTTTAACCCCACCCCCACCCCCTTTCTCCACCTTAAGCCACCTTTTAAGCCCCTTCTCGCTGCCCTATTATTTCAGAAAATGACGCAGAAAGCTTGAAATATAGCTGACAAATTATTTCAATTTAATAGTATCTTTTTTTCTTTCTACGTTGGGAGATTTACGTTGGGCTGCCCCTTTCCCTCGTTATAGCTGGTAAGCCAAGCTTAGGCCATCCCCTACCCCTGAAGCAGAGTTGCACAAGTGAAACGAAAAATTTCAATGATTAGAAATCTCTCTGAAATATTTCATGAAATTTCAAAAAATTTTGAATAATATGAAACATATTTTCACAGGCTGAGTATGCAACACGCACTAAAAAGCACCAAAAAGGAAAAATCGCTAATTTCCCTTTCATTTAATTTCGAAAAAAAAATGCCAATATCCGTCATATTTGTCTAAAATTTCAAGATTTTATTTTTCATGAGATTGCAACCCAAACACCAAAAAGCAGAGACAGCATCCTTTCATTTAATTTCGAAAAATATTTTTCAATATTTGTCATATTTCTCTGAAATTTCAAGATTTTATTTTTCATGAAAAATTGCATCCCTGCACACCTTGGGCGACTTAGACTTTTTTTCTATTATTCCAAAATATTACTGAAGACCATAATACTTAATCTAGTTACTTGCATTCAGAATTATAATTATCTAATTACCAAACTCTGAAATAATGCTAAGACCGCCCTGGGGGCGCTGTTTCAGCTGGTGACGTAGACTTGAACGACCCCAAGAGAACTCCAGACTTGAAAAGTTAAAATTGATGTTTGACCCCTCTCTGATTTCAGGTATTATGTGTCTGCCTCTGCTTGGCCCGAGGCTCCTTGGCGGCCGTGATCCCTGCAGCCCCGGTGTATCCCTCCGGCGTGTCTTTCGCCTCCCCGTACGCAGCTTTCTCAGCCCCGTTCGCGCCTGCCGGGCCCGCACTCCCCCTCCGCACGGCCGCCCCCCTCGCCGTCGCCCCCGCCCCCGTAGCCCCCGTAGCCCCTGTCGCCCCGGTCCCCGTCGTGCGGACAGCCCCCGTGATCCCCGCCGTCCCTGCCAAGCTGGAGTTCGCCGACGCCTACCCGCAGTACCAGTTCGCCTACAACGTCCAAGACGCCATCACCGGCGACTCCAAGGTTCAGGAAGAGTCGAGGGAAGGCAATGTCGTCAAGGGCTCCTACAGTCTTATTGAACCCGACGGTAGCCGCAGGACCGTCAACTACTTCGCCGACCCCGTCAACGGATTCAACGCCATCGTTCAGAGGGATGTCCCTACTGTCCCTGTCGTCCGCGCCGTTCCTGCCGCTATCCCTGTTTAATTCGCGCACATTGGATTGCATACCTTGACTTTTGCAGGAGCTCATCATGCAACTGCTCATATGTCTGTTATATTTTAGTGCATAGTACGCTCAGAAGGAAGGGTGCGTTACGTGAGTTGACGCTGTTGCGCTAGTCACATAATCGTATTTTGATGGTTTAAGCTTGTACATTAACAAAAAATAATAAGACCCGTTTAAACGTCAATTTTTGACGTCAAATATTAACGGAGGTATTGCTTATCGAAAATTATGGTGTCACAAACCGCGGTGGTGTATACCATGGTTTCTACCATATTGATTTCATCAATTGGACTACATTTTGCAATTTGGAACTATGAATTGTACCCCGACTTAAAAACAACGTATGTGCCATTAGTTTCCCAATTCACATAAGTGTTTTTCCAGAGGAGCCAGAATTTATAGTTCCAAATTGCAAAATGCAGTCCAATTAGTGATACACACATTTGCACTACTGAAAAACACGCACAAAACCAAGGTAGGAAAGTATGGTAGGTATTCTTTACCAGGGTGGATGGCCTCTTACGCCCTGTTATTTGATGAGCATATCTTCTTTAATATCAGAATTTGGAATTTGCCGTTTAGATACGTGTTCTTTGTTTTTGCGCCTAAACCATCAAAACACAATTCTGCTGCAACAAAGCAAAAATCGAAAAATATCCTATTGACTTTACAAAAAAAACCATTATTCAAGAGTATGCTTCATTAGAATTCCATATGATCTCACAAAAAATTCAATGAAATAAACGATGTCTTGAAAAGTAAAACGCATTTCTCCGACTTGAAAAATCTAGTTTGCGTTTACGTTATAGCTTTTTTTACTTGCAAACTCCCCCCCCCCATCTTCGATGTATAAATCCAAAATTCTTTTTATTTACATTTTACCAACACTTTTACAGTCATCAAAATTTTATCATATGATGATTATGCCATAGTCAATTCTATTTTCAGGAGGTCCATAGGCCGGTGATTGTAATTTTACTTTCAGCCACAGTGCAATAATTTTACACATTTTTCATCATTCTTTCTTCCCTCACAAATCGAGCAGGTTTGAAATTATTTGTAAAACCTCTTTATCTGAATCGTATGAATGAATCATATTTCTGCTGTGATTTCCATACCAACATGTAACGATAAAGTGTACAGCCTAAGTTAGGTTCTGTCTGTAGTTTTTGTAAATAAAATGCTAGTCGATTAATAATTTTTATGTGGATTAATTTTTTTCACTCCTGATAAATGCAACTTTCATAAGCTGCAATTCCTTGCGGTGAATTCAGAAGCATGCGTTGTTCAATCTATCATGGTTTGATCTGTCAGGTATTTGATTCGACTCTCATTGGTAAGAATTGGATATACTTGAAAGAGTAGTCTCGGGGGAAAAACTTCATGAGTTTTTACAAAAACTCCATCCGACAATAATTTATCGATTCAGCTTTAAGAATGCAAGATTCCGCATTGTTTAAACCTGAGGAGTGCAAAAACTAAAATGTATACACTGAAAAAAATATAATGCTGCTTTAGCACAAAGCATGTCAAAAGTGTGTCTGGTGATCCCAAGATGCTTCCTTTACTGCGCCCTGGCAGTTAACTTTACATCCCATGAACGCAAATTCAACTGCGTGGGCAATCAAGGTAGCATCCTAGGATCACCGGACATATTTTTGACATCCTAGGTGCTAAAACAGCATACCATTTATTTCAGTGTAGCGATTTTTAATAAATGTTTGCACACACACAGGGCCTTATCCATAGTCGTTCCTTAAACGGTTCTTTTTCTCTGGATACCTCACATCGACGGTAAAACTACTAGACCACGTATTTCGATCTGCGGCGTTGTAGACTTCCTGTCACACTCTATTTTTTAAATAGAAAACTAGTCAGTTTCAATTCTTGAAAACTTCCGTGTTTTTTCTTCTCTGTACGTAGAAAACGCGGTGAAAATTTCAAGAAATGATATTGCTTTGTTCTCCTTCAAAAGAATAAAATGAGCGCGGAGATTTTTAAACCCCGCAAACTAGATACGTGGTTTGGTGGTTTCAACGTCGGGCGTCGATATGGTTTTTATTGTGATCTAAGGCACATTTAACAAAGCATCATAAAAGGAAATTTTTTCCAAGCGTCAAAGCCAAGCGAAAATAGATCTGTGTGAGGGATCACTATCATTTGGCACCACTAAAAATGTGAAATGGCTATACCTATACGGAAGCAAAAATGTTTTGAATCTTGTATGTAATTTTTGATCACCAAATCCGCAATTCGATCGACAAACTTGTGAATTGATTTACAAACCCGTAGATCGATCAACACAAGCGTAAATCACTCAAATTTTTCCGATTGAATCGGTGTCGATCGGTTCACTGATTTTCACCGATTTTTTTAATCATTTGTCGATCGAATTGCGTCAATGGATTTATGTTCTTATTTTTCGATAGATTCATATCGATTGAATCCATACTATCTTCCATTAAAACCTGCTCAACACATTTCAATATTCAGTATTTCCTCCCATTCTTTATTTCTAAAAAGAAAAAAAAAACCTGCGCACCATTTGGGAATGTCATCAATTTTTCCGTGGCAAATGCGAAAGAAAAATTCGCATTAATTTGCGGATGAAGAGATATTATTAATTTGTTGTGGATTTAGCAAATAAATTCACGGAGGATCCACTAATTTGTCGAAATCTTTAAATTTGGTTTAATTTTCCCTAACGAAGCAAATATTATTTTTAATTTCACAAAATTGGTATCTTTAAATCAAACAGATCTCCGGTCTATTTTTTTTTCTCTCTAGTCATTATGACCCACCGTATTCATTTTTCTGAAAGTTTGTCTGCGTTAATTAATTTGTGTCTAAACGTAAGTCGTCAAAATTTGTTTCAGAACTGAGCCTAAACGTCACTGGAAGCTGTCACACTACGAGAACTTCTCACGCATGAGGCTGAAGCTTTGTCGAAACTATGAGTTCAATCCTCACACAGACGCCAGCAACCTCCGCGACAACACAGGTAACATTTGGAATGCATTTTGAAATGAGGAACTATAATATTTCTGACTTATCCAGAAAGACACCTATCCGCCCGGGAAAATTAACGGCAGATGTGCTGTCTCTACAATGAATCAGGAACAGAAGTTCCGAATTGAATCCGTGAGAACGAAAACACACCAACTCGGAAAAATGAAAATAATCAAGACACACACAAAACTGCAGAATAACACAAAATTGTGTTTCCGTTCTCGCTGATTCAATTGAGAATTGTTGTCTATTCAATCGTTATATCTCGCTGCAAATTCCCATACACAGCGTGGATTCATGTCAGCGTGAATAAGTTAATCATGCTCTCAAACATTTCATTTTTTCTTTGGAAAAAACCTGCATAATATTTTTTGCTTAAAATCTTGAGCCTTTTCTTATACCAGATAGTCAGATAATGACCGTTTCAGGATAAAGAAAGAAGAAGAAAAAAAATTCTCACTCTGAGTAAAATCTGACCTTACCCTGCCGCGATAAGGGAAACGCCGCATATGAATTTGAACATTTGAATGTTGCCAAATTTCTCCTGAATAAAAGCTATTTTTTTAGGAAACTTATGCGTTATTTCCCTTGGAATTTTCAGATGTTTAAGATTAAATCGCGAACAAAATTGTCTGAAAAATGGGAAGAAAATTATTCACAACTTTCTGAATAAAACTGTATTTTATCAAAGGAAATTTGGCAACACCTTGAGGTTCATACGGCGTTTTCTCCCTGCATGGCAGCGAAGGTGATCAGATATTTTCTCGTTGGTGTTATTTTTATTAATTGTGTTGATGGTGTCCATTGGAATTCCAAGGGAGTATATTTGATCCGAAATGATATTTCCCTATCAACTGATTTTCAATAAATACGTTCTGATTTTAAATTCTGGGCGTTTTCAAGCAGCAAGGAAGAATAGCGCAGGTAAATTGCATGTATCGGAATTAAGAGCATGTTAAAGAAACAGCATGGTGTTCTCATATTGGATTTCCTTTCCAATTTATGATCAAATATATTTGACCTAAAACCTGGGGTCCCAAAAAGTACGAGTCGTCATGGCTCCTGTACGCTTGAAAATTATGATTTTTTTTTCGGCATGATCTTTAGTGCGTTCAAAAGCTTACCTTAGGTGTTTATGTCCTTTTAAGTGCCTTCAATTTGGTCCCCATACTTTTCTCTCAGCTACAGGTTGAAGCATGACCCCAAAACTACCCCCCCCCCCAAGCGGTATTTATTAACATGTAACCGTTCACAAGATACCTTACCTATCTACCTAATTGAGCTAATTTCATACCCTACCGACCAGATTGGCCTTGTGGTCAACACATTATACTCAGGTCAATACGACCCAAGTTCGGATCTTGGTGGCGACAAATTTTCACGAATTTGACAAGAAAGTCGGCTGAAACAGATCTCTTTCGGTCTAAACCCCTGACAATTTGGAAATTTTAGATCGCGGATGGGTCAATTCTCTCGGGTATCCTTATAAATCCTCTGATGCCTGCAGCTTTTTGATAGAATACATATTACTTCAATTTAGTAAGCCATAAAAAGAATATGATGGATGTTCGTTTATTATATTATTATTACTTGCAGGGTGGCAGAGTCGCAAGTCGTCAGGAGACGTACCTCTTTCCCTTAATATCTCGCAGGCTGCCGTCAGAAGAGGTGCTGACGACTCGGAACATGCTGACGAGGATTTGATTAGCCTCCCGCAACAAGAGTAAGTATAGTAATAAATGCTTTAAATAATAACAGATCACTAACATGAATTTTCGCAATAATTCGAGGTAGATCTCTCGAATTGTTCCCTTAGGACCTACGAATGTTGAAATTGAAAATCACCACAAGCTTCGATCATCCCTCACCTGGACGCATTTATGCTAAAAAGAACTATACAGATGTGTGGGAAAGATGGGGTGTGCTCGTAAAAGCTGCATAAGAAAGAATGTAAAACTGGGCTTGATTCTTTTCGGCAAAATGGAAAAAAGGGATTTTTCATTAAATCGAAAGTAACTAAACGCCAAAATATGCTAACTCATGAGCCATAGGCATGTGACAAGAGCGTTGTGGACAGGGCTCATGGAATTAAAGACTCGGATTGTCGTCGCCGCTGACGTCACTGGCGCTTTATAATTCCCATTCATTTTTACGACCCTCAACTAACGACCACACACCTTCTCTCTCATCCGTCTCTGGTTCCTTTTAGCATAAGTACGTCCACCTCGTATTGGATCGTTTTGGATTGAGCTTTTTATAACCGTGAAAGATTTTAACTACACTGGAATTCAATTCACCGGAGTAGAAGACTCTTATAAAGCACTTGGAAATCCATTTCTCATTTACGCACTTATTTTAGGAATTTATCTAATCTAATCTAATCAAAACTGGACTTAACCTACTAGCAAACAAATACATTATAGTGGGCATACAAATTCGACGGCCCATTTTTGGAAATAAATTCCTAAAAAGACTGAGATGAAACGCTTTTAAAACAAACTTGATTTTTGGTGTGCTTTTAGGTTATAGGTAGATCCTTTTTTGTCAAAAATGTTAATTGACATAAGTGATTTATTAACAGTCTTTTATCTCGATGTTCGTTTGATTCCGGTGTTTATTCACTTTCATAGTGCGTAGGAAAAGCGTGATGATGGATTTGTGTTGTTGTTGTTGTTGTAGTGCTGATGCCGAGTTTGATGTGGGTGAAGACACGGGGAAGGAAAAACTGCTGATGTCGCAAGAATGCGAGCTGGTGACACTGATGCATGTCGTCAAAGGTCGACTGGACATATCAACCATGAACCTCTACTTCCACGACCTGAGTCCTGTCAGAGAGGACATCGACCGCCACGATTTTAAGGTATTCCTAAAATATTAAAACCTTCTTGTCTGAATCGCACTTAAGGTCACCAATACTGCCGCGCTAAGGAAAAATGCAGTATAAACATTCAGGAGTTGCCAAACTTCCTGTCGTATGATGTTTATTTTTGTGGGAAAATATGAATTTTTCTTCTTAATATTTTCAGAAACTTTAGAATAAATTGCGAACAAAATTACATAAAAAGTGTTAGAGAAATATTGATAAGCTCATCTAGAAATTCGTGTTTTATCGAAGGAAATTTGGCGTTCATACGGCGTTTTCCCTCAGCACGGCAGAAAATAACGGCACGGCACGTTCCGTGATCTCCAGGAACAAGTACATTGAATATAGGAAGAGATAGTATATTTTAGAGCTAATGCAGGTATTTGAATTGTTAATTTCTCATTTTGCAGGGATTGACAGGGGTTGAAACTACCCTCTGCAGTACGAACTCTTACCTTACTGTAATTTCAAGTGCGTACGTTTGCATAAAACTACGCGGGGAATATTTGACTCCGCGCTTGGAATCAAAAATTCCCCGCGTAACTTTTGCGCTTGAAATTGAAATTAGGCGCAAGTCAAAGGTTTATTCTAACGATATGGGATGGTTTTGACCTTTTCCAACCCTTGCCGGATTGAAAATTTGCAACTTAATCCTCCGCGGGTCCTCAAATACTGCAAAATTACCACGACTTGTTCGGGGGAAAAAATTCTCGGGGCATTTTTAACGTTAATCTGACAACGCTGGAAAGGTTCTCCCCCAAATTTTTCCTTTTGGACTTTTATCTCAGAAGCCTTATAGAATTACTTGCGAAAATCCCAATTCTAAAAATCCAATTCCACAAAAATCGATTTAAAAATCAAGGATAGGAAGATAGATTACGAGTTTCGTGATTGATGTTTTTTTGAGTCGCTAATTTCGAATTTGATGTCAAATTGCCTACATTTCATTTTAACACCCTGATCAATTACTTGTAATCAGGTTTATGCCACGCTGCCGGCTGCGGCGCGGCGTGCTGCCAGCTCGAAATGCACACTGGCGCCTACAAACCTAGAGGGATACTTCAAGCATTGCGCAATGCATGAAGTAGCCCCTTAGGTTTGCAGGCGTTATTGCGCGTTTCGCGCCGGCAGCACGCAGGCCACGGCGCGGCGCTCCTGATGCGGACGGGTGGTGAACGATTGCGAGGAGAGCTCCCTGGTCGAGAAAATCGTATGTCGTGTATTTTTTTTTTTTTTTTTTTTTTTTTTTTTTTTTAATTTTCAACTTTCAAAATTACACACTGGTCGTGTGAAGTAAAAAGTGAACTCTCAACGCTAGATGAATAAAGGCAGGTCGTGCGCCATGCGCGCTGCGGACGGCGCGGCACAGGGCGGCTCATGAAATGCTCCCCTGTGGGCCCTGTGCTCTGTCGCTCGAGTTGAAAAAGAGCGCTAATTTAAAAACTCGCGGTCACATTTATATATTCGCGCACTTTTCTGAGGAGCATTTGTGCATTAACCAATGAGAACAGTCCATTTTCCCGCCATTCTTTTCTATGTTTACTTTTGCAGTTATAACCTCACTTTTCACATGTGTCCGAAACAAGTCTTTGGTCCAGAAACGAGTGAACGATAATCAATGAAATATTTATTTTATTCTGCTCAACCATTCAAATGATGAGTTTGATTAGCACTGATATTTTTAAGAAAATGTGTGCCTTTGTTGTTCCAGTGGTCTCTTTCAAAATTGAGAGAAGTCTTTCTCCGGAGATACAACCTTCGCAGAAGTGCATTGGAATTCTTTCTCACTGATCAAACGAATTACTTTCTAAATTTTACCCCGAAGGTAAGCCTTTCGTTCTGGTGTTAAATTTTAAAGATATTTTCATTTTTGGCTAATTTTTCAGTCTCAAGCTATTTGCCAAGCTTACACGGGTCATGTTTTTACTGAGTGTACCTATGGTTAGACTACACCTCTTGCAAGCCTACAATGTGACAATCTTTTGGCAGTATTGCCCAGGATTGTGGCAGTATTGTGTGGCAAAGATGCAACCAAGTTGCCGATGTAAAATTTATGAGACTGAACTCAGCAGTAACATTGCTGCAGCACATATTTTCAGCACCCTATTTTCTCTATTTTCTACACTCTAGGAATACTTTTTCGAATTTTGCAGGTTAATGCTTATAAAGTACCCCTTTCACGTAGTAATGAAAGAAACATTTTATTTCATCGGTGAGATGAAATGTCACAAAGTAAGAACATTAGAACAGCCATATTGCACAAATTCCCCCGCTGGTTGGATAGTGGCTCGGTCAGACCTATATCAACTCGATCAAGACCTACTGCGGGCTGCGGCCCGATTATTGAAACTATGTCAGCCTGACCCGACAAGGCATAGCCCTATCTTAACCATGCAATATATTGCAATTTGATGTCTTATCGCGCTGCTTTAAACTTTCAATCATTGGCCTGCTGGAAGAGCAAGTTTTAACCTTTTTTTTGCAGTACAGGTCAATTTTTAATGTCACTTAGCTCAACAAGTTTTCTAAATTTCCTTATCATCAAACGCCAAAGCTAAAATTATATCAATGTCGTTTAATTAGAACAATGACAGATTACCAATGACATTAATTATTTATTACTTAGGTACTCAATTTTATGTTCCTATGTGTTGTAATTGGCAAAATTTTTTCTTGCACGTTCCGCACTACATCGCTTTGCCCTCTGAGGCTACACTCGCTGCTGCATATTTAGATCTTTGTTTTATACTTTCAGATCAGAAATAGAGTAGTTAGCCGCTTATTGAGTTTGAGGCCACCAAATCTATCCTATCACAGCACAAGGCCACCATCGGATTTGTTACGTATCTCTGGTTTGACTCAGAAATGGGTGAACCGTGAAATTTCAAATTTTGACTACCTTATGCAAGTAAGTTGACTCCTAACCAAATAGGAAACAAGAAGGTTTCAGATTGATCCCTGAAAAATTTTGTTACTGGACAGAATAAGTGCATGCCACGTGCTTATTCTAGTCAGATTGAAATAATACAAAAACCATCAATATTAGTATACTGTTCTGATTATTGAAACCGGCAATATAGTAATTACAATGGTGCCAGAATGTCATCTTTAGCATTCATCTTGGATGCACTACTCCCATCATCACTGATTGTTAAAGTAGGTATCTCCTGTGAAGTTCACCCGTCTGTTTCATGCAGGTTTCACCCATGTTCCATCTCTCATTCTCTTTTATTCTTTTAAGTAATTTTATTTTTTTCATTTTCAGCTAAACACAATCGCTGGGAGAACGTACAATGACTTATCACAGTATCCTATTTTCCCATGGATTTTAGCTGACTACACATCTGACTTTTTAGACCTGACAAATCCTGCTACTTTCAGAGATTTATCGCTGCCTATTGGTGTAGTCAACAAACGCAATGAAGCAGAAGTACGGTCAAAATATGAAAACTTTGAAGATCCAACTGGTATGTTCTTCAACTTCTCTTCTAGTAATGTTCGAAACTCTATTTGGAGTTTCAGGAGCCATGTGGCGCATCAAGCTCGATTTTTAGGAGCCATTGAAGATTTTGTAGGGGCCAAATTGATTTTTTGCCTATGTATCACAGCGTATTTAGTGACAAGTTAGACGCAAGATGTTTTAGTTACAGACCAGTATCTGTTACTTGGGGGAAATTTCGAAAAATCACCGGATAGAAAAACTATGATTTTTTTTGGGAGGGGGAGGGGCAATTTTTAGGGGCCACGAAGGCGCAGAACCTTCATTTCTTAGGTGCCATGGCCGATTTATTAGGCGCATTCGGCGCGTTGGCGCCTGTAAGTTTCGAACACTGTCTTCTAGCAATGCAATTAGGACAATACAATTACAATAGTACAATTAGGATAAAATCATAGAGTAGCCTTGATGATTGAAACAGAAATTGATTTGTTTAGATATATTTGTGTGTCCCCCCCTCCCCAAAAAAAAAAAATTAATTGAAATAGCTTCATGAGTATTGAAATAAATTATTTTTACTTAATGTTTGCTTGAGTAATAGCTCTAAAATATCATTTACTTACAAAGTATCATGTCACTTTTTGTAGTCTTTTTCCAGTGATCATCAACTTATGCAGATTGCCAATATTAGAGGCATTATGTTCTTCTTTCATGAACCTCACACAGCCCCAGAGAGAATGTTAAACAAACTTTTTAATGGAAAAACGAGGGCTACATCCGTCTGATATCTAACCCGTATGTGGTATTAACTTATTGTGTGTTGAGATTAATTCTTAAAGTCAAAATTTGAAGCCGTTTGGCAGAGGCAATGAACAGATCTACGATTTCCACCAAAAATATTATCTTTTTATCTTCTTTTGCTTCAATGGATGTTAGAACTCACTATTTTATACCACCACATCTTCCCAATGAGGGACGCTTCAAAAATTTGACCCTCCAAAAACTTTCAAATTTTGCTTTTCAAATCATACCATAATGAAAATTAATAGGCTTATTCTCCTAATATTCTTTATTTTACATACTTTACACACCTATCTAATATATACCTATCTAATCTTTTTGAATTACATTTCAGGTACTATCGCCAAGTTCCATTATGGAACTCATTATTCCAATTCTGCTGGTGTCTTACATTACTTAGTGCGTGTGGAGCCATTCACCTCCTTACATATCGAACTGCAAAGTGGACGGTCAGTGATGTTACGCTTACTATCACTATACACTAATATATGGAAGTAATGTTTTAAAAAAAATTGCGAAGATTATAAAACAGAAAGTAACTTTTGTTTCTTGTTTTGCACTATTAATGCCAGAAAGAAGTTCAAGTATATCCTTGGTGCCTGTCCTTTTAAAATTACAGTAGAGTGGGATTCAGGAAGTTAATTTTTTGGTTGGCAATAAAACACCTGGTATTGGAATCTATATGTAAAATCTAAGCGTATGAACTTAAAAGGAAATCTCTTCATATGAATCAGAAGTCTGAAAAAATCCCAGTTTCAATCCTTCGTTGCTTTTTTTTAACAGTTTCTATGTGTTTATATTGTAATTTAAGTCGGTACAATATTTTGTTTTCAGATTTGACGTTGCAGACAGACAATTCCATTCAATACCTCAAACTTGGAAACTTTTGATGGATAGTCCAAATGATGTCAAAGAGCTTATTCCTGAATTTTTCTACTTTCCAGAGTTTCTTAAAAACATGAATGGGTGAGCAAAAGCTTTAAAATGGATCTTCAGCAGTTGATCGATCAATTAATAATTTCTAGATTTTAGGAAATTCCTTCAAAAATCTCTGCTCATTTCACACTGTAGTCAGTCAGGCATGTGTATACAAGGTCAGGATGTCTACTATCAGTAAAAACCGGTAAATATATGTCAGGAAAGTTGACGTCATGGGAAAAAATCAGGAAAATGAGCCATGGATCAATAATTCTGAATGCCTCAAGCATTTATCAAACATTTGAATCAATTCATTGTATTTTGAATCGTAAAATCTAACAAATACCAATTTACTTATGCGAAAAATCAGGAAATTTCATTTAAAATATCAAGAAAGTATCAGAAAAATCAAAAAGAAATTTTAGTAGACACCCAGAAGATTAACTGATACACACATTGAAATAACCCCAAAAGTCCCAAGTGAGAATCGGAAATGGTTTTGCTTTTCAATTTGCAATGTACATTCAAGACATAATTTCAAAGCTCTCTTTAATTTATTTTTCTAGTCCCTATGTCATTACTGAGGCAGTGAGTCCACGTCATGTTTTTGTTTTTCCATCCTCAAGAGTTCCTTCCGTATTGTTGATGTGAACCCTTTTTTTCAGGTTTGATTTGGGTCATCTACAGGGCTCAAAGGAAAGAGTAGACGATGTCATCCTACCTAATTGGGCAACATCAGCGGAGGATTTCATATTCAAACATCGTAAAGCTCTAGTAAGTCATTTTTCATACCTCATTTTGATCCTCATTTTGTTCCATTTTATCTGCACCTATGTGATGAATCACAAAATATACTGAAGGACTTACCGTGCAATATCAATTTAAAACCATGCATATAAGTCACAAAAAATATCATGGTAATGTATTTTTTGTATCGTCACTTGTCAAATTTTTCTGGAAGTTGCTTTAAAAAGATGGCATTAAAAAAATATGTGTGTACGATGAGCAGGTTTGTTTGTCATGTCTCGGAGCAATTTCGGTGCTTTATAAAATTCCGGTGTCATTCCCATCTACAACATTTATGTTTTTTCAATTTTTCACCCTTTTTATAATCTGTTTTTATATTTGACCTTCATATTCATTAATCATATCATTTAATCATTTCAGGAATCAGAATATGTTTCTGCAAATCTTCACAAGTGGATTGACTTAATTTTTGGTTTCAAACAGAAAGGTCCAGCTGCTGTTGATGCCCTAAATGTATTTTTTTACTGCAGGTAAAAGTCATCTCGATTATTCTACCAAGAATTTTTGCTCCCATGTTCATTAGTCAGAAGGTATCAAAATAAGCTCACAGGGTTTCTCCCGACTTTCTTGAGACCTAGAACACACTAATACATAAAGTGATTTCAAAATCTGGAGTGTTGTCAAGAAGCAATGTATCCTTGAATGCGTGCGCAACTGCCCCAGTGACTGTCCAAATAATTACCTTATTTATTCATGGGGTTATTTAGACCAAGATTAAGCCATTTGGGTACTAGCATTTTTTTGCCCGCTGCAAGTGCTGCACCTTGCTAGTCCAAGCAACCAAAAGAGCAACAGAATACTCTTGAATAGAAACAATGTCCATTATGCTACCTATACCAAAATCAAACAAACATGAATCTGCAGAACAAACAGAAAAATCCATGCTCAGGAGTAAAAGAAAATTATTTTAAAACCTTTACAACTTGTCAAGTTTTTGAGCAATTAAAATGAACGTGGTATCAATCTGTAAAGAATGAGTTGTTCCATCAAACCAGCCAAAATCAGCTCTTTAAGTAGCTGTTTTATTCCTGTGGAGAATAGGCGTCGCAGAGCGCCCTAGCGCGCCGTAAAAGCGGCTCATACAATCATACATACACAAGTAGCTGTTTTAGTTTAAAATTTACAGCACCAATATCTGTTCTTTTGGGACAGTGTTGGTATTTAAGGGTGGAGACCATTCATTAAACATGTAATGCCCAAAGGGTAAAGCGTAATTTGAACCTTTCTTTATGAGTGCCTTACTGGGGGAATGAGGGTTGGGCTATGACTTATAAAGTTAGAATGAGCAAAAAAGCGCTGATTTTTGAAAATCCATGATGAAAACATGATGGAATGTGGCAATAGTTTGTCCTTTTCTTTTCTCTGAACACATATCTACGTTTAAAAATTGATCTGTAGCTTAAATTGCTTAAACTCAGGCCAGATCACTCCTTAAATAGTTGAAAGTCTGTATCTTGTGTTTCCGTGTCCAGTTATGAGGGTGCCGTTGACTTAGATGCCATTAGTGATCCATTGGAAAGAGAGGCTGTTGAAGGAATGATCAATAATTTTGGTCAAACACCAACTCAGCTCCTGCGTGAGTCTCATCCGCAGCGTCTGCCAGCAAGTGACGCTCTCGCCAAAATGCTTCGCTCTGACCTTAAAAAACCGGATCTGACTATGTTCCTAGATAAATTAGCTACTTTTCACATTCCTGTAAGTTGAACTTCTCTAGTCTTATTTCTAAATTTTCGAAGCATAATTACTAGCTTTGACGATAAAACCTCTAAACTTTTTTGGATCTTTTTTTTTCTATTCAGCTCAGTAAATCACATAAACTCTAAAGACAAAGCTGTAGGGATTTGGGATTATTTTGGTGTATTTTCATCAATAGTACTTTCCAAAAGTCCATGCCAAATAAATAAGTTCATGCTCTTTCAGTGTGCGACAGAAGATGTGCCATCTCTATTCTTATATTTTTAAGGGCTTGTAAAATACTTCTTATTGAATATTATTAAATTTGGTTGTTGTCATTTTTATTTTATTCATATTTAATAGTGTTTCATGATTTTGGTGATTCTCTACTTTTTTCAATTTGCTGTTGCACTCTCAAAGTGTGTACCCTTATTTGGCGTTCACTCCACCATTTCAAACTGAGCGCCACTTTGAACTAAGCTGTCAGAGTTACGGAGACTTTTTCCCTCCAAATTTCTCAGAATAGCTCTAAATCTAATGATTTCCTCAAACTCATTTATACACATTATACTTATTTATATATCTGGCACCAACAGAATGATCGAACCTGACCTGATCGAATAAAATTTTAGTAAAAACATGTTGACCCTATTTGTATACCATTTTTCTTGTTAAATCGTTAATTTTTAGGAGAGTTGGGGGAGGGTTGCAGTGTTTTTTGATACCTACAGTTGATGACACATAATGAATACGGAAGAAAACGAAAACTGAATAAAAATATGAGCTTAAAGCATTTATAGCAGATAATTTTCCCAATCATTTTATCAACAATATACAGAAATTCTTATTTATTACATTCTGATTCTGATTTGTAAAAATTTGCTGCTCCTTGTGTTATGGTCCCAAACTTTTGCTTACAGGTAACTACAGAAAGAGATTCTTTGGTATTTGTAAGTGTACCAAGGTCTCCACCTCGTGGACTCTTCCAAAATGTCATAGCTGACTGTTTGGTCACCATTTCTAAAAGCGGACTGATTGGCCAACACTCTTGGCTTCCTTATGAAAAACATTCTGCCAAAGGTTTTGCATTGGACATCGATTCATCCCTTTCAAATCCAAAGTAATTTTTTACCCATAGCTAAAATTTTCTTTTCCTAAAATACAATTTTCACTTCATGTCACCAATTAAACTGCAAATTTTCTAATCATCGATTTTTTCAAATTTTACCGATAGTTTACAGCATCTATCATGTTTCCTGCCGAATTGGTTTTCCAAGGTATAGGATGAGACGATGAAAAACAGATACTTTAGAAGTAAGACGTTTTGGCATCGATGTCATGGTGCACTAGAGAATTTTTATTTTTCTTGTAAATTGTAATTGCTTTAACCTCATTCAATATTCCAATCTCCTCAAGCTAGGTTTTTAAGAAGAGATTTACCTTTAATTCTTTCTGGTAGTTTTGGTGATGTAATTGCTCCCATTGTTAATGGCACTAATGGGGTGTTTGATGTGTTTGAAGTAGCTTATACAATTATATTGGGTCAGGCACTATTTCAGTAAAAACTCAAAAATAATAGTTCATTTAAGACAATATATTCTCCAATATATTTATATCAATACGTATATAATTCCAATAATGGAAATCTACATGAGGATGTTTTATGTAGTTCTAGTTTGAACCAGAGAAAAGTTACTGTATAGGTAAAGGCTGCTCAGTTCATGAAAGGAGGCACAAAATGTGTGACTATCAGAGTAGCTATTATTAGGCTTGCGAAATTGGGCAGTTGAAACATGTTTACTGTCAGTGCAAATGAAGGCGCCATGTAGGTGCAAGAAGGGTTTTTTTAAGTCGTAGTGTTTAGGAATATCTGCAACTACTTTAAATTTTAGAGAGTATGTAATGGGTAATTTTTCTAGAATTTTTTGTATAGAACATTGCAAAATTATGGAGAATTCTCAGTAAAAGTCTCAACAAAACATATGCATTTGCATTCCATATAATGGATGAAATGCTAGGGGGTATTTTGAGACTAAAAGGTCCCTCCTCTGCTCCTAGCGCTTCATTTATGTCTGTGAGTAGAATTAACATTCTCTCTGTTTGATTATCAGTCTCATACAGGTGATCAATGTCATTAATCAAGTATGCAAAATGACAATATTAGCAAGTATACATTATCAGTATCAAAGTTTTGTATGAATAATAATTGAGGTGAATTATTTTAATTTCTATTTTTTCTCCAAGAAATCCTATGCTCACAAAAATTGTACCCATTTTAAAGCATCATGTATTTGAAACACTTTTTTCCAATTTTACTTCTGAGTTTTCAGATGAAGATTCAGTTTTCGTTAATGTCTTTGATTCTCTTGTCACAGGTTGTGTAGAAGTATATCTGGCTCTTTTCATCCCAGTGTGACATTAAATAATCAGATGTTTGCTGTGTCACATGATGCCAAGTACCTCCTTAGTAGTGGACATTGGGACTCCAGTATTAAAGTTTTTAGTTTAATTAAAGGAAAAACTGTGATATCTCTCACCCATCATCAAGGTAATTCTTACATGAGATATCTGTTGAATTTCACTTTGTTTTTTCAGGAATAGCCTGGCAAAGGTACCAAAAACTGCTAATTTTTAATTAGACTTCCCTGGATCGATCGACAAGAATTTATTTATCCACGTTAACTGATTCAAAGGATTCAGCCCACCCAATATTTTCGTAGGGATCGAATTAGAGGCATGAATAAGGAAGGAAGTCAGTCATCTACAAGATTTTTCATGTTGAGGATTGGCTGAATCGGAAGAAAGAAACTTTTAGCTCCCCCGAGGATACGTGGGGTAAAACCCAAGTAGCTCTCACTGTTAAATTTGGACTGTAAAAAAGTTGCTTAAATGTAGAGTTTGGAAACCCTTTCTATTCTCTGTTAAAAATTAAAATTAATGTGAAATCTACCCAAAGAAAAGTTGTGAAAAAAAATTGGCATCAAAATCTTATTAAAGTCTTGAAGCCACTCATGTTGATACCAAACAAAAAATGTACAGCAACATATGCAACATTAAAAACTAAAATTTATGTTATAATTTACCAAAATAATGTGATTACAAAAGCTCAAATGCATAGAGAATTTGTCTATAAAAAACCACAAAAATAGTTTCCTAATTTCGATTTTTAACAGTTGTTTCTTCAGTTCAAGAATTTTCTTTTTGAAGTTTGCGAGTTTTTTTTAAAACAAAAAATTCAATGCAACGAGAGCAATATTTACAAAATAAATACACAATGACAAAAAATTTCATAACCACGTGGAGGCTATTTTTCACATCAATAGGTATGCCCTCTCTAGTTTTGATCAACTTACATTTAGAGTATTTTCTTTTTGTAGATATAGTGACATGTTTAGCGCTAGATGCTTGTGGTTGGTACTTAGTAAGTGGCTCCAAAGATTGTACAACTGTGATTTGGGACATACATCAAATGCCCTCTGTGACACCTAAAGCCATTGCAACTCTATGCGGTCATGATCAACCCATCACTTCAGTGGCTGTCTCCACTGAGTTGGATATGGTAGTGTCAGGCTCGGAGGTTAGTAAATTTTGCGAAATTTCATTCGCTCATGAAGAAGAAATTTTGCAAGGAATTTTGAATAAAAATTGACAGAAATGCGACAAATTGTATCAAGTTTGGACCGAGATGAAAAAATTTGAAATTTAATTTCTCCATTACTTAAACTCAATGTGAAAGACAAAGTTGAGTGACTATTTTCACTTTGAAAATATTTTTCCTTGATTTTGATTTTTTGATAGGAGATAATGACTCGATTAGTTGAATAACCATACTTCAAACTCATTTTATTTGAAATAAAATGTGATTTGTTGTGTTTCTGCTAGACTCGATTCTGTTGTCCTTCCCTGATTCCTGTAAGAAGCCTTTACTGATCTGAGAATACTTGAAATTTGGGGAAAATTAAATTTTGGTCAGAATTTTGGAGTCCCCTAATAACCTAAGAAAACGCAACATAATATATTGGGATATCTGATGCATATATTGCTTTGGATAGTATGATTTGTTACTTAATGAAGTGGTAACAAGTATCTGCGACTCGGGAAATTTCGGTGTGAAAATTAGCAAATTTAATGAGTCAATATTCTTTCAGAACTTCTAAACAAAGGGAAAAAGAAGTAACATTCGTCCATATCTGATGTTTTTCATAGAACGTTTTTTCCGATATTTTATTAGCTCCTATTCTACCGTAGAGCATTATAATTCTTCCTAAAAGGTAAGTCATCCTGTTCTCTCAACATTTTGCTTTAAATTTGCACCATGACCAAATGTTGCAGACTAATTTCATACTCAGGAGTGTATGACACTTCCGAGCAGCAGTTACCACTAAAGTTACTTTTCTCTTTTATTAATTACAAATATTATAATCGTTTGTATTCTTCAAATATTTAGGATGGAACAGTCAATGTTTACACTATCCATGGAGGACAGTTCATTAGGAGTATTTGGCCCATTGGTTGCAATCCTAAGACAACGAAAGTGACCTTTGTCGGTCTCTCTTTTCAAGGACATCTTGCTTTCTCAGCACGAGATTCGGTAAGAATCAATCATTTCTGCATCACCTTCATCAGATGAACTTCCACTTTTGCAATTTACTTTCAGCTTCAAGCAAGCATGTGCGGGTCTCAAATANGGGGGGGGGGGGGAGGGGGCTTTTTTAACGAATATGGAAATAGAGACTCCTTGCTGCAAAAAAGGCAAGAATGGAGGAAAGTCAGGGGTAATGTAAAAGCTTGAGATTAGGTACTAAAAGCTAAAAAAATTACAGATTTTCTTATATCTACGGCTAAAAGCTAATTTTAATTGTAACATTTAAAAAGATCCAATTATGTTTTATTTTCTACAAGGAAAACTGAACATAATGTTTCTTTGCAATTGAAGAGCTTTCTGGAAAAAGGGCTCATATCGAAAAATCGTAATTGAAGCTTTTATTGTTTCTCTCTGGCCACTAGCGGTGACTTGTATCGGAACTTAGACACTTAGAGCAAAGTGTAGGTATATATCCTAGAATGAATAATGACCGTTGCCCTAACTTGCACTTCTTAGAATGTTGTGTGAGGAATTTTTAAAATTTCCACTATGAGCCCTCTTTTTGAAAATGGACAGGAGGATTTTAAAGGTATACATTTCTAAGATATGAAAGAATTTCTAAACAAAATTAAAGTTTATTAATCTCTCCTGTATAACAAAAAATAGCAAGGAAAATTTACTTTGGTCGTCAGTATTCGAAGAGAAAGAATAAAAGCGTATTTTAGAGGAATGAGAAAAATAATGACCTGAAGCTCTCCCTTCTTTCTTTTTGAATACTTTTGACAGATAAAGAAGATTTTTCTTTACTTTTTGTATTACAGAAAAGATTAATAAACTCTTTTTTTGTTTAGAAACTCGTTCATGTCTCAAAAAGGCAGCTTTAAAAGCCAAAACCTGATACTATCGATCCGTTGCTGGAAAAATTGCCTGCTATCTTCTTGTTGTTGAGAATTCTGTAGCTAAAGTGAAAATTTTACTTGGTCTTAAGCTTATTTATCTTCAGTGAAACAATGCTCCAACAAAGTTGATTGGTTTTACTTCTGTCAAGAAGGTAGAAGGTCTGTTTTCAGATCAAGAAATTTCTAGCCGTTGTAGTATCTTTTCCATCATTAATACGTCCCTTTCACTAAGTTAATTATGTTTTTCAGTCAAGTGGAGACTCAGTGCACGTTTACAGTGTAAATGGTGAGAATCTCGGATCCAAGCTTGTTTCTGGTCGAGTGACAGGACTTGCCACTGTCAGCCACTGTTTGGTTGTGGTGGATGATGCAGGAGACTTGACGATGAGCCGCCTCTTGGGGTAATTACATTTTTTTTACTCTCTTAGTAGAAATGATAGCCAATACTGGAGTTTAATCTGGAGTGCAGGAGTTAAAGCTCTTTCAACTTCAAAGTTATCTGCATACTACAATTATGTGGCTACTGTACTTTTATGATGTATTTTAAAGCTATATTTCCACACTATGATGCACTTTCACTAGTTGATACTTGATGAAAATACGCCTGAAGGGCTGAAAAGGCGTTACATGTTTTCACACGGGGTCTAGGATGGTAAAGGACCTCGATGATCATGATGTTGCATCCTGAGCAGCGCATGCTTTGTATAGACGTGCTGATGTCACAAGTGGTAAGGCAACAAGTCTGTGTGTCATTGGCTGGCTATAATCTATGTAGCTATCAGTTGCAAGTCTAGTAATAAAAAGTAATGGAAATGAACTGAATGATGGGATGTTAAGAAGACTTGAGATCGAAAATGGACTTTTGTAAACTGGAAAAATGAATATTAAAAAAAAATTGAGAAGTGTTGACAATTTCAAATTGGCATTTAAGTATTGAAATGATTTAAAAATATTGCAATGTTATGTTAAAAAATTACAATTTCATCCCAATATTTTCACTGCACTGTGTCAGGTACTCAAATTGGTGATTTTTTCTCTAATGTGATGATCGGATTTTTCTTTGGTGATAGGTTGCATCCTGTTTATGATGTGCCTCTTCATGTGCCTGTCCAAGGCATTGTTGTAACCAGTGCCAACACTCACATGCTGATCCCACTGAGAGATGGTAACTTGGCTGTTATTGGTCTTCCCAACACAATTCAAAAACCCTAGCACTTGGAAGAACAGCATCAATACCTGAATGGCCCCATATCTTAAACTACCACCATTTGAAAGTTTGTTATTTATTTCTCTATCTATCTTAGTTTTTTTGATCACTTGACGCATTTAAACAAGCAGTATGGTGTGGTTTAGTCATGCAATTTTTAGGTACCTGTTTATGTACCTATTTTTAGACATTGTTCAAGCTTCTGAGAGACTTCTATCTCCATCAGGGTGGTCATGCCAACAGTTTACTGTTGCTCGTTACTCGGAAATGCTTCATGTTTCTCGAGGTTGTCTCGAGGATTAGCTTATAATTATCAATAAGCTTAGTGCCAAAAAGTTGATTTCAAGTTACATCTTCACATTTTTAGTTTGGAAAACTGCTGTAAAACGTACTACCAACGCTATCTTTCAGACGTCATATGTACTACCCTTTTGTTGTTGGCATTTGTCCTGTTATGTAGCACATTGTTTGGTGCTTATATCAAAACGTCCGGTTCAAATTCATTTTCGATTTTTTGGCATGTAGCCTGTTGTTGATAAGTCTTCATGTATCTTTGATGCACGATGAGATCCTTCTCTCAAAGCTAATTATCAATTGTTTTTAATAGTCAATTTGTAAGAGTCCTTTATAAATCATTGTAAGTATTTTATTGGTTTTATAGTGTCATCGAATTGTGTCCTAGTCATTCCACTTTGAAATTTGGAGCTGTTTTATTTGCATTTATCATTCATTATTCCTTGGATAAGCCTGAGGACCTGAGGTGATGATGAACCCATTTTTTTTCATTCGTTGTCCCTATTTTTGAAATTGAAAATAATTTATACAAGAAAATAATAACTTAAGTTTTGGATTGTCCATTTTTTTTTGTAGAAAGTTTTTTTACAGTTAACCTAAAGTGTAACGTTACTTTTTTTTTTTATTTTTTATTGCAATGGCACCTTAGAATTCCCTTTTTGTTTACATTAATGTGAAGTTGTTTAGGCATGATTTAAGAAGAAAAATTGAGTGACAGAAACAATTTAGGTGAGCTTACAATGCCAAAATGAGGGGAAAATGTCAGAATCATGACATGCAGGATGAGGAAACTACCTTGACTGCTCATATTGAGATGCCAAATGTATTTTAATCTTATACCTCTTTTTATCCTGATTTTCACTATTTTAAAACAAGCTTGTGAGATGAACACTCACAATGCAAAAAACAATTGTGGCACATGAATGGTGTCTCCTCTGTCCATCGGTGTCTCATTTCCCCTGATTCCCTATTTCCATCATTTCACTTGAAAAGTCACATATCAATGTTTCAAACATCACAGAGACCTAGATTCTCCTGTTGCAGCAATGATATTCAACAGGCATATGTACCCTAAAAAAGGAGAAAGCAATATTTGCCAAAAATTAATGATACATATAGCGAATCACTCTCATTATTGAGTATTTTTTTTATTCTTTTAAAGGATTCGTATGTGAGAAAATTGTTTGCGCTGCTCCTTGAACTTTTTAAGAAATTTCTTAAATTTAATGATGAATTAATTCATGACATTCTGCAAAATTTTGTATCTAAAATGTTATCTTAAAATTGTAAGTGGATGAATAATAAAGGAAAGTGATTATTTACTGTTTTCGAAGAGTTATTTTTTTCTTGGCCTTCCAATTTCCAATCCTGCTGAACAGAATGCAATGTTATGAACTGATCTGCATTCTAGCAGTGATGAAAATACACGTGAAAACATTCAAACAATGGTTAAGAAATCATGCAAAGCAACAATTTCTGAAGTAATAGATGAGTTATCTGTGTTTTTTCAGTGAATCTGTACTTTTTCTGTACAACAGGCACCTTACATCAATTGAAATTCCAAAGAAAATTGTAGGTTTGTTTTTACTCAAATGTTAGGTTGAAGATTTTCGAAAATATACCAGTCCTTAAAAATTTACCAAAAATAGTGACAAAAGAAATACTCCCGGCAAGGTAACAAAATAAATAATTTAGTTTATTACAGTTAAATCAAAAACATGATAAAGTAATAAAAACTTACACATATATTCAAGAAAAAAAGAAAGAAAATAACCTTGTACAATATACACGGATACACAAACAGATATGAGGTTAATTAATTTTGTCGCCGAAAAAATATACTTGAAAAGATAAAATAGACTGAGAGAAAATGATGGACGTGGGAAGAAGCAATGAGAGAAATGGTGTTATCTTTGCAATGAAAAGCCATTCGTTTCGCTGGGGCCCCTAGGTTGTCGAATAATATTTGATTCACTAACACGAGTAGACTGTGCTGTCTCCTCATTCTTGGACTGAATTAAAGAGTTGACATTGTATAAGTTGCTAGAACATGCTGCAGTGTTATCTGTCGGCAAAGGAGGAAATTCAGAACTACTTAAATTAGAAATTGTATTATTACTAGGTATACTGGATTCCCACATGTCTACTGCAACTTTATCTCCTGAATCTTGTCCTTCTTCGTTGTTTAACCTCGAATTTGGTGTGCCTAATTCTACTTTGTTCAAAATTCTAGCAATCGAAATTATTCTGAAACAGAGAAAAGAAAGGCAAGATATTAATTAGGTTGCGATGCAAAATGGTTTCAGGTGGAAACAAAAAAAAAAAAAACTTAATACTTGAGTTCTTCTCTCCCCAAATTTTCAGCCTCCTGAATCCCCGAACTGATGAAAGTCAACGACATGGAGTAGAACTCTGGGCTCGAAAATCGAAGTAGCTGCTTGTAAAATGACTCGAGGAAGGGGTCAACGTTAGAAATTTCATGCCTCCAAAACAATAACAACAGGAACCCCCCCCCCCCAATTGCAGTGTTTGTTTAAAATAAACTGAAAAAGACCACGTTAAGATTCCAGGGCAGGAAATCCTGTATGATTTTTAGGCAGTGTTTCGTAAATTATTTCAGGTTTAGAAAACGAGAAATGATTTTAAAAGCATGAAAACTTAGAGATGTTGATTTCTTAACTGCACCAAAACCACTTACACAAGTTGACTATATCACTCCCATGTCTAATGAGTGGTTGTGAGTTCCACAGATAAAAACAGTTTGGGAGTTGAGAAGAATTGAGGTAAGCAACTTGCGCGAACCAAGCACAAATCTATGAAATTTTAGTGATGTAGACAGCTCCGAGCCTTACTCACTGATCACGCTAACCAGCAGACTCGTGAAGCATTTTAGAATAGAAAATCTGACTCCTTGAGTCATTTTCACAAGCAATTTGCTTGCTTTTGGCTCTGTTGGAACTTTTGATTTTTGAGTCCAGAGGATTTACTCCATGTTGTCGATTTTTCTTGATTTTGGACAGAAAAAAATTTTTAGACAAGCGACTGATAGTGTAAAGTTTAAGGCGGAGCATTGATTCCGCATAGTACAAAGGCTCGTTGAAACTTCCTGCAACAAGAAATAATTTATTTGAACCATTTTTGATGTTATGCCTGTATGTTTTATCTACCAATGGAACAAACCAGCAGACTTGTTAAGGATTTTAGTCTAGAAAATTGGACTCCTGGGGTTTCCGGACCCTAAGATATATAAAATTATAGCCAAATTCCTTAAAGAAAATAAAATTAACATATTAAAAAAAATCAAGTAATAAAAAAAGAGAAGAATAAAATAGCCACTCAAGGAGTGACTAGTTTATCCTTTACTCAACTTTCTTTCTAACTTCAAAATACCTAGCATATCCCATTGAATGTTTTCCAAGACCCAGTCTATGGTATAGGAAGTTGTCCTGAAGGGTCTCAGAACGTGAGAATGGTGTTAGTCTTCTAGATTCTACCCTTTTCTCTTCAAAACAACCACTACAAATATTCCTAACCCAATTCCCTAAAAAATCCTACTCTGAAAAAATTCTAATAAATGTCTCTTGACGGCTGTAGGCTCCTCTACTGGAGTAAAAGCCACTAAACTAAGAAGAAGAAGAGGAAGAACCGCTCCGGTTATTTTGAGGAAAACTAGCTTGATTTCAGCCCAATCAGAGAACTTTCGATTTGGACCTCAAAATCTTACTCCGAGTACCCCTGTTGATTTTTTAAACTTTCCTCAAGAAAAACGAGTTATAGATAATTGACTGATACTCTTTAGTTCAGGACATAGAATCAATTGGGCATGGTCCTGAGGCTCCCAAGAGCTTTCTGAACTGAGAAATGATTGTTAAACCGTTTTTAATCATTCACCCACATGGCTTGAAAAGGCTGGCTAATTATTAGGTGACGGTGATCCTTGGCACGTCCACAAATTTTCAGGGCATATTACATTGTCTTGTTACAGGAGCAAATAGAATGGAATTTATCCCCCATTCTCACTATCACTAGTCCCAGTGGTTGACGTTGAATGTACTTTTGAATCAGCACATGTATACACTGTCAGTCTATCTAGACAGCATTCAACGTCTAATAGTACTGGCTATGATGGCGCATGGGTCTAATTTAAGAGGATGACTGCTTCGGTCAACTATGTCTTTTTTGAGAATAACGCACAAAATTGAGTTTCTTTTTCATTCTGATTTTTTTTTCTTTTCTGCATTGATATGCTGTAAATTGACAGAGAGTCCTAGCCAAAAACTACTTCAAACAAACTTACTTTTCTTCATCTTGAGGGAGATCTTCATCTGGACTTTGAGCTTCACCTAGGATCCGTAACCGAGCCTGAGCATACGCTTCCTCTCGCTGGAAAAAAAACAATTTATTTTTAAACTTTCACTTGATGATAAAACACGGAAAACAGAAAGGTTATAAATTTTGAAAAACATAATTGAGCAGCTGTAAAGAGGGCTACAAAAGGCACTCAAGACAGCCAGTTTTATAACTAAAGGACAATTGAGGGGCTCGGCAGACACGGCGCATAAGAGCAGTTTTTGAAAAAATTCAGATAGGTAATAATGATTTCAAGTAAAACTAGTCTTAATGCATACTCTGAGAAAAATTCGCTGCCAAATTACAATTTATAAGCATCAAAAAGACAGTTGGAACTTTCTTTCCGCCATAAGGATCCGTGTAATTTGGAAACTTCAAACACATATTTTTCAAACTAGCAAAAACTGCACTTATGCGCCTTATCCTTCAAGCCCCTGAATTATTAGACAGTGTTATAGATTCTCTGTTTTGAGCGCCTGATTATAATCGCCTATAAGCGCCTTTGATGTTGTCTTTACTTGCTGGTCAGTGAAATAGAATTTACGTAACAAAAAAATTGAAACTTTGTACAAAGCACAGAATATGTATAAAATCAGCATTTCGACTGCATTAAAAAAGATCACAACAATGTTAAATATCAAAAGTTTTCTGAAAAAGACCACATAGACCATCTGTACAGGGCGGGGTGTTTGGCTCCTGCAGATCTAGTCTAAAAATAATTTGGAATAAACAAAAGAAATTTCACTGCCGGTGTTGAATGGAATGTCTCAGTCCTGTGAGCACCCTCAATTAACCAGCACCAAAATTTTGGTTTTACTTGGCTGAAAATGTTGATGCGGTATATGTTCAGTTATCTGTAAATCAGATTTCGATTTTTACAGTAGAGAATTATATAATAATAATTTAATTTAATTTACTCCTAAATCCTTTTTTATAAAACTTTCTGATATAAATTGTAAATTTAGGTATAAATTTACAAAGAGTCTTTGTTAAAATTTGAATTCTGATTTACTTATACTTTTGAAAATTATTAGTTTTGCTTCACTTAAAATTTTTTCTATAAAAATATCTTTTGATTACCTAAATTATGAAGATCATAAATCTAAATGAGTCAAATTCAACTAACTTGGTTTCTTAGGGTAGGTACCAAAAGTACCTCATTATTCCCTTAGCCCTGGTAATTAAATCAGTTTAAAAAAGGGAACTACTTCAACTACTTAGGTTTTCAATAATGATATCCTTGATGGAGCAGGTGAGATGTCTATCAAATGGTTAAGTAAGATGAAGGGGTCTTTAACTTAATATTAATTATAATACTTCAAGAAAAGAGATTGTGAGAGAAGAGAGCTTACCTGTTGAAGAGTTTTAATAGGAAATCTAGGTTTTGAGGTATCACCATTAAGTAAAAGGCCATCCCCCCCACCCATTGAAGAGTTCTGCCGCTGGGAGGGGCGCTTCAAAATTTTGACTATAGGTACAGGAGGGATTCCACACCGTGCTCTGGCTTCTTCAGACATCTGTACATCATCAGGGCCTTCGGAAGGAATTGGACATCTGTTAAAAATAAAAATAGAATACATTTCGCTGGAAAAATCTTCAATGAAATTTAAGAGCAATGAGATAAGAGCATTGACAATCCTCAAATTAAAATTGCAAAAAAAAAAAAAAAAAAAATTGGAAAAAAAAAGAGGAAAACCGAACACAAATTTTCATCCATTTCCAGTGCTTCCAAAAAGCAAGCTTCTAAGCCAAAGCAAGATAAAATGTCAGCAATATAGAATAATCTGTGTATCTTGCAAATTTTCCTCTTGTATGATTTAAATAAATTCCACATATTTTCCTTTTTCAGATTTCATTGCGTAGCAAAACTAGATTGTATAAAACGATTGAAATAATAAGTAAGAAAGATGTGCGACAGCTTTCGAGATTGTTTGTTGACTTTAATAGGTTAATTTTCCTAAAGTGCATCTCTTTCAGAATAAACCTGATTGCCAGCGATTGGGAAAAAAGTGCCTGTTCTCGCGGCCAGGTGGAGAGTGAGTGATATAAAGCGAGCAACAAGTGCTTGAAGGAAGGATTTTTGACATTTCTAATGCACTGGACAAGATTTTTACTCAAGTCTACATTCCAAACGGCTTCTCGGCTACCTGTACCTTTTAGGAGCAACACTCATTGAGTTGAGTGAATAATACTTCGACTGACTTATTTAATCACAAAATACTAATTAGAGCTTGTGCATCGTATGTTGAGACAAACATCGAAGTATTGTTTACGCCACCATTCACCAGTGGTGCCACCTAACTGCATGTATTAACCTGTTGAGTGGTGCGAATTCAGAGCTAATCGGGGATGGACGTTTGTCTCAACATACGATATGCGAGCTCTAAGAGGGATGAAGTCTGAGAAACCTGAGAACCTGTGAATTAATAAGCTTTCTATGCAATGCAATGTCCGTGCATCATTAGTCCCTTGCAGTGACAACGGCAACTCACTTGCGATTAGGTACAGTTTAAAAAAAATTGAATTTTTCTGCTGGAAAACGTAGCTGTTCTTGTTTAGAAACATCTCTACGATTTTCAGTTTCAGCTCAATCCTAATCTAGTTCATTTAAAATCTGTTCAGCAAAAGACATATGGAACAAAGTAGTTTATTTCATTATGAAGAGAAAAAATGAATAAAATGTTTACATACGTTGCAACTTCTCCATTCATTGCGGAGCTTGCCTGAACTCTAGATGCCAGCTGTTCTTTGAGGGCCTGGAACAAAAAGAGAAATAGGTATCAGATCACTTTGATGAGGACCATGCATGAAAACAATCAACGCATTCTCTACTGTATCAAATCCAGAAATGCAGGTTTGAGTTTAACCATTGACGCTCTTGTTCTCAAATTGATAGCTTCAACTGAAAGGCAAATTGATATTGTTTAAATAAGTACCAAACTGAACACTTCAATCAGCCAAGGGTTGAGTCACAACATTATCTAGACCTAGACGAGACATAAACAATGACGAGGGCAATAATTACAACCTTTGAAGCACTGAAATAGGAAGGCTGTACCATCAAGAGAGAGATGTAGGATAAATGTAGATGAAGACATTCTATTAAACGACATGTTCGCAAGGAGCACTGCGGTCAACAGATGTAGCTCAGTTAGACAAATTTACAGCTGATAAACCGGTCTAGAATTTGCCCAGGATGAAACATAATAGGCTCACACTTGACCTGAGAGAAGAAATAAATGATAGTTCAGAATTTAGAGGCTGAGGCTCACTTTAAAATTTGCAGTCACATGAAGAATAACAATAACCTAGTCAAAATAGGCCATGATGTTTTCAGGGAATGATGTGCCCCGCAGCATAACACAGATGGAAAGAAACGGTTCAATATTTCTTGATGATTAATTTAAAATGATTGAATAATGATTACTCACTTCAGGTTCCAATTCCTCCCAGTTATCAAATACGACGGGCTTTTCGCTGGATGCCATTTTGGTCACTTTCGAAATTTCGAATTCGATTTCTTGTGATGTGATATGATTGTAATTGTTATCCTATCGACACACCTGACAGTGCAAATGTCCTCCTAACATTTTGAAAAGTCCCTGAGAATAAGTTTGAGTCATCCACTTCGATTCTCTCTTTTAACAGAACAAATCATTAATAAAGATGCATTATCAATATTCAGAATTTAATTTATTCGACTCGGCGTAAAATAATTTTAGTGAGAGCATGTTTCGAGATATTTGAATTGGCAAGAATTTGATTAGAAATAAGATTAGGTTTGCAAACCTGATACATGAAGTTTTGCTTCGAGACAGCGGGAAATTTTAAAAATGCGGACTTGCAAAAAAAGTCCGTCATTCTGTGTGGCGCGGCGCGGTGTCGTGACGGCAATACACGTCCGTTCTCAAATGCAAATGCATGCATTAAACAGTTACCAATGGTTATTTAAGGCTTGAATTATTATGATTGTCTTTCTGAGGGATATTTTATGAAAATATTGATATATAACGACGGTTGTTGCTCGTTAACTAATATCTCCCGAAGATCAAAGGTGCGGATGAAACGATCATAATACAAGCACCGTAAGTTTTACAAAATGACAAAGTTTTTTACTTTGACATGTTTTAGCTGATAATTTAAAAAATGACACTAAAAATAATCCTCCCTCCCCTGTTGAGAAAGAAGTTGAAAATCTAAATTGCTGTTCCGTTTCTGTCCCCCTCACTATAATACGGGTGAATAACTGCACGCCATACCTAGCGATGGAAGTCTCAAAAAAAGCATTTCAATTGGCGCCGTTGCAGATTTCTTCTTAAATTTTATATTTTCACATTAAAATCACACACTATCTCTTGACATTCGTATCTCTTGGCATTCGTATTTTTTTTTTTTTCATTCTGGATCAGAAATTCTCAGAAAATTCCAAAAAATGATATTCATTGGTTTTTCTTTAAAAAAAAAAAAAAAAAAAAAAAAAAAAAAAAAAAAAAAAAAAAAATTAAGAAACCGACAGCGGAGATTTAGAAACTTGGATCTTTACTTTTCAGCGGAAATTTCATAGGGAACAATATAGGTTTTCTTAGACTTGACTACTTACCTCTCCGCCCATATGACTTGTGTGATTGAAATCGGTTGATTATAGGAGCACCTTGTGTTTAAAAATATCCAAATAGCCCTCGGCTACCGCGACGACAATGTCGTGGACAGTAAGAAAAAGAGAGAAAAAAGGAGACAAAAACAAGTGGAATCAGCGCCTCTACCGGACCGATCCTATGCCAGGAGGACCGGTTTTATTTGCTGGAAAACGTCCAAATTGAATCAGATGGGCATATCAGAAGTGCATGATTTAACTGTGCTGGCTGTAGCAACAAGCGACGTACCTACCTTCTTGAACCTTTGTGCTTCGTCCGCGGTTTTGAAATCATTTAGGTTTCTCAATTGACTCAGGTTTGAAAATTTGCTCAGTGCCGTTCAGTTTTGTCGGAAAAATGACGACAGGAATTAGTGACAATGACAGAGCCGTCCTCAACGCCATATTAAATCCGAACCTACCTATGTCAACACCGAACGACGAGGAACTTATGTTAAGAGACACCAGTGAGTAAATTGGCATTTTTCAATGTCATAATTATCATTCGCATTTTACATGTTAGCTTCAGCTTTAATCCCTTATCTTAGCACACAGTTTGCAGGGGTCACCGCCCCCTAAAAAAACAGAACTTGCCCCGCAAAAGAGAGTCAAAAGGAGTTGCGAGTTTTCCGTAATTTTGGTGGTATGCGCGAGGTATATGGGGACACCTCAGGGCGTGTCGATATGTACTTGAATTTCAAAAATACATTTTTAGACTATTTTCCATTTTATTCTATTCATTTATTTTTGAGCGAGAGGGGCATGAGAATGAGCACACTTTTTTCTCAGAGCACGTGGATCGTGGGTACTACATGCTTAGTATAAATTTAATAGGTGATTGATGCTTCCGTGTTTTTTTAATATCTAATTCAAAAGGTGTTGCTTAAATCAGAATTTCTGATGACCTCAAACAACATATTTGATAGTCTGAATGAACCAACAGAAACAAAAATTACCCTCCCCCCCCCCCCCCCCTCTCGAAAAATTGACAATGTGGGTTCCCCAAACCTCCCCCCCCCTCCACCTTTTTTTAGCATCGTGAGTTGAGAGTTAAAAATAAAAGGATTTTGTGCAAATACACTAATTTTTGCCAATATTCGTCTTTACCCGAGGGAATATTTTTTGATATAAAAAATACAAACGCTTACATCTTGAGATTGTTGATGGTTTTTTTTTTTTTTTTTTTTTTTTTTTTTTCCAAGCTTTTTTTTCCTGATGTGTTTGACAGAATTTGAGGAAAGCTTGGTGTATTTTATGTTCAAGGCGAAAGCGAGCAACTGACACCTTCAGTATGTGAGGCAAAAGAAAGAGAACTAGAAGGAATAAAAAAAGCCGAAATGGGTGAGCTTGATGATTCAATCAGACTGCTAACCGAATCCATTGATATTGCATCCAGAGCTTCGGCATTTAACAATAGGGCCCAAGTTCATCGATTAAAAGGAGATACATCTGGTAAGTAATGATGGATGCAAGGCCATAAAAAGATTTCCAACTGCTAGATTCGTAAAATTCTTTTAAAACTATTTTTATTGCCTGTTCCATTTTGTGTGGTTTTACTTTCATTGCAGCATGACAAGATTTAAAAGCGAAAAAGAAAAAGAAAGAAAGTAAACAATACACCTTTACCGAAATCTGCCACCAAATTAAAGGAATCACTTACCAGTTCAGATGGTGGGTAAATTTCTTCCGCTGTTACTTACATGCTCATTTACTGAGAGGGAAAATTACATAATCAGCAAGAGTTGGTGCTAAATTTCTAACTGAAAAGCTGTATTGTCAAAGTGTAAGAAGTGGATATGCTTAGAATAATTCTAGCAAGCTTTTCTCCCTAGTCTCTACCAGTAAAAGTGCATAAGAGTATTCCTGAAACCATCTCATTTATTCTTCTCCCAGTCTAATTTATGCTATTGATAAGAAAAAGCAATAAAAATGTGGCCTGAACTGTAAGTAACAAGGTGGTGGAATGAAAATGATTAAAATTCAATAGAACCCTTTCATCTATTACATAATTGATTTTGTTTATTTTATTTCCCATGAAAATTTATTAAACTGTAAAATATGTAATAAAACCTAAGATTTCTTGAAAGTTCACACTATTTTATCACGAAAACACGGCCAAGAAAGTTCTGAAAATTTCCATTAGATTCTGAAATTTGAACTCTAATTAGTACCTTTCAGTGCAAAACTCATTTTTACACTACTGATCAAGTTTTATTTGATACTTTTGTACTTTTAAATTTCTGTATGGTGCTTGAAATGGTCTAATAAGTGAGGTGTATTCCCTTCAAAAATGTTTAATTTTTTTTGTCTACAAAGCGGCGATGCAGGATCTGAAAACGGCAATAGATTTGAGTAAAGGAACTGGGCGTGCAGGCTGCCAGGCATTCTGTCAAAGAGGGATTTTGTACCTCTGTCAAGGCAAAGATTCTCTGGCCAAACAGGATTTTGAGTCTGCAGCGAAACTTGGAAGTCAATTTGCCAAAACTCAGGTATGGATCCTCAATACATTAAATTCTTACTTTTTGATGTTTATTGACTGATTTTAGGACTCTTTCCTGTCACTCATCTGTGACAAAAAATCTCTTTGTAAATTTGTAAATTTGAAAGAGAACCAAGGTGTTGTATGGAATATTTATTATTACTGAGGCACCTTTCGGCTTACGCCATCTTCGGAGTACATATTCATCGGAACATAAATATACATAAATATATACATACAAATATATACATATATTGTTAAGCTTGTGACAACTAGTGCATTTTCAAAATGATCTGTAAAGACGTTAATAGCCTGAGACGCTGAATGTCTTAAAATTATACTAACTAACTAACTAACTAAAGTAACTGTGATATATTTATGTTCCCATGAATATGTACTCCGAAGATGGCGTAAGCCGAAAGGTGCCACAGTAATAATAAATATTTCATACAACACCTTGGCTCTCTTTCAAATTTACAAATTAAAATGGTGTTTTTCCAATCAAACCTTATTAATTTAAAAAATCTCTGTCTTTAGCTTTTCTTTTCCTAATATGCGTTCCCACTTTTGGCAATATATTTTCTTTTCTTGTGTTTCAGCTTGTGCAAATGAATCCATACGCTGCAATGTGCAATCAGATGTTGCATCAAATAGTTCAAATGCAATTTTTTCCACCTTCACAAGAATGATGACTCTTGGCACAGCATCGTAGCACCAAGGGTGTTTTAACATGGTAGACGTGAGCAGTATCAAAGCTGACAAATCTTAAGAGAGATTAACATTGCAATAATTGTTTAAATTCAATCTATTTAAGCGCGAGTAATTGGTTCCAAGGTTTCTCTTCAAAAATGTGAGTTAAACACAATTTAAACAAGAATAAAACGAAGAGACTCTTTCTGAGTTAGGAATTAGTGAATATTCTTTTCATTCATAGCTCATTGAGTTTATATTAGTGCATTATCCATTCATTTTGAAATGTTTCTGATCTCTTTACAATCAAGTCAAATTGTCTGACTGAAATAGAACTTGTCACACTGATGAATTGATATTCGTCAAATTTAATTGATAAAGAAATTTAGTGTGGAAAATAAAATAATAAAAACTTGTTGTTGTTGAAAACTGTAGAACTGACATCACTTCACATGAGTAAAGCACACCGTTTGTCAACGGAGTTTGACAAAAATGCACTAATGTTGCATCAAGTTTGAACCGAAAAAAAGAGGCTAGAGGTTTCATTCCTCCAAAAGACTCAATATTGAGGACGAAGATTAATGACTAATTTTCTGGTTCAAAAATTTTTGTTTCAACTTCGGGTTTTTGATAGGAGAACTTTTATGACTAACAAGGGGAGCTTTCCAAGTGTAACCGGAATTTCGAGGTGAAATTTTGCATGAAGATACTAGAGATGATTTTAGGGATGCCGTATTTTTTCGTTTTTTCGAATGGGGTCGGGAAAGCCCTCAAAAAAAGGGCTAAAGATGCGGAAAAAACGCGTGCGCTAGCGGCACAAGGTAAACATAGGTGATAGAGGCTCTCCATTCTTATCAGTTCTGCATGGCCAAACGGTAGCGTGCTCGCCTCGCAGGCGGGAGGTCGTAGGTTCAGATCCTGACTACAGTCCGTAATTTTATTTTACTTAATGCTTGTTTATTTTTCACTTACTTTATTTTGCACCATTCTCTCCGCAAACCGACTTATGAGGTAGAACACGTAGTGACTGAAGATTTTTACATACCTATGCTGATGAAAACTTGAAGTTTCTCTTTGATTGAAACGTTATACATAATTGAATAAACAAAAACTCTAAAACTCACCAAATTTCGTCGCCAAGCTGAATTTCCGGAGTATCAGTCAGATACAGATACAGATTCGACTGATACTTCGAAAATTCTGCAGCTTGGCGACGAAATTTGGTGAGTTTTAGAGTTTTTGTTTCTTCAATTATATATAACGTTTCAATCAAAGAGAAACTTCAAGTTTTCATCAGCATATGTATGTAAAAATCTTCAGTCACTACGTGTTCTACCTCATAAGTCGGTTTGCGGAGAGAATGGTGCAAAATAAAGTAAGTGAAAAATAAACAAGCATAAAGTAAAATAAAACTACGAATTGTAGTCAGGATCCGAACCTACGACCTCCCGCCTGCGAGGCGCGCACGCTATCGTTTGGCCATGCGGAACTGATAAGGATGGAGAGCCTCTATCACCTATGTTTACCTTGTGCCGCTAGCGCACGCGTTTTTTCCGCATCTTTAGCCCTTTTTTTGAGGGCTTTCCCGACCCCATTCGAAAAAACGAAAAAATACGGCATCCCTAAAATCATCTCTAGTATCTTCATGCGAAATTTCAACTCGAAATTCCGGTTACACTTGGAAAGCTCCCCTTGTAAGTAGTTACATTTAAAACCTCTTCTAGTTCATTTTTTCTCCAAAATGCGACTTAGTGTTTTTCTGTTAAACTTGGTCGGACAGTTAACTTCATTGGCACTGGACATAAGATTGGAGGAATAGTATCCGGAAGTAAAATTGTTCTAGGATAATTTATTATAAATATTTAAATACATACATTGAATTGATGACTTGACTGAAATAAGTAAAGATTAAATAAAACAGTAAAAATAAATACAATACTTGATTAAAATCTTAAAACTGTTGATTAACAGGGAATTCAACACAACTACAGAAAAAACTTTAAAACATAAATAATATGGTGCCACGAAGAATAAATTTCCTAGTTGGCCATCACAAAGAGAAAATTTTAATGGGTCAAATTTTCCCAAAAGTGTATCTGACTGAGAAACCTTCGAGATCATTGCGGAAGACTTCCAGGGTACTCGTTGCTTGAGTCTGTACGGACATCAAAAAAAGTATTGTCCAAATTTAAGTTTTTTTATCTTTATCACCAATATTTCCAGACTTATTTTAAAGTTAAACAGCTAGAATACTTAGTCGTGAAAAATATCAAAGAGGAGAAAGAGATGCACGATCGGAATGAGATACAATCCTTCTGATCAATCATTATCTCTGTTCTTTGCTTAGATAAAAGGACAGCAGGAGAAGATTTCAACAACACTGATCTTTATGAAAGAGGTCACACAATGGTGACGAAATGGCGAGACTTTGTTCAAATCTATTCGATTGAAGAGGATGAATGGCTACAAAATGTTTCTATTCTTTCATGAACTGAAAAGAGAGACATGTTCCAAGAAAAAAAGAGAAAAAGTGACCAAAAGCCTTTAGAAGAGTACTCTTAAAATGAGAACTTTGATTACTTACGGCATGTGCCAGATGTATGCATTCATGTAATGAATTTAACACTGGAATAGATTGGAGGTTTTGTGTCATTTTTCTTGGATCAATCATTAGAGAAGAAGGGAAAATTGTCAAACCATCATAATCAAATCACTTTAAGTTGTTGTCTTTTTATCATTATATTTTTTTTCCTAGGCGAGGGGGGGGGGAGAGGGAGGAGAGCTTAAGCTTAATCCAGTTGATAGAACCTTCAGATTCCACAATCTATGAGTCGTCTCACCATTTTTTAAATTTTCTTTAAAATTAATCTAGATCCTCAACTCCACAGTAATGGAATTAGAAAAATAAGACTTCAAGCTTAGTTGTATGGACACTAGCTACTCAAGGATAGTATAATGTAAGGAAATGTTGGTATAGCTTCCGGAATTTATCGTTTCACCGGCTATCCAAAAATAAGCTAGAAATTTCAAATGGTATTGATTTATAAATGACCCAATATTCAATCATATAAAGCAATTGAAGGAATGCAGAGCAAAGGAACGCAGACACAAATTTTTTAAATCTTGTAACCAGGTCATTTGGGTAGTAACTTTTTACAATCCAATATGTAACACAGTAACTCAAATTAAAGTTGAAAAGGTTTATTAGATAGTCTTCCTATCCATCCTAAAATCTTGGACCCATGAATTTGTAACTCATGCATCATGACATTTTAGTAGGTCTTTAAGAAAAACTACCTCTCCTTTAGTTGAAAAAATCTCTTTCCATCCATGAAAAGGAGAAGTTGCATTAAATTTCAATTTAAGTAAATTTTTTGCACAGGCATATTTTACGACATGTGAAATCTTGTACTTGAGGCTCATATTAAAAAAATGGAGTGCTATCAACAAATTGGCACGGCTTGTGAATTTGATTCGAAACCGTAAAAGTCTAAAAAGTCATACTTCTTAAGAAAATAAAAAAAAAAACCTTACAAGACTTGAGAGATATTTGCAGTCCTGTCATCATTTCTGCACTTTTAGAGGTATCCTGAAAACCCTTTGATTTTTGTCCATAAGATACTAAATGCTATTGAACTGGAAATGCCATTCTTGGTAATGAAATTAAACTTTGCTGTGCTGATAAATCAAAATTAATCATTAAGGGCATGCATGTTGAAGGAAATACAAGAGAAACTTCAATGAAGTTCCAGCTAACAACAGGTAAGTCTTGACCCTGTGCTGTAGCGTATGCCTCAAGCATTAACTGTATTTGATGAAAAATTAAAAAAGAAAATTAAAAAAACCTTTTCTGAATAAAGTCTAGGTGAGAGAAATTTTTTGTCCAGTTTGCAAAAAAATACATCAATGCATAAAAGCAGACAATAGAGCAGTATGAAAAGGCTGCGGTGTCCGAGAATCTTTTATCATATCATGCCGGTGAAAACACGAAGATGCGAACACCACACGAACATTCTGGAACATACCAAATTCGAAAAATTAGGTACTCCTCCAAAAAGACATACAATTATTCAGAACTGGCAAATAGCTTTTGATAAAAATTCGACAAAACTTTAATAGATGCCTTACATCAGTTCATCTTGGGGCTGAAGCTAAAAATGGAAAAAAAATTATCTTCATCAATAAGGTTTTAAAATCTTTCTGTGTTTGGAATGTTCTTTTTTCTGTTCTGTTCTCACATCCTTATACATTTTTCTTTCGGGTCTTGCATACAATTACACCTATCAAGTAAAAAAAAGCTGAATATTTTATGTTGCATCTGTTGATTCTGTATTCAAGGCTATATTGGATTTTGTTGGCTAGCATAGCATAGCAAAGCATATCATCTCATTTGCAATGAAGTAATGTTACTATGCTTCCATTCATCTTTAAATGCATACATTAAAAGATGACCAGAAAAAATTTAAAATATAAAAACCAGAAGTCACTCACCACAACAAGTCTGTCTTTAAGTATTAGGAGCTCTTTTTATCGTCCTCGGCATCTTCTTTATCCACAATCTCAAAATCTTTTCCAGTCTGCGACTGCTGGCTGCTTGACTCTGATTCAGTCTCGGAGCCATCTTGCTTTTCTTGGCTTTTATCTTCACTTTCACTGCAAACAAAAAGGAACCATAAAATGTTAACTACCTACCTTATGATTTCAGTGAATTTAATCAGCATTTCAAACCCATAGATGCCATTGTGCCAAATTTTTGTAAAAAATTGGCCAACTGGCCCTAAAAACTTCAGTTTTAGCCTTCAAACTTTGGTGATAAGTGGCCTTTAAAAAATTGCTGCAATCTTAATTCGTTTGAATCGGTGATTTTACATTTATCAGTACTGAAGTGAACTTGTAGTAAAGGCAGTTGCACTTACAGCACAACCGATTTTGCGACCAATCAGTTGGTATATGCATGCAAAGATTCAGTTTGGCTCCGAAGAAATCTTTGATGGCTCCTAAAAATTGAGCTTAATGCCAGATGGTTCCTTAATTCAAAAATGAGTTTGGAAAATTGAGGAAATATCTTAATAATAAAGCTGTAAAATCATTGTTTTTAGCTTGAGAAGAAAAAAGTCCCCAATCACAATTTTTAAAACATCTGAACAACCAGTTTTGGTAATGTGGGGCCAAAATTTCCGAATAATGTACCTAATTGGAACACAACATGTACAAGAGACAGCAAACCTAAAAAAGTTGCACACAGTTTCTAATGCAAGATTGGACAGATCTTGAAAAATGTTGAGTTGTGAAAAGTTTACTGAGAATCAACTGAATTTTAAAATATGCAATGTTTGGTGAAAAGCATTTAGAAGTCTTGTAGCTAGCAGTAAATCTTTGGATCCAAACTTTTGACACTTCAGCTGGAGTAAAAAAGTAAACTTGTAGAAAAGAGCTGAAGAATGTACCAAAAATTACCGAATCATGCTGATAGTAGAGGATTCCTTACCTTTCACTATTTTCATTATCTTTTTCTTTACTTGATTCATTTTTGTCCGAATCCCTTTCATCATCTGAATTCTTCTCTTTTTCTTTTTTCTTGGCTTTGTCACCAGCCTTCGGCACAAGAGTATACTAAAATAGAAATAAATTTACCATTAACGTCAATAAATACGTGATTTTTGAAAAAATTTGTATTTTCTCACATTAATCTTAGAATTTTTACTTTAAGTTTGAAAGATACAAAAACCGTAAAATTATTTTGAACAAATGTGTTTTATAAGAAGCAATGCGATGTCATTGGTTGCTGAGCAGAGAAATTTTCACACACACTTTAAGCAACCGGTGGCTCAACAGATTTATTAATGAAACGTTGGTCGATACTGTCCTAAAGTGTACCCCACAACTTCTATTGAAGGTATCATAGGAACTAAATTAAAAATATTTAATTGAATTTTATACATTTAAACATTTGCCTATGTGTATTTTTGAAGAAAAGAACACATTATGACTGGAATTTTGTAGAAACTTAGAACACATTTTGAGAGTTAGCCAGTTTCATTCGGGAAATTGCATACGCACCTTTCACAATAAGTTTATTGCACACGAGAAATACAGCCATTTATGTACATATTTCAGGACTGAATCGCACATAAATCTATCAGAGTACACCAGAAATGCAGAGTGCACAATTTCCACGGTCTGTGTTAGGCATTCTCAAATTTATCGCATTCTATGAGCACTTTTTTCTTACTTTTCAGCAATAGGGTTTGGTAACCAGGAGATGTAAGGAAGCTTACCTTAAGTAAACAAAAAATTTTGCAAACTGTCATCAATCCTTATTCTGTAAGATTTTAATCGCTTTAAGTAATTTGTTTTCTCCCTTTTCAGAAAGAAGCGAAAAACAATTCTTTCAAACCACTGAAATTGCACGTGCAGGGGAATGATAACATTTTGTCATGTTGTTCGTATGTTAAAGGAAGGTACTTCTTACACTTTACATCATGGACTAACTTGATTGCTGGGATTTAAAAGAGGATGCCCAAGGGCGATAAATTTGAAAATGCATTTTTTTTTAGACTGTATTCAAGGCGTTTCTGCTAAGCTTAGCATGATTTCTGTACCTGAAAACATTTGCTAAGTTGACTGTATCACTTTTATGTGACAAATCCATTGCAGGGCATTAGGTCTAGTTGCAAACTTGCAAAGTTCAAATGGACAAACCTGGTAAATCGGCCAGAAAGAAGCGAAGAACCCAACATCTTCTGTTAAATTGGGGAACAACCAGAACTGGAGGCGACCCACAGTTAGAAGCCAAAGAATGCTGAAGATTACTAATCGGAATAGTGTCAGAAGTATAATCAATACTAAGAAACCAGCTGCAGCTATACTTAAATATTGCACACACAATCTAATCAACAGAAAGAAAAGAAACAAAATAATAAACAGAGATGCAATTTTTCCGTGTTTTCTCCTCTTTGCATTATTTATGATTTATGAACACAGACAGTAGTCTCCTGTTTCTCCACATATACCTTCATTAACTAATTGTGTTTGATTTTTGTTCATTTTTGTTATTTTTTTTTTATTATTTTAGTTTTATGATTTGTTCATTTTCCAATTATCAGAATTTTCCCTGATCTTCAATCAAAAATTATATTGGATTTTCCTTCTTTTGATTGTGCTTAATTTTGCTTAGCTACAGAAAAAATTTCTACTTCAGGAGATTCACACTGAGGGAAAAAGGCACTCTGAATTTGTTCAGGCTCCCTTAAATGGCTGTTAAGTCGCTGAGCCGATGCACTACTTGCCAAATTGGCAAATTCCCCGACTTTCCAAGTCATCTAAAACTTTCTGACTATTGAAGTTCTTTAGACCACTAGAAGATACCCTGTCTTTTCAACTGAGTGTTGACAGATACTCGTTACACGAGCAATTTTTCTCCGTTGCCAGAGACAAAAAAAATTGATTAACTCATTTTCAACTCCCTCAACAGAGAATGGACACAGTGCCAACTTAGTGCTGATCTTACCTGAACGACAGTGGCCACAGAGGGAAGAGACAGATACCAATAGTTCCTAGAACAATCAAAGCTCCACAAATCCAGTAATACAAGGGTTTGTGTTCATAAATCCAAACATACGCGTCTAGGTTGTCCTTAAAGACTTGTTCGTAATGCATGTCCAAACGAATCTTGTACTTCTTTTTCTGCTGCTGTTCCGTCTGGTTGAAACAAAATAGAGAGGAATGAGACAAAAGAGAAATTGCAAACTTCTAGAGAGAAGATGATTAGCGGGAGACCCCTCCTTGTTCTTGCTCTGATAATACAAAAATAGGAAGTTAAAAGCTGAATTCAACTTTTATATCTTTGTCTGCTTTGCACACCCATGATGAATGCTTCTGTAAGAGACTTTTAGAGATGACTTTGAAATGGGAATAATTATGTGTGTGTTACAAAATTACTGATATGGAATGAAGTTTAGTGGAAATTAGACATTTTGTTTTTATTCTTTAAATATTCTCTGCAAGAAATGCCTCACAAGTATTTCATTCAGCAATCTGCAAATTAATATGTATAAAAATAACTATAAAGTACTTTTGGCTCATTTTAAAAATAACGCAAGTGCTATTGGATTACTTAAGCATGATGTGTGCTTAAAAGGAATGAGTCTGAGATACTTGGCTTTTTTTTTAAACACACTTCAAAGACCTCTGAGGGGGTAATCCTGCACTTTAAAATGTGGTCCCATTCCCCTTCAGTACCTCCTCAACAACAATCTACAGACCACCATTTTTTGAGACCATCAACTTTGAATTGCCTGGCTGGGTATTGAATCCAGGAACTCCTGCTTATAGACCCGGCGCTACAACCACCCGGTGGAGTTGGTATTTAGAAGGAATAATTAAAAAATTAATTTTGAGGTTATGGTGGTTGAAAAGTGGTGTGAGGTGGTGTTGGTTATTGATGTGATTTGTGGCTGTTTATAAATCAAAGTGGGTTTTTGCAAATCACTTTGAGTTATCATTGTGAAAACTATCAGCCTGGAAGATAACAATTCATGAAAAGTTTACTAACCTCCGACTCTGGCTTCTTTCCTTCTGCTTGGCTACTTTCGGCATTTTCTTCTTCTTTTTTCTTGTCATCCTCAACCTTCTTCTCCTTCTTTTTAGAAAGCTTTGCTTTCAACTCCTGTTCGGAGACTGGGATCTTCTTTGCACGATGAAAGAAATTGTGCCTCAGCATGCTGAAAATTACGATTAAAACTACTTGAGACACAGATGAAAAATTGTCATAAAACCATCTTCTTTCGTAAGAATTGAACTATAGAAGTATTCAGATAATAGGCAGCGTGAAGGCAGGGGAGCACTTATCGAATCAACAAAATTAACTAGACGTTCAGCTTTTTGACTGTTAAAGAACGAAACTAGTGGGTTCCATTTTTGTTTGTTTACATATTTACTCTTTTTTAAAAGATCATAACTTGTTATTTTTGTACAACATTTCATGTAAGAATAACAATGTAATGCCCTAATAAAATGGAAAAGAATAGCTATGAAATCTGGAGGGACCCAAACTGAGGTATTTGGTTTCATAGTTGGCAACTATTTTTCATCACTTGTGAGGGGCCCTTATAGAACTCCTGGGGTGTAGAGTCTTCTTGATTATGCGATTGTGACATCATGGCCACTTAAATTAATACATGGGAGGTATGTAAAAATTGGTAAGGCTAGCACATAATAGCATTAAAATTGCATGTTTCTTTGAAACCACAGTCAAATTTGCAAGGTTTTTTCTCCTCTTTTTTATTTAATTTAGGCAAAATCTAGGCAATCAGTGAGTGGCGGAAAAATGAAAGGTCATAACAGAAATTTGAAGAAAAAAGGAGTTTTTAAGATGGGAAGACCAGTTTAAAAATGGGAAGGCTATAAAACAAATTGGAGCACACTCTGCCCAGAAGTGTCTAAACTTAAAGTTATACCTAGTTCAGATCGTCCTCGATAGATGGACTACAACAGTAGAAGTTTTTAAACTTAAGGTGTTGGAAGTTTAAAGCTAAAGGTTTAAAAGCTTGTATTAGACAGGCATTACTTTTCTAAATGCTATCTTTCGGAGGAGAGAAATCCTCAGAAACTTTTCGAATACACTGCATGGTTAAGTTACTGAAGTCTATTTTCTTCAAATTTATGCCACGAGGCAAAATACTTCATAACTTCAAGGAGTCATACTCACTCATTCAGAAACCAAACAACTTCTTCCCTCTTGGAGAAGAGAGGAGGTTTCCCTTTCACCGTTTTGGCAAAATTGGACTCAAGAAGGGCATCCACTGCCTTTGACCCTGAAAAACAAGAAAGAAAACAGGGATGATCATTAAAGCTAATTCGAGAAAAACATCTTACGGAAAAGAGAGGGAGTCACCTTTCAAATAGATGTGAACTAACGTAACAGTTTCTAAATAAATAAAAGTGCGAAGTCTCAAAAACACCCGTACTAACCAAGTTCAAACCATGGTTTGGCTCCTTTGATATTATCAACCGAAAAAAATTAATGAAAATTCTGATACTTCAAACAAATAAACTTCAAAGGTTGATAAAATAATGACGGAATTTTTGGAGCACAAATTCATATTTAAGGATGAGAGACTTAACCGAATTCACTTTAATGGTCCAAAACAAAAAATCGAGACAATTAATAAATAGAGAGTGCTTACTTCCTGTGAGAGTTAGTTTCACAGAGGTGGACTTATACTGTAAAAACAATATAAAAAATGAAAAAAGTGTTTTTCTAAGCCAAAAATTTAAGTGCTTACCCGTGAAGTATTCAACATTGTGGTTGAGAAACTTCGTCTTCTTGGTTTGCAGATTACTCCTGAGCCACTTTGCTACCTCATATTCTGTTTTCAACGGTTTCTCTTTCACCTCTTTTTTGGGAAGTAAATCATCCTAAAGCAGAGAACAGAATTGACGGAATAAGTAGATGAGACCGAGAAGAGAATTTATCTGCTAAATGAAAACCATACAAATTATTATATGAAGTAGAAAATGAGTTAGCCGTCTTTAAAAGTGAAATAGGAGATTCATCATCATGATTTTTAAGTCCTTGTAAGTATTTGGTTTTATTTCTAAAATGAAGATTCAGCATGATTTTCTAGTTCTTGTTTTTTTTTCGTCTCATTCTTGCTCAGAATAAAGCGTATTTCGTGGAAAAATGTCCTCATGCGTTTCTATGTTCATGTTTTTTAAAGTCACGTAAAAGTGGAGACACTGACCCTTTTGAGCCCTTTCACCACCTTTAACAGAAACTTGAAGGCTTCCTAATTTCTGCAGGAGCGTTTCAGGGAAATTTCCTCATATTGCATTTAAGCATGGCTAAAAATGGCTCAGTTTGTATGCTAAACACTTCTTGATCAAGCTCTACTCTCTGATCCAAAATTAAACAGTATTCTTCCAAGAGTGGACGTTAGAACTGAAGGGCCCTAATTACATTTCAATCAAACTTCATGTACGTACATGAAGACTAGATAAGCTTCCATTCAATTGCTTATCGCATTTTTGATGAGGTTACATCCTGAAAGTCTGGAGAAGCAATGTTTTCGATAGAAACAGGGTCACATTCATAGCAACAATTGATGATTATGAAAGTGATCAGCCAACTATGATTCATTCCTAGGAGTCATGAACTTAGTTGATGCTCCATTAGTTGAAATAGAAAAAAACATTCCTACTTATGTATTATTACGACATTTGCATGAAAAGCTCAACCATGTAGAGACCACTACTTACTCTAAGTGCTTGCAGTCCACCTCTAGCGTCAATTTAAGAATAGCATGAGCGGCGTAACACATAGTTGTGTAAGAGAAATCAGTTACCCAACCAAAGTTACCATACACTAGCAGAAAGTAAAGCGCATTTATTGATTCATGCGACAGAAACATCCTGGAACTGTGCGTTGGTTAAACCAGGCTCCTTTTAATGAGACGCCTCATAAATTCATGTCCTATAAGGTATGTAATTCTGACATTAATACATGCCACTATGATCTTCTAATTGACCTGTTCATCAATTCTGCAATGGTTAATTTTGAAATTACATCATTTTTCTAGGTTAGCCTTTGTTGCGGATTCCTGTTCTACAGCGCCTCCACATCCGAAGTGAATTCATTATTTACTCCTCAAAACTTGGACAAGGATTACATACTTACACAGACGTGTTGTTGAGTCTTAAAGCTGGAAGGTGGAGACGTGGTAAAATAAAGAGGGATTGGGATTGGAAGAAAAGGAAAAACAAAGAAATAGGATAGCAGACCAGAATGAGAACACACGTCACCTACACGGCAGTGCACAACGAGAGCGGGTAGATGGGCACCCGTACGAAACAAATCCGAAAACCTTTAAATTAACCGAACATCGAGGAGAAATGACACACGCGAAAACTAAGAAATACAACAAGATTTACCTCTTCACGACGTTTCCTGCCTTTCCTTTTCTCCGCCATGTTGACGACTGTACTATGTACCGTAAACTGTAATGAACAACGTAACTGCACTTGTTGTCTTGTTGTTACAGTACGTAAGTACTCTACGCAAGTCAAGTTTCGACCCTAAAATTTTGAGGATGAATCAGGAGTCAGAAAAATATTTTTGAACCTCAACCGCAATTAAAGCGATTTATTATTCAATAATTGCTTATTGAATAAGAAATTAGTGGCTCAAAATTATTTTAGAAAGAATAATTTGGTATCTGATTTCACAGAGAGGAGTTTCACGTCATGGCCAAGGTCGAATTTGTTTTGATAGAGATCAGCTGATCGCCTTGTTGTTGCGGTACATACTGTGTTATCTCTTATCACTCGTGCAGAAAACGGTTTACCACTGTGTTATATTCATCTTTACAACGCTTTGACGACGAACATAATGATACATTTATTTTAATACTTTTACGATATGTTACCACCAGCAGGAATAAAATCTCATTTAATGTTAATTACGTAAGCAGTTGCTATTGTCAGTGCGTGCAGCCAAATTCGACATTGAACCTGTCCTGTCTTTTTTTATTCTAATACATTTAAGTAAGTTTTAATACCTTTTCAACACGTAATTCACAAGCCAGTGACCGTAGTTCCAAAAAATTTCCTTCTTTTCAGACGACATTAGTTGTGCTGTCAGTCAACTAACCACTAAATTTCAGACTCGCCGGCAGGGCTCTGTTTCGCTGAGCAGCCCATTCTTTGGCAATGTTCTTCAATGCCATCTCTCTGCCTTACTTAAGAGGGATGGACGATCATCGAATTCAAATGCGATTACTCGAATGTTTAAAACTTTTTGATCCCCATTATTTGAGAAATCGAATTTAGCGATTTCAAACACTTCGAAGCGAACATTTGAATCTTTTCGATTATTTCTAAGATTATTTATTTTCTTGTCACATGCGACGTGGTATTATTACTAATAAAGATAAACGACACTTTTAATTATAATGGGTGAGTCATTCCCATGTAAAGTGCTGTAATTACTGCTTACAGATTAGTCTTACTATCTTCTCTACCATGTCTTTTACGTGAGTCTCAAGTAAGTACTTACTTATTTTGAGGCGGTTTGTCCAATTTCAATTGCTCACAGGCTTGGATTTTTTATGGGGCAGGAGGAGCAGCTGTCCCCTGCAGCAAATTCCAAGGTTCTTGAAAGAGGGTAAAAACCGCACCAAAGAACAAAGCAAAACTATGTGGAAATAACGTGAAAATTAAGGTCTTAATGTTTGAAATATTCTGGTTGTAAAGGGCTAATTTTTCTTTGGTGGGCAGTCATTATCTCAGAAATTTCCAAGAGAGGGTTCCCAGACCCTCTGCTTCTGACAAAAATTCCCCCCCCCCCCCCCCCCTCAATGCTGTCACATTTCACGCAAGTTGGGACCGGCAGCAATTTTTATGTTACCCCTGGGTAGCGGCAAATACGTAAATTCAGGTTTAATTGTCCATTCAAAAAACGATCAGATTAGGTACTTATTGTTTGATCGGATTTCAAATGTCGCAGGTGGAGAAGTGCAGATGGTTTTGAATCGGGTGTCTTCAACAGCTTACAGACTTCCACCAAAGCACAACCTTTATGTTACCATTCGAGGATTCCGGTCTATTCCAAGAGAAGATTACAAAAAATACTATTCTGTATTGGGTGTGAAAGACGGGTGCGATCAAGAAGATGTTCGACGTGCTTTCGTGAGCCTGGTTAAGAAGTACCACCCGGACAGTGATTCGCCAGGAGCTGATACTGAGAAATTTCGAGAAATTGAACATGCTTATCGAATGCTGCAAAATAAATTTGCCAAAGATAGGCATAGCAAAAGTTGCGAAGGAGAGTATGGTCTTTACTACGAAGAGAAAAAAGGGAAAGAGAACAGTCAAGTGAAAGAATTTGATATTAAGGTAGGTTTTGTTTTTAAGAAAAGTAACAGTGCCTTTCTTTCAGAACCTAATAGAGGGTCCAGCAAACAAAGCTAGTTGGGGACTAATGAAAATTATGAAGCTGTCCTCATAATTCATTAGCACAGAATTTTGTTCTGAAACCAGATGTAAATCAGAATTGAACTGATTATTTTCCATAAAACGTAAGCGCCACTCTCTATTTCGGTGGTAGAGGGGTTCTTTGTTTCCTCTAATATAATCGAACATGACTGATTTCAAAATAGCCCTCTAAAAGAACCTACGTTTTTTGTAATTCAAAGATTGTAAACAAAGCGAATAAAACGGATTTTCTCGAATTCGCAATTTAAGCACTTGCGTGATTTGAAAAATAATCGGTTCAATTAGCCCGACTACATCAGATGTTGCCTGATTGATTTTCTTTTAGGTCTTATTTTTAGCAGGAATCTAAGCGACATTCCGACTGGAAAGTGCGTGTGAGTAGGTATATTGTGTACAGTCAAAGAAAAATTTGATCTGATTTACCAACTGCAAGGGGAAATTTAAAAAGGAGTTTTTGATTTTTTTAAAAATGAATTTTCCTCTGACCGAAAAAAACATCTATCACTCATGTTACAGTCCATTAACACTGAAATGTGTGCAAATTATTTTATTTTTTTGTAGTGAGTGAAAGCAGGTTTTGTACAATGTTACAAGGAACCTAAATATTGATTACTTTATATGGTCAATTTTATTGTATATTTCAATTGTAAGTATTTAACACATCATTTTATTTTAAAGTGGTGTTTAAGTAGACTCCTATTACAAATGTAACAAGTCAAATTAAGCTTATCTCTGGGATCTCCACATAAATAGAACTTTCCACTATTGAAATTGGCTGACCGCCACATTTATTTGAATAATCAGAGGTTTAGTGTACTAAACTAGCTGCCAGGCCGAAGGTCGTCCAACCATTTTTGGGTTCTCTTTCGTATAATAATGTGTTTGATTTTAGCACACAGCACCGCAGCATCGACAATACCTCTCATACGATGGACAAGGCATTGGTACTCCTTCCGAAAGACAAAAACAGCACCAAAAGTTGAGAGCAGCAACTGCCGTAGAAAATGTTTACAGCCACAGGATAGCCAAACTTCAATCAAATGAATCGCTCAGTAAAGAGGATTCACTGATCATTAAGGACAAAAAGAAATCTAAAGACATAAAGACTAGGTTTGTAGCAATGTTTTATACTTAGGTGCAAAAGAGACTAATTTGCTATTTTAGTATTAAATTTTTGTGACAAAGTGAGAGAGAAGAAATGAATGGATAGCCCTGCAGCTAAAATAATACCTTCCTAGCATTTTCTTATCTACAATCATAAGTATTATCTCTACTCGTGGACCCTGTAGGAAATTCGTTGAAAAAAATAATGACCCAATATATTAAAAAATTATCCTCATGAGATACGTCTCAGAAATGCTACGTTGAGCCAAGAACAGCAAAAAAATAAAAAATCTGTAACAGAGGTGTGTTCTTCCAAGTGGAAGGATTCTTGTAATTTTAAAATTCCCTGCTTAATCAAAGATGTATGGTGTGACAGTTTGTATGTTGCACTTTTCGTAATCAGATTCAACTCTGGAAGAGGTGTTAATACTCGTTTTAGAGTCATCATAATCCCAAAACGAGTGATTACACTACTGCCATGATTGTATCAGCTCTTGAGAGATGACATTGAAACTAACAAAAAACTGAAAACTGGAATAATAGACATTAGCGGTTTTTGAACAACATGATTAAGTTTCAATTCAGGGTTTTTGAAATTGGGTTTCAAAAATGGACCATGAAAGAACGTGATTAATTTTTCTCTTGCTATTAAAAACAACTCAAGCAAAATAAGTGAAAATATTTGCGAGAACTGTCAATATTACAGCATTCTCATAAGTCGCATGGTTTATCTTGGTTTCACTAAGTATAATTTTTTGTCTAGGTATGGCATGGAGCGTCTTGTTGAAGATCTGATTCAAGAATCAATGGCCCGTGGTGAATTTGATAATTTGCAAGGAGTTGGCAAGCCTTTAAGGCAGTATAATGAATATAATCCATATGTAGATTTTACAACGCACAAAATGAACCAAGTAATAATACTCAAAGTATTTAAAAATTAATCCTTAATTTTAATTGAAATTTTAATAAAGTATATGATAAAAGGATTTAGCGCAGGATGGAAGAGAGAGGGACCAAAAGAGTAATGAGAATCATCTTTTTTTAATCATTGCATTATTTTAGGATTCAATTAATCACAGTTCAATTCATAAGCACAAAAACAATATATTTTAAAGGGAGGGCAGGCAAAGCTGGAAAAAGAGAAAGTAAATTGTATGCAAATTTGCGACTATTTCTACAGTTAATTACAATAGGTATGCTATTTAAGTTTTACTTCGCAAATTTTCAGAAAATAAAGGTTGCGATATGGATAAAGGAATGCAAAATTTCTCAAAAAGAACTGCTGATTCCAATAGACGATTTTAGTGTGACGTCACATCTCGTTATAATTTCGATACCTCAAAAGTCGAAACGTGCCCCAACAAACGAACATGGAGGAATCTGCGGGATATAGGCAGGGGGGGGTAGGGGTATTCGCTCGATGACTGTCTATGATATTACGATCTTATTTTACAATAAATTCTTGTGATTGTGATCTCAAACGTTTTGATAAATGAGTAGCTTTCATAATTTTAAAGTCTCATGGATTAATTGTTTGGTTTCAGGCTAGTTTTAGCTTATTTCGTCAATTGTTCATTTTGTAGGTTATGTTTGTTTGTTGGGGCACATTTCGACTTTCGAGATATCGAACCACCAATATCGCTTCGTGACGTCACCACTAAAATCGTCTATTTTGAGACTGAAATAAGAAGTCCTGCTCTGAGGAGGTGATCTGGTTTGGATACCTTTTTTCAATTACGAGTGGACATTTTCCTGCCCCAAAAAATTACCTTCATGCATAAGGTTGCTGGTAATGTATCTTTCACCAATTTCGAGGCATTACTTTCTCGGAATTTCAACATCCAGAAGAGACACGTCCATTCACTTTAATTTTCATTTCAGGGTTTCAACGAAGGACTTAAAACTTAGGCACATAATTCAGTACTTTCCCTTACATTATTTTTTTGCATAAATTCAACACAGAATTTTTACTCTACAGATCATGATTGACAACGGTTATATGCCTGCATGGATAACCTTGCAAAAAGAAATTAGAGAAGAAATCGACTACATCAAATCTACTCTGGCCAAGGAGCGAGCTAAATATGGTCCTCATCCAATATCACAAGAAGATGAATATTTGTGGTTGGGAAGTATTGAAAAATTGGGAGACAATGTTGTGAAAGTTAACAAGAAAATAGGTAAGTCAGTTTCAAATATATTTATTTTGGTATTTTATGATGTTCGGTTTCCAAATATTTTCTATTGTGGGATTTTGAGAAGAAATTGTGAGGCAGGGGTGCAGAACCTTACCGATGATCGTGGGTCGGGTCACGTAAAGTGGGAATTCCCATTTTAACATGTCAGGGAAACCCTCTGTGAAATACAGCGTTTTAGCAAAGAAAGAATTTGATCTTGGGGGGGGGGGGTTATTTTTTTTAAAGTCTTCAGTAAGTGATGATCATGAATTTTGGTTAATAAAAATGGGACATTTTGATTGAATTTGGGGAAAAGCTTGGAACTTCCTGGACACCTGTTGTGAAGTTCTTCGTTGTTGGGCTTTCGGCAAGGTTTTCCACAAGATTAGTTAGACTGCAAGTGGGAAATGAACTCATTTCTTTAACAAATTACAGTAATGGGATTCATGGTACAGGGAAAAAAGAATGAAGAAAAGGGATTCCTTAGATGAAATATTTAATAGTGAGATCAACTTGATATATTTCAACTTAAGAAAAAAATTTATGATGTCTTTTTTACTTTTACAGGAAGATTTAATTTGGTCGTTCCAATCATGAAAAAACAGATGTTACAGTTTGATATTATGAAAGAAGCTAATAAAATACTCATTGAGGGCGAGTCGGCGGTTTCTTCAACCAGCTCTTGCCCAGCAAAAACAGAGGAGATACAGAACAAAGAGGGGACAAGTGCAATCTCTGATCTGATAAATATTGTGTTACGAAGAGTTTCCAGACAGTAATTTCCTTCGTATGTACCTTTTTTTATTATTATTTTACGTTTCTTTGATCATTTTTATGGTGCTACTCCAAGAGCGGAATGTATTTCTCTCAAATGATACATCCTCAACATTCTCGATTCATGTTTTTGCAGTTATGTGTGGTTAAGTTATATTCATTAAAAATTGTTTTCCAAATTTTTTACTGTGGGGAGACTCCTTTCCTTGGCACCTTTTTCCCTTTCTATTCTCTTACGAAACTGACCAAAAGATTCTTAGTCCAGTAGCAATAAGTCAGTAAAAAGTCGGTACTTACTGTTGCTCTACAGCAAGATTTACATTTTTGAAACATATTTAGTTCCTTCTAAGTTTCCCACTTTTTAGATCCAGAGTAATTTTATTTGTTACCAATAATTTTAGGGCTTTGGGGTACGCTACATGCTCTACAGTTTTAATTTTTTCAATTAGAGTCTCCTCAGTGTCATCTGGTGATACATGGACAGTCTCTTGAGTGATGATTGCTCCATTGTCGATTTCAGGCTGTAACAGAGAAAAATTCGTTTTATAAGAAAAATGAAATGGAAATAAAATTAATGATCGATAAGATTTAATTTATATCTTACCTCTCTTTTTCAGATTCAGATTTTTGTTTCTATGCTTAAAGATCCCTCCATTCTATTAAACTGTGGACAGGCAATATCAGATGAAATCCATCGGATGAGCTTTTGAAAGTTAAGTCAGTTGAATCTCTTTATGTTAAACTTTTCTCAAATTTTAGTAAAGTGTATAAAATTTTAATTTTTTCTTTCAATTAATTTTCAGACTACAAAAGTGCAGATTTAAATTGTTAACTTCCTCAAGCAGATTTTTATTGAAATTATTAATTTTTGATAATTCAACATAGGTATGATCTGGCAGAACCCTGAAACTTTGGTTTAGTTTTCTTTTAAAAGAATGAAACATGAGCGGACATTTGCAATGAAGGAAACAGAAATGCGCATCTTTTTTAACTTTGTCCATTGATTAGAAAGGATCTTGTCATATCTAGCATTCAGATGATTTTCTTAATTTAAAGGAATCACTTAGAATACATAAGCTCAACATTGCAGAAATAAAGGGATGCTTCCAATCACAATTACAAGAAATTAGACTCGTCTGACTACACTGCAATGCTGAGAGGAAAAACGCTGTATGAACATTTGAAGTTGCCTTTCCTTCAGTAAACAGTTTTTTTTTTTAAAGAGTTATGAAGAATTTTTCTTGAAATTTTCATATAATTTAGATTTGATTGAGGAAGAAATCATCTAAAAAAATTGGAGAAAAAATATTCACGGGTTTTCTTGAAAATTCGTATTTTATCGAAATAAATTTGGTAACGTCTGAAGGTTCAAACAGCGTTCTTTTTTGACACAGCAGCACATCAATAAGGGTCCATTACACAAGTCCTTACCTCAACAAAATGTACAGTGCAGCCTGCAACTGTTACTCCTGCTTCTATTGCCTGCCTTTGAGCATGAGTTCCTTTGAACGCAGGTAAGAGAGCAGGATGTATATTGATGAGTTTTCCTCGCCACTTATTTACAAAATCTTCGGTCAGTATTCTCATAAACCCTGCTAAACATACAACATCCACCTCTGCCTCCACGAGTGCCTCATGTAAGGCATTGTCGAACAACTGCCTTGTTTGGTAGCTGGAATGCCTTATGACCTAAAATGACAAGAAAGGAATTTTAGAGAAAAATATGATCATTTCGACAACCTGTTCATTAGTATAGGCTTAAGATAAATAATGAAACCAACTGAACCGTGGTTCAATTTTAAACAAATAAAACGAAAGTGAGCAATAATGGCATGTTAGTTTTCATTGGATCTACGTTAACAAATCCTTAAAGTAGTGCTTCATTCTTGGAAAGGAAAATGGGTCAATTACGCTAACCACAGAATCAAGTTTTTATGATTCCAGATTAGAGATGAGAAAAAAAATCAGATCTGCTCAAACAGCAAGTTTTGATGTCCAACATTATCCGAGATATCACTCTTCAGAAAACGCAGCTTATGATGTTAACCTCCGCAGTAATGCATACCATGGTTTTTTCCACCTTGGTCTCATCCGTGTTTTATGTGAAGAAACAAGTGTGAGTGTCAGTAACTGATGAACAAAGATGAGGGAAACCATGGTATGTGCTACCGCGTAGATGATGTCAAACACTGTGTTTTACGAAGGGTGATATCTTTGTTGATTTTAGATTTAGAAAGCGCTTTCTGATGAAAACTATTGCATTTATCTTTTTCTCTCCATGCGATGATGAGGCGACTGTGCCTTCATGAGCATCCAATCCAAATTATTAACTTAATAATCGGAGAGAGTCCTAAGTTACTTACCTTCAAAATTACTTCTGTTACACAAAGCTCAATTTTCTCATCTCCTTGAATCGCTGACAAAAGTTTCAATCCGAGGATTTAATTTCATTTTTAAGAAACTCCCCCTCCTTCCCAAATTACAACCTTGGGTAACTGCGCATCCTCCGACTTGAAACCAGTCTCACAGCAAAGCTGAGCCCGAGAATTATTTTGTATAAAAAAACAGGAGAATAAACCTGATAAGAATGGAGACGAATAAATTAGGAAAACACTTACTAGAGTTTTAATCGCAGCTTGTTTGGCTCGTGTCAATCCGTACGCTTTGCCTACATTTGATATCACAATTACGATCTCAGCGGGGACAAAACCACTTGATGTTGCATCAATAAGACTCTGTGAAACATAAAAAGTAAATATGGATTAAATAGGTAAGTCAATGAGAGGTAAGTAAGATATTGTCATACTAAAACGAACTGTACAATGGAGTTCTTGCATGTGTAAGGGATCAACGATCATGTAAAATTTTGAGAGAAACACTATGGTGCCACTGGTTTTCTCTGAAATAAATTTCCAAGCTCATAAAAAGCTCTGGAAGTTGAGGCCGCGATGGAGGGGACATCCCACGCTATGTTAAGAGTCCAGTCCACCTCTTTATCTAGTCAAACTATCCATGCATAGATAGAGAGCAAATAAATTTGCAGAATTACCATTTTGTTTGGAGACTCCAAGACCGAAACCACTGCAGCCCTGCTAATGTATTTGCTCTCTATATAGTTTGACTAGATAAAGAGGTGGACTGGTCTCTTAACGTAGCGTCGGATGTCCCCTCCATTACAGCCTCAACTTTGAGAGCTTTTTTTGAGCTTGGAAGTTGATTTCAGAGAAAACCAGTGCCACCATTGTGTTTCTCTCAAAATTTTACGGAGGGGGAAGTGCTTAAATCGTTGATCCCTCACACATGCAAGAACTCCATTTAGACTTTAATATGAAACTCAACTTGATGGTAAAGATTACTCATTGAAATTTACGTCATCTGCTCAAGATTTCTTCTGTGCCTAGTGATGGTCTTACTTTCAGCTTTAATGCTTTGCCAAATATTTGAAGTGTCATTTAAATATGCTTATAAGGTCATCATAACCTTAAATATTTTTTTGCTTACTTTACAAAAAAATACAATGTAGTCTTTTACATCTTCTTTACAGTACTCCGTGTTTGATAAACACGGGAACTGAAAAAATAAAAAGAACTGAAATTTAATTTTTCAACAATCTGTTATCCTGCAAATAGAAACAAGCTTTGTTTCTTGAAGATTCACAGAATACATACATTTTGAACATGAAATTTTGCCACTTGTTTAATCGATAGGCCTCTATAGGCAAGGAACAAAGTAAAGCTCTTTGCAAGTTTTTTTCCTTCAAAATTTAACAAAGAGAACGAATCACACGATAGGAGGTCAGGAAATTAACTCCTAAACAAGATATAAGCGTTTATGATTGACAATGCTAAAACAGTAAAAGTACAAATGATGTCACTTATGAAACCTAACTTTCATTAGACCGGTGTTAAAAATACTACTTCGTATGTATCTTGTTCAGGAATCGATTACCATACTTCCTGTTAGTGTTGTGTTTATCATTTTTTACATGAAATTTTGAAGTGTAGAAATGTTAGCATTTTTAAATTCGGACCTTAACTGAAAAATGATTGATAAGAAAAGTTACCTGAAGATTCGTCCCACTGCCCGAGATAAGAACAGCAATTTTTGGTTTCTTTATACTAATTTGAGTAATGAGTTTTTCTCGGAGATGAGGTAACATCAGTGGCATTATTGATGTTGCAAAATGTTTAACTTCAACTTGTTTTTCACCTGTAAATTGAAAAGAAGTGTCAAGGAACGCTTTGACAGTGAGTTTACAAGAGCCCTTAAAAATTCTTCCCAAAAGCCCTTAGCGAGTAGAATACTTCTAGTAGAAAAATCTTTCCATTAACCAAAAGCGATGGCTCTGGGCTGTCTGCGCTGCACTTGGCCAAATCTGGACCAACAACTGACAGCTCAGAGCGGATATTTTGACAGAGGACTGCGTTCTTGTCATGACTATTCTCACTTACTTAAAGCTTTAGTACCGTAATTTAATGCTTTCTTGCGTTATTTTTGTACTATGTACTATGAGACATTATGCTGCCTCAAATGTAATTGATTTTTGGGATACTTGTGATTTAGACAGCAATAAATAAACAATATTTAAGGACATCAAATTTTTCTTCCTACTCTTTCTAAGAACTTAATGCTTCATATTTCAATTATCAATCTTAGGAAACGAGTTTAGGACTAATTGTGAATGTTCAAAGTTCCTGAAAATTTGGAACTCAAAATATTAATTCTAGGTGCGGCAGGGTCTCATTAAATTGTAAGTCGATGGGTTAAAAAATTGGAGTAAAATGGGAAAATGATGCAAGAAAACTCTTCCAAAATTTTCTAAATAATCTATATTACATCATACTTTAAGACCTTCATCTTCTTTTCTCCCGAATATAAAATATTCATGATCGGAGATAAAGGGTAATAATAGAGGTAACAAAAGGCAAAGAATGATTGAGACCAAGCACTCACCAGCTACCCTTTTTTCAATGGTTCCAATTATTGTTCCATCCACAATTCTTGAAATTTCATTTGCTTGACTCGAATCGACAATTAAAACGCCACCTACTCCACAGTTGAAAGTTCGTACCATTTCTGACTCAGAAACATTACCTGTTAGAAAAAACAAGCGACTTGTTAAAAATTAATTTTTTTAAGATAGTCCGAAATCCAAAATCTTAACTTATTCCCCTTGTTAATTAACCGCAGTTAACGTAAACAAAAAGAAGAGTGAATAATGAATGATGAAGTAAGGAGGAGACATGCCGTGAGTATGCAACTGCCTTCCCTCCTGTATGTTTCACCCTGCCAACTTCAGAAAAGGTCCCTTCATTCAAGGAGTTACAAGAATGATTTCATTCCAGATGATCTCGATTTTTTTGGTTTCAAAGGCATTCATTATTGTTAAAAATGTTCTTTGTCCTACATAAACATTACAGCTTTCTTATTCTATTGGAATAATAAAGTATTGCAATTGATTAATAAATAATTTGATAATCAGTAGTCAGTCAACAGAAAGCTCATAACTTACCTACTGCCGCTATCCAACCATATATTGGCTGGATTCTCCATTTTGTGCTATCCAGCACCACTTTACAATTATCAGGCAAGATTCTAGGAATATTTTCAACTAGTCCACCACCAGTGATGTGAGCAAATGCTTTAACTTGTTCCTTTTCGAAACACGGCACCAGTTGTTGAACATAAATTGAGGTTGGGATAAGAAATTCTTCACCTAGGAGGAGAAAAAATGAACTTGAAGAAATCAAGATATTCCATGAAATTGTTGATCTATCTACATAATTTTTCGTAAAAATTTGTAACATAGCAATGCTTTAGCAAAATTTTTGTTGCAATGAGGGTTGCATATCTTTCCGGGTGACAAACTGACAAAATGTCAGATATTCACTTCCACAGTGCGTTTTTCAAGTGCTTCCAAAATTCCACTTTCTTTTACTTTTCTGAACTCATGGAGAGCTTAAAAAAAGGGCATAAAATAAAGCAATAATTTTAAAAAAGGGTCATCTTCACTTTTTTTGAAATTTTACGGAGAGCATTAAACTGTTTAAAGAGCAATGAGATAGTAAAATTGTGAGGGTCAAAGTTTTATAAAATATGTGTGATGGCAATGATTGTATCCAGGGCAAATCTAGAAATTTCAATGATGACTAGAGCAAAGGTGGGGAGAAGACTGACATAAAGATGACACCTTTTTAGAATAATTGGCAGTTTTCGCGCCTAAATCCTTAAATTTTTATGTGAAATTAAAAATTTCTCAATTGTTCTGCTTTCTTCCCTGACAAATACGATCTTCAAATGTATAATTCAACACTAGATCACATACTTTTGTAAGATAGGGGTGTAATAATTTGAATGAGAAAAATAACAATATGATTTATCGGTTGTTTACCATTGCTGAAACTACTGCACAATTTTCAGTCCAACTCAGGAACAAAGGCAAATTCAAGTAACCCAAAAGCTTGCAAGAAGAGCAATGGGTCAGTTGTGTCAGAATCGTGCTTCATTGATTTCAGATTATGCATCAGCAAAAAATAATAAGATCTTTCCAAAAATCAAGGTTCCCTGTCAAGTCCCGGTAGATATTGCCTTAAGAAATACGTTTATTTTACTAGTTCTTCATAGATAACGACTGTGAAACTCTCAAACTATGTATCTTGTTTGCGGTATTGAAAAATGACGAGTCTGCAATACTGCAAACTGAGATACCTTGTTTGGGAGTTTCACAATCAATATGCGGTATGTTAAAAACCTCCAGAGGCTTCTGATTGCCACACCATGAGGATACAAGAAATAAAATAAAGAAAAGCCGATTGAATTTGACAAATAATTACCATATGAGCAGCGGCTTTCGCTGAATGGAGCTCTGTCTGAATAGTCCAAGGAATTAACTTCCATTATTTTTCGAACTAAACTGAATCCATTGCTGTGGAGTCCACTTGAAGCTAGAGCTATGACTTTATCTCCTTCTTTTACGTTGGGCTTGGGTAGCATCTTTGATTTTTCAACAACACCCACTGCAAATCCAGCTATATCGTAATCACCGTCTTTGTACAGTCCTGGCATTTCTGCTGTTTCACCACCTAAAGTAATTTTTAAAAAAATGGATCAAATAAAGACTAATAAGTGTTATTCTGCTAGGTGTATTCTTCTTTACTCTTCGCACCTTCTATGGCTTGTGATACTGTTCTTGTTGGTTTTCCTTTTTTATCAGTGCGTTAATTGTAGGGTGTCCTAAAAAATTAATTAATGCTGTCTACAGTTTTTTAATATACAATTATTCTCGCTTATAATTGCCGAATAGTTTTCCGATGCTCTTTTATCATCATTGTTTTATTCATCATTAGACAGAGCAGGGGAGCATCTAACTTGATGTCAGTCTTTTTGGTTCTGTGTAAAACTGAGAACATAATTGTAGTAAAGATGAAAAGCTCTATGAATGAATGGTAAAAGGGAACAATTTGCAAGGTTTTAGCATTGAGCATTGTTTTTTCATGCTCATGAGTTTTGTGCAGTTTTTCATTGCTGCTCGTACTTACTGTTTTAACGATTTTTTTAAAAGATAAATTATGACCAAGAATTGATAACAGAACAGCACTTTTTAGTGAGTTATTGTATAGCATGTGGGTTGACACCGACTCAAAATACCCGACAAAATAAGAGCTATTATTCATTGTGAACAACAAACACAGAAGAATTTTCATTTAAAAGAAAACTCAGGGTAAAAATTTTTGATATTTGCGAAGTGCATGTCTTTAAAATAAGTACGCTCAGGTTTTCAAAGAGCAAGACCTTCAAATTTGAGCCTCAAAAAAAGAAAAGAAAAGAAAATAAAAAATTAGAAAAATTAAAAATTAAAAAAAAAAAAAGTATCTCACACACCAACAGGTTAACTCATGACATTATCATTGTGAGAATTGTTTTCAGAACGAAATTTTGATGAGGAGCCACGTAATATGATGCAAAAACTGAGACCCTGTCTAGTGCACCATTGATTCACTCATAATAACAGCCGGAATTCCTGTAATTTTTTCAAAGTAAAACTAAAATACTTACCAACAAGAGCGCATTTTGCTATGGAGCAACCATCAGAAATACTTTGAATCACCTGTTGCGCAATTTTTAAATCTAGATGGCTTGTTGCATAATAGTCAAGGAAGAAAAGCGGTGCAGCGCCTTGAGCTAAAAGGTCATTCACACACATTGCGACTAGATCTATTCCAATGGTAGAATGTTTGTTACAGGTCAAAGCTATCTGAAAATCAGAAAGATCAAAATTGTCAATCCGTGCAAAAATTATTGTTAAAAAAAAGGTTGCAGGTATCAAAGGGTGACAAAATACTCAAGAGGCATCAGTGTGCCTTAGCTTGAAATGTCTGAGTATTTTATCTCAAAATGTTCGTAGAGTAGTCTTCTAGGTACTGGCATAAAGAAAGTTTTTGTGAACTGAGGTCACTATTTCCATAGGCGGTCACAAATAAATGAACCTATATCTACACTGACTACTGGTATGTTCAACCTTGCTCTTTGTCTACCTATTTTTTACAAATTCATTCCTATGATGCCAGAAAATTTTTAATGGAAAGGTAACCAACCTTTGGTGAAAAATTGTAACTCTAGATCCTGCGTAAAAAGTATTTATAAATGTAGCTCAAAATTTGCGCCCAGTCGTCATCAAGTCTCTGATGGACTGTCAAAGTCAGCTTGTTGTCAGTTGACGGACATATCGATATCTGATGTCAGTTTGGAGCTGTCAGCCTGATGAGCAGAAAGTGATGTTATGTGAGTGCTTTTGTGACAGAAGAATATTTGAAACTAAGTGGATTGAAAAATTCACCCAACTTCCTTTTTTTCCAAAATGGACTTTATACATTTATATTTAACTCAGTCTAACTCACCTTCAGTTTAGTTCCGACTCCATCAGTTCCAGATACCAAGATAGGATCTTTTAAATTGTATGGTTTAAGTTCAAATAATGCTCCAAAACCTCCAACACTCCCTAGCACTCCTTTGACTTTAGTTGCTTTGATTGCAGGTTTCAATAAGTCAATTAGATCATTACCAGCACTAATATCGACACCACTAGACTTGTAGGTTGCATTTCCATGTTCCAGAATCCACCTGCGTAAGCATGAGAAATACACGTTAAAACTGAATGAAAACACATTAAAAAATAGTTGAAAAAAAATAGGGGGTGACAGAGAGGTGAAAAAAAATACCGGGAAGAGGAAGTGTACATTTTCTAACAAAAAAAGGAGAGCTAGGAACTTTCTTTTTTATTCTTTTTATGATAAGGGACCTTAAGGGACTCAAGACGTTGCCCCTTTTTAATAAGTTTCAGGACATTTCTCTTTCATTTCAAAAGCTTGATTAGAAAAATATTTTATGGCATGAGTAAACATAAGGTTGATCTAGTATTTCTATCTGAAAAAATTTAAGTGATTTTACTTTGCGTACTGGAAATATTCTCCGAATGCATTCTCTCATATTCAGAATCGGTAGCTTTTTTTTAATGAATAAAATGGGAGAACAAATTTTGAAACATCCGAATGGCTTTTCAGTTTCACCATCTATGTAGAAAATTGGAAAAAACCTCATCTGTATTGAAAAAAGTGAAGGCACTAGGAAAAAATGACAAGGATTACCTTGAAACTCCTTTCTGCCCGATATCTTTGCGGTAGTGTGCGCCGTCAAATGAAACTGACGAGCACAAAAGAGTTGCTTTTGAAACTGCTTTTAACAGCTGATTATCCACTGCTACTATTGTTAAAACTCTTCCACCATTAGTTACAATAGATGAGTTTTTCAAAGCTGTCCCCATGTGAAAAACAATCACATCATCAAGATTGCTCAATTTTTCTAGACCTGAGAGGAAAGAAAAGCAGAAATTGAATAATTAATTGAGCTTTTGTCGGCAAACAACCGTAAGACTGAAATTGGAGTTACATAGATTCCTAGTGCTTCAGTCCTGCTGTCAGGAGAGAACTCTATTCGAAGGACAATGCTTCAACTTGAGCAAAAAGAACTTTTCCATGCTTGTGTGTGCTTGGGTTTTTCATGTGGATAAAGTTTCACTGAGGCTGACCAAGTGAGAATTTTGTTACTTAGAATGCGGTTCATTTGCAAGAAAATAAAAATCCCCTAACGGCACTAAACAATAGTGGTTTCAGCCATTTGATTCAGTGCTGCACAAGGAATCATTCTTCTAGCCCTTCAAAACTCTACTATAACTCTATCTGATACATAAAGTTAACAGGAAACTAAAAGGCATGAGTATATTCTAAAGATTCTTAATGTAAATAGACCTCTTTTGAGTGAAAGCACATAATTTCTGAGCAATCATTAAGAGCAAAGTAATTTCTTGATGTTTGCTTTTCCTCATCAGGGTGCACAGTGATACTTCTATTTTTACTTTGATGAATTAATTACATTATTAAAAATTTATTAAATTTACTCAAATTTTAACTGTAAATAATGATAATTTGATGGAAAAGGCACAGTAAATGCAATCAATATCCCGCCCGGCAAGTGGTTGCCTGAAGTAGATGCGGAAATGTTGTCACAATGTAACTGCCAAAAATAATGTTGGGGCAACGTTGCAGCAACGTTGTGACAATGTTATTTTTGGCCGTTGCCGGACGGGATAATTCCCTTTGAAAAATACCCTCTGCCAAGAACGATGATGGCTGGTACAATAAAAAATGAGTCGATACTTGGATATAAAAATCAGAGTTATGATAATCAAGGTAAGTCTTAGTTGATGAGTATTAGGTGTGACTTTATGTCAAAAAGCACATGAAGATCGAGTGAAGTTTGTACCAGAAATTTTATCGCCTTTACGCGATGATTCAGGATATCCTGCACTAGCCATGACAACTCCCACTGCATGGAAGCCACTTTTCCATTGAATATTTATCGATCCAAGATTCCCGCAACAACATGCCATCATGATTTCTGCCAAGTCTGTTTCAAGAAGCGGTAGAATGACTTGTGTTTCAGGATCGCCAAACCGACAGTTAAACTCCAGCACTTTGGGCCCATCTTTAGTAAGCATCAGACCGGCGTAAAGAACACCTGAGCACAAAATCATTTCCTGTTAATTATTAATTGATTATTAAGTCGCCTAGACACACTCAACTAGGTGATCATAGAGCTAAAAAGTGAGGGAAAAAGCCTGCTTATTTCAATAAAAGGACAATAATTGTGCGCAGCATGAAACATCAAAAAAGGTTTTCATGGTTGATCAATAAGTACTGGAGGCTCAAAGCAAGGACTCTAAAATATTACAAGAAACATGGAAAGCTGCATGACAGTTGTGCGCTTTTCTTGCCAAAAATAAGGTAAATCAATTTTTTAAGGAAAAATTCATTGAGTAAGTTATTCATAAACGGAGTTATGTATAACTCGCTTGATAGAACAAACATCTAAAAACTATATTTAATGACATATTATTATATTAAAGACATACAACTTTTTCTATCAATAGGGGAAAAGGAAATGAGGATTTTGAGGACCCTCATTTCCTTTCTCTTAATTACCAAGCCTTGTGCATTTTTAGTAATTACTATTTAACAGAAACGAAATTACCCACGAATGGAGTTCCATTCTTTTTCATCCATGTGATGATCTTCAATAAATCATTTTCTACTTGCAAAAGCTGCTGCTCAGAAATGAAAGGTGCGGGACAAAATGCACCCATTCCTCCAGTGTTCCCACCTCGATCACCATCATACGCACGCTTATGATCTTGGGATGGGGGCATCAATTTCACAGAGGTACCATCACAAAATGCTAGAACCTGAAATTGGAAAGAAAATAGAGGAATCAACTCATGAAAAGTTTTATTCTAGTCAAGTGATTTAGTTGTTTGAAAAAGTTTAGACTTTTAGAGGTGAGAGCTTTTTTTAGACAAATGTATATACCCGCTTCTCCGTTTTCTCACATAACTGGAAATGTGATATTTGTATTGCTGAGAAAAGCACTTTTTTCTCCCAGTGAGTTGTAACTTATGGACTAAAAATTCAACCACCAAATTATGAGAGAGTTTTAATACTTTGATTGGTGACTAATTGCAGTTCTAAATTATACATATTCATATGAGTACATCAAAAACATCATTGAAATGATATTTTCAGTTTCAAATTTTAAATCCACAATTAATGGACAAAATTTAACAGAAACCCAAACTGAACTCAAATTTGAACTGAAAAAAAAGGAGATTTGGTTTATTCCTTTGCAGGGCTAGATTTTAACATTAAGTTTATTATTTGTTTCAAATGACAGACCTTTTAAAGTACTTAATTGCCGCACAAGACTCAATTTTCATGACTATTATCATATTAAAACTTTTTTCTCTCTACTCAGAATTTTTAACAGGAAACAATTTATGACTATGTGCTTAAATTTAAGACTACTTCTAACTTGTTTTATTTCAAAATGTGACATGGTGCGTTTCTATTAAACTAGGTCCGAATAATCTCTAATTCTTGTAGAACAGGGAAAAGTTACTTACAGAAACTTCTACTCCCTCTAGAAACTCTTCGACAATAATTGTTTCTGCAGCAGATCCAAAGGATGTGGATTGGAACATATCAGTTGCAGCTTTAGAGGCCTCCTCCTTGTTTGTGGCAACAACAACGCCTTTACCAGCTGCCAGGCCATTAGCTTTGATTACTAATGCATTAAAATCAGCACCTCTAGAAATGAGATCAGAAAAAAAATAGAAACAATTGAAGCTGAAACTTACATCATACAGAATTCAACCTCAAAATAATTTAGCGTTTTAAATTAAATAAATCAGAGAGTTTCGATTTTCACAGGTATCTGACTGGATGATTTTACGTTATGAAAACGAATTTAAAGTCCTGAAACTTGTGATTGAGAGGGAAAGGACTTTGCACGGAATACCAGGACATTTGGCACAGGCTAATTTTCTATATTTCATCCATACATGAGAGTCGCTCTCACAGCACTCTCTGGCGCTCTGCGACACCTAACCGCCACAAGGCTTGGTCCTCCCACAATCCATCAGGGAGTCGACACTCCCTCATCTCATCTAAAACCACCTGTCGCCACCCTCTCACTGGGCGTCCCCTTCGTCTCCTCCCAGGAGGAACCCAATCAAGCATCTTCTTCGGCAGGCTTTCTTCCGTCATCCTATTAACATGACCGTACCAGACAAGCTGTTTGGTCATGACATTGAACACGATGTTTTTCTCGACTTCTATGATATGACGCACTCTATGTTACTTGGTATGATATTCTTTGCAGCCTTCAGAGCTTTTAAAATCAAACTTCCTACGTGCAAATCTTGAGAAAAACCGAACTAAAAAGTGTATTTCTTCGATTTTTATTTTGTTGTTTTGTATGAGTGCTGAAAAGGTAAATACACGAGGTATTTATAAAGGAAGTGTACCTTTTAATTTTTTCAAAAGTAATGAGGATACATAATATCGACACTTAAAAGAGTTCTTAATTTGAAACATGGTTGAGTTGGCAATATGTCATAACTTTGTCACGGTAATGTTTTCTGTGTAAGCTCTGAATATTAATAGTTCTAACCTTTCAATGAACTTTTTAGCATCTGATGCATTGCTGAATTCTTTCCACCGCCCAGTCGGAATGTTCAGGTTCTTCATAACTTCCTTGGCCCAGTTTTTGTCATACTCAAGACGAGCTGCTTTTTGAGATGGGCCAAAACATTTGATTCCATTTTGAGCTAAGACATCGCTGATTCCTGCTGCCAAAGGAACTTCTGGTCCAACAATGACCAACGAAATTTTATTATCTTTTGCCCATTTAGTCACTTCCTGTAAAAAGATAGAATGATGAGACACGTAATTGAATCATTTACCTAGGGGGGGTTCTGGTCCTTCTAGAAAATTAATACCCAACCATTACCAACCTCACCACCGCTCTCTGGGTTATAGAATACCCTCTTTGTACAAAAATGGGTGCATGGGGCCTAGCTCTCCTGGAATATTTGGAAAAATTGTCTGAATTTTAGATGCATTGTGAGACTGTATCAACGTAATCTTTCATTAGAAAATTTGAGGATTTTGTGATTTCATTAAATTCGTCTTCTTTTCCTCTCATTGTGTATTGCAAAGCAAAGAAATTTAGGGTAATATTAGAGGTTCAATGTTCCAACAGGGGGAGGAGGCCTTCCCTTGGCTCCTGTACAGCTACAACCATACAAGTTGGAGAAAGGGATGCAACATTGGCATCATTCAGAAACGAGAGGACAGTTTTTGAGGAGGTCAAACTTTGTCGTTTGACATGAATACTGAATGTGCTGTATTCTTGCTTACCTGATTATCACCTACATTCAGAGATACTGATCCCACTTTGTGCAATGAGTCTGCTCCAACATTGGCTGGAGTTATGAAAATGTTTTCAACCTAAGGAATAAAAAGGAAATTTTTGTTGGTAGAGGTTAACCAAAAATTCCATTATGAGAATTATTACTTGAGCTCTGATGTTGAATTTATGCAGTTGAAATCAATGTTTCAATTAGCAATGCTGCATTATGAGATGAGGCCATGAGGAATATATAAAAAAATATTGAAATATTGCGAGCACCGAATTTATTGGTATTATGTGCGCAATTCTTTAGAAACAAAAACTAAGTCAAATAAACTAGTATAGTGCAGTACATGCAAATCAATGAGCAATGAGAAAAAAATTAATATCCCTTTCATTTCGAATGGCTAGATTTGTAAGTAATGCACTGGATTGATCGACTTCTCTTTTTACTTATCGTGCTATTTCTCATAGCATGTGACTTGCAGCGTAAAAGTTGCACTGATGCGTTAGTTTTTTGTAGTTTCTGTAGTTAAATTTTACTATGCTTCTGATGATTGCACTGATGACCAAACTCCTAGTGAACAATTTTTTTACTATTTGTTTTTGATCATCCTAAATTGGTTTTCTTAATTTTAACCAGAAAGATGGGTAAATAAAATTTAATTGTCATGCATTATGCAATTTTTAAAAATGTTCCTGAGGTAGGTAGCTATAGAAATTGATACATGTAGAATACAGGTGGCCACTTGCTTAAAAACAAAAACCACTATTGGTACCTACTGTCATAACTTTGCAGAAATAAGCTTTATTGAGTTGAATTCAGAATTTTTCCATCTTTCATATTTTTTTGTAAGGAGAGACACAGGATGTATGACCTCTCGATGAAACTGCAAGAGCATGTATATCGTTTGCAGTGTTTCAAAATCTTTGCTCTCATTTCATTTGATCAAAGGATAGCAAATTGAAGTCATGCTTGAAATTTTCTCAGATATTCCCAACGTCGATGAGGGAAATCACCAACGTTTTCAAGAAAATGACGTTGAATATTTTTCCATTGAAAAGATAAGTGAAGTATGATGAGAAGTCTTCAACATCGCAAATTATAATATCCATTCTTGCAGTTTCACTAGCACTTGGTAATGAGTCAGAGAAGACTTTATAGATAGCACTCATTGAGAATGATTTTACATACCAGAGGAGATTGATTCAGCTTCCAGCAGATGGTGTGTTCACGACCACCATTACCAATTACCAACACGGACATTGGCTTATCGACCAGATTCCCTCCCATTGTTAAATCTCTGTACAGTTCTAGGACTTTGAAATGTTACACCTTCACCACTGGGAGCTAGAAGAAAGTAATGTCCATTTTTATTCTGTTTTAACATAAATGCAAAATCTATGAACTTACATTTAAGACTGAACAACAAATTCTGGGACCATACTCTGAGGGCAAAGTTTAAGGTAGATAAAAATACCTGAATTGATTGGGAAAAATTCAGTATGCTGCTGGGCGTAAGAGGTCTGTCACATTAGTTAGATGATAGGACTTGCTTGGTAAATTCTTCTGAACTGTCTCTCCAAGCATGACATTGACATTAACAGATTCAACTGGAATTGCAGCCTAATTACACTTTACCTTGCCTACTTTCCTACCATGTTTTATTTCTCAACGGAGAACTAAACTACTTAACATCTATAAAATTTTTGTGAATCCATCTAAATACAGGTGCTCATAAAATTTTAAGTTTCATTGTTGCTTAGTGTTCTCCCTAAAAAAATAGAATATCAGAGAAAATTAGACACCATCTGATGTAGATGTTGGTTAAATCAAAACATAAGAGAAAAATCCACTTATCCGTAAAGATTCACCACACAATAGGTAAGTAAATTTCAACCCACCTAAAAAAATATAAGAAGAAAAGCTTAGGGTTAAATAAACCCTACCAGAGCACGTGGCACGAGTAAGGCAACCAGATATCACTATGAAGGTATTTGCCACATGTTTCAAACGATCATATTACTTATTTGTTGGGTAATCATGTTACAGAAAGTGCCAGGGAGCAAATATGTGTTATCTCAAGTTGATAACTGATTATTTTATTTACCACCTCAGCTAATGAATAAACCCTTTCTCTAGATGCCATCTCGAGTAAATATTATCGCTGAACTGTTTATCATAATCAGCTCCAGTGACGTAACACATTGCTCTTAATGTTGAAAACAAGTAAGCCTTGGTCAGACACTGTGTGAGATTGAAAGTTATGGCAGTAAGATATTAGATAATTATACCTGTGACTCTTAACTTAGATTCCTTCTTACAACTCAACCTGGAGCAGGTTTAGGAATCTCATTCAGTTCTTAATGTTCTGCTTGACAACTAGCTCAGGAAGGACTGGTATAGGAGATATTAAGGAACAAGATCAGCACACCTAAAATTAGTAAAAAGTTAAAAAAAAAGAAGCAGATAACGCATGTGCATCAGTACCCATGCAAGTACACTGCCGTACTTAGAGGAGTATATCATTCCTCTGGTAAGAATTAATAATTGAGGCTCAGGATGCAGGTAGAGCATTTTTCGAGATTCTGGAATCTGCCAACATTCCATCCATTTTAAGAAAAGTAAATGCTAACGTTTCGTCAAAATTTTTACTGGATAGTCTGCATGAATTTGCAATTTTTTCAAATAAAATTTCAGAGAAATCACGAATCAGTTTTCTTTGAAAATTCAATTTAGCAATGGAGATTCTAAAGAACCATGACCAAGAAGTACCCCTTCTGCACCCAGCGCATCAATAATTGGACTTCCCATGCTCACTCGATGCAATTTCTTCTGAAGCTCAGCTCATGAAAAACTCCAACCGGTTGTTCAATTCCACTTCAAAATGGTTACTTTTCTGGAAAAATATTCTTTATATGTACAAAGTTTATTCTTGGAATACTTAGGAATATTCTAACTGAAGAAGGTAAGAACAAACCGGGAGGAATTTAACATTTATCATGAAGTGGCACAGGAGGGCCCATCACTTCGATTGTTCAATGTAAAAAAAAAAGAAAAAAAATCAGCCCATCATTACCAGAAAAATTTGATTTTCCAAGCAACTATGCTCCATGATATGGAGAAACTGATGTCACTGTATAGAAATCAACAGCATGTAGTATCCTCCACATAAATCATTGCATACCTGAGAGTTTGATTCATTCTCTCTGGTCAGGTTCTCAACGCACCATAGAAAAAGGTGATTAATCTTTTTGAGATACATCGGTGTTTTATTTTGCACTACCAGCTGTCAATTCCTGAAATAACAGATATTTTAATATCTCTGAACTTTATGGACATTGTCAATTCTTGTTGTGTGATGACTTAGTAATTAAAATTTTTCCAACGGCAATATTTTCATTACAAGAACTAATATTGAAAAGATATTGGGAGAAAATAAAAATTCCGATTCAGTGGCACCATTAGGGCTGAGTTTGACAAAAACACACTGCTTGCATTTTGAATAAAAAAAAAAAAAATGATTTCAGATAAGCTTTAAATTCTAATAGTGGTAAATTTTCTGCTGTCAAAAATTCCAAGACAAGAAAGAATATTTTGAATGTGACAATAGTCAAGCAATTCAAGGATTAATATTCAATGTTACGGAGAAATAGAACTTCACATCTCTTAATCTCTTAAAACTCAGAGCATTTCTATTGAACTCTGCTCAATTCTGATGATATTAAAAAAGGGTTTCATTGGTTACAAAATATCTTCTATGCATTGGAAAATGAGTCCATTAAAATAAACAACCCTTTGCATTTAAAATCTTTTGTGAGTAGACATACTTGATGAATGATTATAAACCGGACATGTATCTTTAGCCTGCAAAAGCAGCGCTTCCTGCATACTCAGGTGTCGCAAAAAAAAATAAATAATTATTTTCTTCAATAAAAAGGAGGTCACTTCAGATATTCACCTAATTATTGCTCAATTGTTTCCTTGAGAATGAAAAAAGTAACTTCGAAATGGTTCTTTCCTACATATGTTCAATATTCTCCACAAAAATTAAAGTTAATGAAGAAGACTTGGCTTCTCGCAATGGAGTTAGGCAGTTTATAGGAAGCAAGCCCATCAATTAATTTAAAAGGCTTGTCTAAGTCATCGGCATAGTGTGGCTGGATTCCTAAAGTTGTCGTCAGACAGACGTATTGTTCTGATGAGGGACAAGAGCGCCCAGTCATCTTGGATAGAATTTGAAGTTTTCAAAATATTTTTGCTCAACAGAATGATCCTGCGACATTAGGTCTATAAATTTTTTTATCGATTTTCCCCAAGGACAATTACTTTTGGGTCATTGGGAAATTCTCAACTGCTTCGCAGCATTCAGTGAGAAGAAAGAAAAATACAGATTAATTAGAATCCCGGGCATTGAATATTTCAAGGATGCATTGCCATTCAACAGCGATCTTAATTATCTCTCCGGTAGTATAATTCATGATTCTCATTCAACTATGGAGGCCCTTCAGACTATTACTCATACTTAGAGTGCGTGGATCTGAATTGAATGTCTGACTTCGAAAAAGTGAAAGTTCAGTTTCATTTAAAAAATGGTTTTTATGTTACATACACACATCTCTTCAGTTTCTCTCCTTATTTTTCCTAGGAAAACTAACCATGAATTCTGTTCCAGAAGTTCCCACCTCCCAAGGTTAAATAATTATCATGCGGCATAATTGAAGGACCTGATTGTCAGGGTTTCATAGTTGGAGCTATTTCAAGAAACTGGACTGGGCCCACCAAGAAATTTTCCGATAATTTCTTAGCTCAGTTCAGTTTTGTCTCTGCATCAGGATATTAGTTTCCTTGGGAGTTGAGAATTTCTCAAAGCAGGCAATTCAATTTGAATCTTCCGACAGGGGGTTTGAGATACAGGGTTATTCAAAAGTCACGCACCACTGGCCATAAGGGGAGTGGGGTGGCCATTAGAAATTTTTGAGTTTCCCCGCCCGCCTTCCACCCCCAAGGGGATTAAAAACTGGAAAGTACCTAAAAAGTTTCCCCTTCGATATGAGGAAAAACGTCAAAAACCGCAAATCGATATCATAATTAGAACTGAAGTTATGACCAGTGGTGCGTAAATTTTGAATAACCCTGTATACGGAGAGTTCAAGAGAATGTCTACAACCTTCAGGATTTGATGAACAATTGGAAAAGCTGGAGTCGCAAGAAAAAGCGAACACGGAGCCAAATTTTTCTAGCTATGTTTAAGCTGGCTAGTTTTTCGTGTTGATTTGTTACATCACCCAATAAGGAGTAAAAATTTCAAAGAAAGGGGTTGCTCTATCCCCTTGAGCAGTCCGAGTTACTTCGGAATTTTCATTGTTCTCAACTTCTGAGGGGTTGGCAACGAATTCCTTGAGCTCCCTGTGTACAGGGCATACTGGGGGGAGAGAAGTTTGGGCAACTACATGAGATGCAAAAATTCAGATGGTTCATTTCAGTTGATGCTTCGTGAGGATGCGAGCTTGCGCTCCACAACCTTGAGGACTTCAAGGAATGAGAGTAAAAAGTTTTTGTGTTAAAAAAAATCGTAAGACTTGCGTATGAGATTGTTGGTGCCAGATTGAAAAATTGAAATGAAAAGAAACTAAATTACACTAATTAATTGTTTATTCTGGTGTTGATTGCTTTCATCAACTGACATAACCAATACAACACGATACATACAAGATAAAAAATAGAAAAAAAAATAAGTTAATAAATAAAACCTATTAAATATTAACTTATGAGATAAAAAGTTTGTAAAGCAAAATATGGAGGGGAGAATTGTACACATCTGTCCACATTAAAACACTTCACACAGAATCATGTTGAGGGTTATGACTTGATTCAAAACTTAAAAAATTCTTTTTACATCTTTATCAATAATAGTTTAACTGTACATTGATTTGTTTGAGATAGAGGTTCACTCCTTCATTAGGCGTTGAGACCATTCCAGACCTCCTAGGTCACGGCTCCGATGTATTTTACTTTCCTACTTTTCAATTTTACATGGAATGAGCGATTGATGAGGCAAGTGACTGATCAATCTTTCATCGGGGTTGACCCGTGCTAGGATTTGTAGGGATGACGGCCTGCAACAGACAAACAAATTTTGTTAATGCCTGGACTTAAAAACAAAAAGAAGCATGAATAATTGAGACATCAGCAAGGAATCTGTACTGAGAAAAAAAGAAGACTGAAGACATCCACGACAAATCTGTAAGTGTGCTGAGTTTAAAACTGTGACTAAGGAGACATTTTTGTTTAGCAAAAATTGCCTTCTTTTACGGTACAGATTGTTTTGGTCAATTGCTCTGTTTCAGTATTATTATAAAAAAAATTATTTTCTTGTAGGAGAACCGTTACAGGAGTTCCTACAGTTTTGCTGCACACTTCTGAGAACAGACTAAAATTTTTGGACGAATTCAAGCTCCGGTTCTCCCATGAAAAAATAAAATGTCCATTGGGATACTTCAACAACACAGACGAGATTTGATCCTTGGTGTGGGAGACAGCAAAATGTGCAAGCAGAAAGTTATTTTACTAAAACTTGGAGGTAATTAAGTTAGAGATTTTGCTTTGTGAAAGTCAATTTTTTCTAAAATCCCTGCATCTTACTTCCACTGTTCACTTAATGCAAGAAAATTTGAGAGAGGGATGAGGTAGCTACTACACTTCTGATCAAAAATGGTTCCTTAAGACTGATTAATGTTGAAAAAGGAAGGCAGAAATGATAATTTCCAAAAAATTTGATTTCCTTATTTATAAGGTACATGAGTGACTTCAGTGACTTATGAGTTACATTAAAAATACGTGGACGAAAATGGATTTGAGACCTCACAAACAATGACAATGGGAACTGATCAGATTTCTTCCCCAAATTCACACAAGCTGTCAAGTAAATTTCTTATTTCAAAATAGAATCAATTTTTTTCATCGGTAACACAGTCTGAAGGTACTTCAAGCCCAGTTTTGACTCATTAACTCAATCGTTTCTTCCGGAACAAAAAAAAAGTTGACAAAATTGAAGAATTGCCAATGCAACCTTTGGGTTCTACCTACTTCCAGGGGATCCTAGTATTTCCAAGCTTGACATTGGTGGATGATTATCTATTCAGAACTTGAAGGGTAAGTGATTTAGAATCTGGTTATGGTAGGCGACTGACCTAAAATAAACCCAAAATAGTTTGATGGCCTCTGTACTGGGGTACCTTCTGTTTTTTAGTCTCAAAACACGCTGAACTTGTGGGGAAAAAAATTGATTTTTTACTTGAGCTGAACAAATTTCGAGTTACTGACTAGTCACTAAGTCACCGAGTAAGTAGTTAGCATAACAAACCGACTTGGCATTTCCAAAATCTAGGATAAGCACATCAGTTGAAAGTGGCCATAATTTAATGCTCATTTCGATTACAAAAAGAGGAATGTGACTTTAACATTCAAAAGCCAGGAAGGGGTCAGGAGTGGGAAAGGAGAGTCCCGAGGATACCCTTGATGCAAGAACAATAATGGGATTTCACAGCCTCGTCTACAGCATGCACATGTATCACACAGAAATGGAGGGAGGGGGTGGGCAGGGAAAGGAAGAGACAATGATTTAGTACTATTGAAAAAAGGAGAGAGGGATTTGCAGAAAATTGATATCTCTTTTCATAATTTAGCATAATTTTCCCCGAGAGTTAATTATTTGGATAGCATCCGAGACAGCAGAAACTTGATACGTGGGTGCAGATTACATGATAGATCTAAGTAATTTCTGGCTTGAAACTTTCAAGTTGAAAGTGTGAAATAAACCTCCTATTTCTTGAGAAAGATGAAAAGATAGCTGATAACTGCTGTTCAATGTTGTAGGAATTACGGACAAATTCTCCAACTTTCACGACTTTGCTTGAAGTTAGGTTTTGGAGTTGGGATGAAACGCTCTACAGGGGGAGGGTTAATGAATTAGATGGATTATATGGTTACACACGGCAGTCATAAGGTCACAGAGATGGCGAGTTTCTCTTGAGCATGTCAAATCTGATATATATGATTGGACATTCTCAGGATGGAGGAAAATAACTCATCCAAGAATAATTTTAATTCAGAAAAATTAGCTGTTTGTCATAGTTAGTGTTGCATCGACATCATGAATCAGGGGGGGAGAGGGAGAATAATTCGCGGAAGAGCATAATCCTCATCACTGAAGTAATTCTTTTTCATACTTGTGTTTATCACTTTTGATGCACCATGGCCAAACCCCGCTATTTCTCTCAATTAATGATTTACTTATTTTTCCGATTCATGGGTCATCAAGTTGTTCTTTCCTTCCTAACTTTGCCCGGGTTATGACCAATTTTCTTAGCCGTTTGAAGTCTTGCAGTGCAAGTGTTTGCGGTTTAGGTACAGGATATTTGGTGTGTTGGCAAGATTGTAAGATAATTGCGTTCAAAATTTTCCTACCGATTAGTTGCGACATGCCTTGAGTCTATGAACTATTGAATTTGTGCATTGGATGGCTGACCAAAGTTAAAAAAAGAGGGACTATTTGTAACGAGCAAAAGCGATTGGTCAGGCTCCAAAAACTCGGATGAGAAAAAAGCAACAATAATTTTCATGATAATGCAAGGACGTTGCACCAGTTGACATATGAGAACTCTTAAAAAATTTTAAGGGAATTCTATGATGTGATAAAGTCCCACCCAATTGTGTTCAAGTGCTGTCAGGATTTTGAAGCGTTTTGAATGAGAGAAGTTAGGGGAAATGGTTGAGGAGAATGAAAATGAAGAAGGCATGAAATTGGATAGGTTTGGGAGAGGAACAAACAAAGGTAGCACATAAACACAAAACGGCACTTACCTCATCAAAGAGAAAATTAAAATGAGGATACACATATTAAGAAGATGAATTTAAAGTGAGATTGATTTAATAAGGAGCGTGTCTAGAACCACGCCCTCCTCCCCTTGTCTTGCCACCGCCATAACCCCCTGCAACATTAATCCATTAATGTAGTGATTGACATTTAATAAATTACGCTAGCTTTACATTAAAATTAACTATCAAAAATTAACAACAATTCAAAAGATTTACTTTAGATGAACAATTGAAATTACAAAGCTATCCTGTAGTGGCTAGCAAGGTTGGCAAAATGAACTTATTTTACAAAGGAACACAGGAAAAAAAAGTTTTGTACCATGAAGCTTATTTGTAATCATTTGTCTAGGTAAGAAGATGGAATGTACGACAGTTCAGTAGGCCCATGAGAGGTAATTACATAAAAATACAGATGTCAAGTTTAAAAAGTGCTCCAAATCAATGTGAAAGGATTTCTCAAAGAGCTGCACCAACACCGTTTCCAAGGGGGTCCATCAAGAGACTTGGTGAAAATGCAAAGACAGCAGCAAGTATTTTTTTAGGTTTTGACAAACATTACACCAAACAAAAAGGAGAAAGCTTAGGGTACGAACTTAACAAGAAAGCAGCTAAGGTTAAATAAAGGAGCTGTAATTGAGCTATTTCTGATTTTCTCTATTCTGCATTGGGTGTCAGAACTGTGCGACATATTTACTTTCTTCTCTTCATTTTGAAGCAGAGGGAGTTTTTTGACCCTTTTGTTGCTGGGAAAGCGTAGATGGAAGAAAATATGAGAAAATTAAAATGCATAAAATAATTCTCTTTTGGTATTGGTGCACTGGGAGTTGGGCTAGTTGCTGAGTCAGTTACGTTCTTAAACTCATCTAATTTGAGATTTCTTAGAGGGGATGGTGTAATAAATTGCAGTCTTTTAAGAGGATTTGAGCGAAGAGCACTTGCCAGTGCTTATGATAACGATTTAAAGAATTTACAGAGAGGTAAGATGGCATTTCCTTCAGTTACAGTTTTGAAATAACATGCGGTGCTGGTTGCCTTTGGAATAGATCTGTCACATCAAATTGGAGGAACTCTAGAGGGCAGTTGGTAATAATATAAAATTAAAAAGACATCAGTATTCGCTTTACTAGACATCAAAGAAAAGGTGATGCAAAGTCACTTCGGATCAAGCTTCAGGTTTAGCAGGTGAGTATGCCTTTGAAAAGTATGAGAATTGCTGTTTTATGACGTATAAAATAAAATCCTTTTGCCAAGTTAATCGAGTCTGCCAACACAATGGAATGACAAAGAGGAGGGAGCGTTTTAAAGCAATATGGCATGCTTTAACTGTGAGTCAGTTGATATCAATATTGAGAATGAATCTAAAAAGTCAAACTGATGGATTAACCAAAAACCAACCATGCGATGAGGCATGCAAATGACACTACAATGAGCTGTCTTCCATTGAGAAACCCGTTCGAAAGCTTGTTAAAATGGTAGATGAGAGTTAGAGGATGACAGTGGTTACATGAACAAGGACACGGTAGAGACAAAACCTTAGAATTAACTTGAAAACAGAAAAATTTGTCTTGTGATCTGTCATTTTGATTCAGTATGATGCAGGACTTTTCAATAGCACAAATTATTCGAATAAAAATTAATGCATCCGAACTTAGGAAAAAGCAGAGGATATGTGATTGCCGCGAATAAGCTAATTCTATTCATTTCATCCATTTTGTTTCAGCAGTTGGAATTTAGAACGTTCTGAAAATAAATTTATTATCATTCGACACTATTGTTCTAGAAAACTATTAAATAAGTCTGATAGTCTGTAACTGCTTAAAGTTGAACTAAATAAAAGAAAAGGGCTATTTGGAGGGAAGGAATTTGCCTATTTAATGTTGCTTTAATGCAGATTTCGTTTCAGGCAAAAGCGTCTAGCGTTACAAGTTCACCATCTTAAAATATCAAGTCTTGGNGGGGGGGGGGGGTGATTTCCTCAAATATTTAATGCTCAGTTAAGGAAAATTTCAATGGAGTAAAAGTATGACAATATTACACTAACTTAGCAACACTAGATGAACATGTACCCTTTCGTCAAATGCAAATGGCATTCTCAAAGAGGTTACAGTAATTCCTTTATGAAAGAATAAGAGGTGCCCAGGTAAAGAGAAAAAGGGAAGTTGCAGCAATCCCAAGATAATTAAATAAAGGTTTAATTAGGACCCATTTACAAAGCTAGAAACTAATTCAACCGAGTAAAGACCTAAGAATATCTTCCATATGATAAAATCATTGAGATGAAAAAGCCACTACCTTCCCTCGTGGTTCAAGAATATTTTAATTCCATAATGCCTGATGATTTTCTATTTGACAAAGTCTCCAATTGAGGGTAAAAACATTGATGCCTACAGTGAAGATGTGCATGTAGAGGGGAGCTTGAACAGCTCACTCATCACATTAGAATTTGGATTACATAAAGACCTCGATCAATTGGATTACAACAAATCGATCCATCGAAACGCAATCCATTGGATAGAGGTCTTAATGTGACATATTGTGATGTATTTTTACAACAGTATTATATTTGACATAATTACATATCCTTTAATTAATTTTGTGGATTCATTCAAACTTTAAAATACCTATTAATTCCTGTCAGTATTAAACTAATGCTTAAAGCACCTGCTAGTTCAGGATGCCGATGTTAAGAACGTTACCGGGTAACCTTTGGCTGGATGTGACAAGGAGTAGTTTAACTTATCACTACATCTAATGAATTATAATCCACTGATTCTTTGAAAACCGAGGGACCCTCCATAACTTTTTAGTCTGAGGGCTCGCACAGATTTAACATCATGGAATTAAAAAATTCCCGTAGGCCAAAGCACACGAAGGACATTTCTTGGCGGTCCAGACTTCGGAGAGCTGGCGAGGGGCAATAGGGGAATAATTGCTAAGTGCGAGTGGTCCACTAAAATTCAAAGGGATGATTGGTTCTACAGTACAAGTCGATTGATCACACACCGGCACCGTGGGCTCATGGAATGTGTGACAATTCTGATCAAATCAACAGCACCAGCAGCTAATGAGTCAACAAGGATGCTTGGTCTCTGGGGCCGGGATTTCCAAGGGCATGGCAGAATTATTTTGGCTTTCCCGTTAAAGAGCTTGCTCACATTATCACATCTTTCTGCAAATCGACCCACCTCTCCCCTCTTATTTCCATATCTTCTCGTTTTCTAATATTCCTCTTTTCAGAACTTGTTAATCAAGGGGCTAACATGTTAGGTACTAAAGGATGAGGAGCGAATCCGAATGAACTAAGAGACCCCGCTCTAAGACTGACATGCTACTGATGAAATTAAAATGAGGTTAGAAGAACCATACCTTTGCCACGACCTCGGCCGCCGCCACCACCAGCTCCTACAGCATAGCCACTGTCGTAACCATATCCGTAGTCTGGAAAAAAAACCACAACACACCGTCGATAATTCTAAAAAGGTACCTTTTCAGAATTTGTGAGCTTACTCTTAAGAAACCAAGCGAGAAACCCGAGCAAATTTATCTGGATTATGTTGCACACTCAAAAATCAATAAGCTTTGTCACAGGCATTCCTCCCTGAATTCCACTTCCAGATCATTACCTTATGTCTTGCAAATTTTTTTTTTCATCCTTCTTTGATGACGTGAACTTTACAGGCTAAAATCATTTAATAAAGAACATGTAGCATTCCAAAATGTAGCACCTGAATTTAATGTTTGAGATAGCAGTTCCCTTCTTTTTCTTTGAGCAAAACATAGCTCCTGGCACTCTACAGCCCTATCGGCATGTTTGAAGGTGGAGAATAAGACTAATTTTAACTCGTCAAAAGATCCGCGCACACAGGCAGCAAGTCAAGAACTCAGGAAATAAGCCCTGATCACCGTAATTTCCCTTGTTGAAAAGCCTCTAGCATGTTGGTTAGACTCCCAACAAGCATCACACTTTAAATTTAACTTCTTTTTCTGAAAATCGGGCACTATTTCAGCATATCAAAAAGCTGCACAAACTGTGAATGTGTTCGGTAGCTTAAACTTAAATATTCACTTAAGACCAAATTTCTCATTGAATATTAGGGAATTGTAGAAAATATGCATCTCTTTCAGAGCTGGAACTGAACTTCTTTGTCTAGTGCAATCAGAGGCATGATAATTTGACTCAAGCTCATATTCGACAGTCACAAATATTTTAGCTCTCAGATTATTCTTCATTTCACACTCCATAATTTAAAAGTGACGCATGTACATTAAAGAATTCAAGATTACTAGCCTATCAAAGCAGAAGCTACCCAGCACATTGGCTCAGAGAGAAAGCAACACACTGATTAGAGCGAGATGGATTATGTTTAGAAAATGGTCACTGTTTAATCCTAGGAACTGAAGAAACTAAGGAGGAAGAAGGAAAATGGAAACCACAAAGAACCATCAGAGAATTTAACCAAAAATATAAAAATGCAGGAACACGGATTAAAGAGGCAGGGAAAATTTCAAATGCCGGAGTGTTTTGTTTCAACTACCCATTTACTCTCAGTCATATTCAAAATATTCTTTAAATAGAGAGGACTTTCATCTGCAGAAACATTCACATACTGCGCAGATGGATTCTTCATAGAAGCGTTAATTAAACAGGAAAGCCCAGTTGAACACTTGCTCCTTTCCAAACACCACTTTTGAGGGGATCCACAAAATTGGACGACGGAATACGAAATCTCATTTAGCTGACACCAGTTCTGCTTTCACGAGAAAATAATTGAAACACTTTTTGCACGGACGAATTTAAGTCCAATGCCGAGTTTTAATGATTTGGTAGTTCCAGAGACTCAGATGGGGTTCACCGTGTACTTCAACAAGGCACACACATAATTTTCAGTTCTGTCAGCAAAAAACTCATGACTGAGTTCGCGCCTTCTGAGAGTGAACTGGCAGGCTCACGACATCTAGAAATTATTTATTCATGGCGCAAAGATAAGTCAAGGCTAGCAAGGAAAGGAACACTGTTAACTGTCTTTCTTCTTAATGCCGACTCAATTTTCGGAATAATAATGGGAAAAAAGGAGCTGCTTGAGGAGGTGAAAGTGTTAAAACTGTAGAGAAGAGCTAAGAAAAAATATAGAAGAAAACAATAAAGAAGATGAGATGGATAGATATTCAAGAAATTGATGGAAACACAAGTAAAAGACAGAAAAACGAGACTCGTAACAGGACCCAGTGGAAGACCCTACAACATAATAGGTGAAATTAAAAGTAACACTTACCACCATAGCCGCCGTAGCCACCATAGCCATATGAGTCATAGCCGGTTCCATAGCCACCGCCATAGGCTGTGCCATAGTAATCGTAACCAGCACCATAGCCTGAAAAAAGAAGATGAAAATAATCACGCATGATCAAGGCAGCTGCTTATGAGAAAAATTGGAGGGCTAAGATAATTGGAAGGGCCACCTTTCAATAACTTCTCAATGTGGTGTTTCTCAGAAAGGTAGGGTAAAATTGGCGTGTTCTAAGTAGAATTGAAGTGAACTTTGCATTATTTTATCAAATTACAGCAATTAATTGCTTGGAGGACAAAAAAAAGTCCTAGCTTTGAAAATTTAGGGGAAAAGGGGGTTTTGTAATGCGAGTTGGAGAAAAAGAGAACTTCAGGATCCCTGATGGGAAACCATGGATATATTAGACACACACAGCTGTTTCTGAGCATGGTTGAAAAGATCGATAGCTAAAATAATTATATTAAATTCTGAATTATGAACATACCACTCAATATCATTTTTATTACCCAACCGCGAGATCATGAACTTTAGTGTGGAAAGCAATTTTCTCTATCCAGGGTGTCTACCAGTTATAAAAAACCAAAATTAGGGGCTTTCGGGTGATCCGTCAAAAAAATCGGGGATTCCCCCCTTCCAGATATTAAGAGAAAAGGAGCTAGTTAGAGGGGTAAACGGCGTACTTGAAATGACTGATTTTACAAGTCATGTTGAGCCTAAGAAAACATACGAAAAACCAAGCAACACTTCAGTTTTTCTATTCCTGCTTATACCGCACAGCCGCGGCTGGCAGGAAAATTTGAAAATGCTGATACTGCGGACAATTATTGAAATTTTTCGGGGACCTGAACAAGAAAATTGGGGACTTGCAGGGACATCCTTCCAAAATCAGGACGTTGGGGACTTTTGGGGACCGGTAGACACCCTGCTATCACCTAGTTTAGCTTGAAATTTATTTTCAGTTGCAAAAATGAAAAAGGTAGTCTTGGGACACTACAGGGCACCATTTTCATGCTCATAGGTACAAAGCTCAGTAATTTATGCCTGTAAGTACTATGACAGGTTTACTATTTCTCTCATAACTGAAGGTGTCTTCTAAAATCCCACACTGGATTTTCCTAATATTAGGAATGAAATTCCCGGATAATTTGGACGAACAAATTGACAATAGGTAATTAAATTTTACAGTCAGTCACATTTAATGAATTGAATAAGGTATTTCACTTCGGCATAAGCTGACTGTATGTAGTTGGAAATGCTAGATGTACTACGAATTTCCTGATCCTTGACCACTTTTTCGGAGCACATCAAATTGTAATGTTGTTTTTTAAGTTCTCACTGATAGTAATACCTCCAAAAATTCTTCTAATAAGATATCTAGAATATTTTCATGCTCGATTCATTCAGCAGTATCTGTAAATATACATCAAATTTCTGACATTGGCGGATTCTCCCCATTAGAGAATTTGCAGGTGTCTTAAAATTTTGTGAATTTCATCTTAGAAATGATACTGCTGAGAAAACTGAGTACAAGGATATACTTAATTTCTAAATTGGAAAATTGTTGGAGAAAATATAACAAAATAACCTAATCTGCTAAAATACATGCGTTTAGATGGGAAATGCCGCCAGATGACATCATAAGGCGGCACATTATCTCACTTTCAAATCGATTTTTCTAGATTTCCCATGTCAGAAAAAAATAATGAAAAATACTGCGAACTCCGCTCATTAGGCATTCTCAGATGAAGAAATAAAATTTGAGTGTGCAAATTCTCCTATCTTTAGTCATAGGTAAGTTTTGGATCGAAGATTTGCTTCCCACATGGTGATGGTTAATGGTACTCACCATAACTGGGGTAACTACTAGCATAGCCACCAGCACCATATCCTGCCATCTTTCCACCTCGACCACCACGGCCTCGGCCACCTCCTCTACCTCGGCCTCGTCCACCAAAGCCGTCTGGTTTAGGCGTTGCTCGCTTGACGTCCACTTCTTTGCCATTTATTGACTGCTTGGCATTCTTCAATAATTCTGTGACTACTTGTTCAGACTCGAATGTGATAAAGCAGAAGCCCTTCCTTTGGTTCTTGATTTTGTCAAATGGCATTTCTGTTTCAACGATCTGAAAAAATGATTAAGGTAAGTAATGTAAATGACGGTTAACAAGAGTCTGGTCTAATCAATGATCAGTTATTTTAACAAGTATATGAATGAAGATGCCCTAAATATTGCTGTTCACTGGCACCAAAGACATTGAATCACGTAGACCGTGCTACGCTCGGTTTAGTACAGCCAGAGCGAGACTAGTCTCTTCGAGTCCCATGAGGGGCGGGCCGGGAAGGGAAGCTTCCCACTGAAGCTTCCATCTGAAGAGACACTCGAAGAGACTGCAGAGGGGCAATAGGGAATTCATTGGCGCGTTTGGTTTTATTTTCCACTAATATCTAGTTTAGAGTCCATTTGCAGACAAAATTCCCAAGAGGAAAAGTTTTAGAACATATAATTTTACAATTGAACAGTAATGTTTCATTTTTCTGAACTAATTCTTAACGGAGAAAAAAAGCCTCACAATCCAACAAAAATTCACTGGAGGCACTACTGCGCATAAGCAGACGTGCGCAATTGGGACACCTGAACTCATCCATGAGGGTCGGTGCCACCACTCATAGGCATGCGAATTTTTAAAAGTTGTCTCGTCTTCTGTGACACAGGATGTACGGTCTACATGATTCAATGTTTTTGACTGGAACAAAGCAGGTGTTTTGACTTCCTCCCATCTATCACATAAGAATGCCTTGTCAGTGAGGAGAAAAAATTGCAGGTTTCTTTTACCAGGACCATCATAGTCTTCTCAGGAAAATCTTAGCATCACATAATTTCAGTTGCTCAGAACTGTTGAAAAAGGTTTCATCACAGAAGAACTGGACGGGGAGATAAAGCTGGTTGTATCACGTAGGTCATTCATCTATTTAAGTTATGCCACAACTTTAGAGAGAAAGATAATTCTGACAGATTTGACTGGATTGAGCCTAACTTTATTTAATGTGGCCTGATTTTCTATGAACAATAATTTTTAGCAGGGAACCAGAAAACATACACAATTCCCATAACTACTGGGGCTTCCTAATTTTAAAAATTGATTACTGGTTATTTCTCTCATTTTCTCAGGAATATTGTAATTGCTGATAAATCTCATGTTCTAGCGTCTTATACTCTGTGCCTAAAAAGAGGGAGGGTCGCAAATTGAATTACCAGGACATATTTTAGAGGGGTTAAAAAAGTCCTCAGATGTGGTTGTTCATCAATACTATCAGAAGCAGAACTGACGAAAGTTGATTAAGAGATATCATCACAGCACAGTCTAAAATTCCCTCATGAGGCGATAGACTACTATTTTTCAATTTAATTGTCAGAACCTAGTCAGAAGGGTTTCAAGAAGTCCTCAGATGTGGTTGTTCATCAATATTATCAGAAGGGTTTCAAGAAGTCCTCAGATGTGGTTGTTCATCAATATTATCAGAAGCAGAACTGACGAAAGTTGATAAACGAATATCATCATAGCACAGATCTGAACCTCAATAATGTGGCAAATTAGTAACATTGGTGAAATAAATTGTTAGTCGACAGGGTTACAATAAGTCCTCAGATGTGGTTGTTCATCAACGCTATCAGAAGCAGAACTGACGAAAGTGATTTAGTATCATCATTGAAAATACGTACCCTAATTCTTAAAATGATTTCTTGAAGAGCTACTATTTACTATATCAGCCTACTCATGAAATTCATTGTCGGTTAGGACCTGAATTGGTTTGTCAAAACTGTCAAAAATCTTATTCACTGACTTAGAATCAGCTGACTAGTTCTACTGAAAACCCTTCGGCAAGAGTGAATTAAAGGATTACTTACAGTTCCATATTGAGCGAAGTAGTTTTTGATGTCATCATCTGTCAAGTCTGTGGATAGGCCACCAACAAAGATTTTACCCAGCTTAGCTTTGGCTTTCTTGGGATCGATTTTCTTCCCATTGATGACATGGTCTCCAGCTGCGATTACCTAGAAAATGAAAGAGCACATGAAGTAAGACGAAAAACTTAGGGTACTCAAAAGGTTGGCACAGCAAGATCGAGCTATTAAAGATTAATCAATGTTTCAGAAAGAAATCTATTCATTACAGAAGAAAATATTGTTCAAAGACAATCTCCCTTCCTAAAAAAAAATAAATTAAGCTATTTAAGAGGGGGAATAAAATCTGACTTATGTTTCCTGAGAGTGCGTCTTATGATACTTGAGCGCTCTTACACCTCACAAAATATGTGATAAAAAATCAGCTTTTGAAAATTCAGGAGGGATTCTACTGGAAATTTTTGCTTGTCAAGGTTTTAGAAATCCTGAAGATGTTACAATGATATAAATTGTGAAGGGAGTAGAAGCCTACAGATGGGTTTCTATGAATATCATATCTCAATTTGTGCCAAAGAATCAGGTGGCAGCTAGGCAGAAAGAATACTATTCGAACTTCCTAATGAGAGCTTACATCAGGGCCACAGGATGATGAGGACAACACAACCCTTTTTGATCGCTAACTTTCAGAAGGTATAAGAAATTTTGGTCAAACTATGGGAAGTGATAGAATTGTTTAAGTTGTTCCCTGAGCGTTAACCAGACTTGAGAGGCAAACAGAATCTTGGACATCATACCTTATCTATTACAGCTACATCCTTAAATACAATAAATGCAAAGCCTCTCGACCTTCCGGTGTTAGGGTCTACTTTCACATTGATATTTTCGATTTCACCATACTTGCTGAAGTGTTCTCGGAGTTCCTCTGTGAACAGAAAAAAATCAAGATTAGTGTCAAAATGGTAAAGATAACCAAACCTAGATTTTTATAGCTGAACAGTTCATCAATAGATACTTCAAATCTTTGTAAAAGATCTTGTCATTTAGTCTGAGTGCACAAAAAATACCCAAGTATACCCATGGGAACCTTAGCACCTGACAGTGCATTAGAGGGGCCTTAACTGTATGAATAAAACTTTAATAGTTGTATCTCTACTAAGAATAGTAGGGTAATTTCTAATGGATATACTAATCAATTCAAATTATATGTCTCACAAATACTCGGAAATTTTGATGAAGCTGAAGTACTCTCTCAATAATTATGAATCAAGAACTAAGATTTTTATTCATACTTTGACAGGGAATAACTTAAAGACAGTAATGTTATGTACACTCTAATAGTGTAAAGGTTAGGAATAACTGTGACTTTCACAGCAACAGAAAAACAAATGAGAAAGAACACTTACTGTCTGAGGTTTCCCAGCTGAGACCACCAACAAATAATTTTCTGTAATGAAAAAGAGGGTGCGAATTAATTGATGATATTTTGTATCACGTAAAAAAGAGAATGAACAAATATTGCTGAGAAAAAAACTAATAATGTGAGCATTGCTTGAAATAATTGAAAGGAAAATTAACAATAGATAAACAAAGAAGCGGTTGAAGAGGCAAATCTTACTTCATAGGTTCAATACTTGACGGTAAAAATTTTGACTTGAATTTGAAAAATCAAGCAGGTTACAATCGGCAGCAAATGGAATCCAAAAACAAATTTAACGGAATTTGCAAATCTGTAAATTATCAAAACAAAGAAGAAGAGCACAAAAAAAGGAATTTGATTGCTCTTAAAAATTCAACGAAATAAGAAGGAAACATATTGAGAAAAGTGACAATTGACTGTGACTTAAGATCCAAAATGAATTGCAGAGAGCTTAGATAGTCTTTCATTATCTAAAAGTAGCTTTGGTTGGTAAGGATAAATACCATAGGTCGGCGCAAAGCGGTCACCAGTCCAGGCGGTGTGATTGGCTTGGCCTTGCAAGGCACCTGGGGGGAAACGAACGTGTGTTAGAGCACGCACATACAACACATCCTGGGACAATACAAGGAAAAAAGGATAATGGTGGGGAGAGGGGGACCATTTACTCGCAAGAGCTTTAAGATCGGAACTAGTTACTTTAGAAGACGCCCATCAAATTGCAGCAAGACTAATTTGGAAAAGTTATGACCAAGAACAGAAGCAATCAATTCAAGAGGAACAATTTGTTATTTAAGTCCGTTGCGTATGCAGTATCAAGTACCAAGATTCAAAGACAACCATTAATCATCGAAATGCTACATCAAACTTGTAAGTTTCGGAACCAGATAATCTGAAAAGATTTCAACAGTTAACAAAAAAAATCCAACGAGTTAACAGAATTACAACACTTTGGAATTAAAAGTTTAATCATCAGCACGAAAATATGAGTGGGCTAAGTATTGTATTCTAAGAGTTTGGATACAAAAATCTATTTCGAACGCAACTTGATTAGTTGAAAAAGAATTTATCAAACTGAAAATTAATGAGTTTAAATAATGATAGCATAATTTTTAGAAAAAAATACTGGGTGGGGAAGGGATCAATTTGAGAGGAAGGTAGGCATTGTGACATAAACTTAGAGGGGTCTGAAGAGCAGCCTTATCAAATCGGCACTTCACTTCTTATTATCTCAACTCACACTAAGACAGATGGAACTGCCTTGCGAATCAAAAACTGCTCTTCAGACAAGACCAAAAAAACCAAACCAAACTAGAATTCAACTTTTAAATGACCGAGAATCTACGAAGACTGGCGCTGATAACTGGGCAAGACTGTCAAGCACTTGCATCTTATTTTCCAGGGGTAAAAATTGATGTAAATCAACTCTCGCTACAAGCTATCTCGGTGAAGAATTGATAAGAAATTCTGCATGTCATCATCTAAAAAACAGGATAGATGATAGTAGAATTAATTGTACCTTTTAAATGTAATGGATGTAACTAATGCAAATTTCGAGCTTGGTTTGGTGACACTGATATTAGAAACGATAAAATAAAAATGCACTTGAGCCATGGACATCACCATTCATTGGTCAGAGAGGACAATACTTTTAATTTAGGGGCATTTAAGTTGTAAGAGGTAATCTTCGCTTCACAATGAAGTAGTATGTTCAACATTAGAAGAAATCAAAAAGTTTGTTTCCAATCAAGGTATGCTTCACAACAAAAATTCTAGCCGCTCAGCGGACAGGTGACTACAAAGCACTCGTTAGGCCTAAGAACTTGAGGAAAAAATCTCAAATCAAACTCAAACAGATATGTCTTGTGGACTAATTATACTTAGGGACCCCTAAATGGTGTTGAAAAATTTCAATCAAAAAGATCTTAGCCCATCTTTAGTGTGCGGTATAGAAACAATAAAATATGTTTCAGACTCACAACCAATCTCTTTGGCCGAGGTTCATCTTCACCAACTGATGAATAATGATGTCAGAAAATTAAAATAGCATGCACAAATGAAAAAACAGAATGAGAAGCTGCGACTCAAAAAATACTGAGAATAGGTTTGGAAACTTTATCACATGCCAAGAGGGCATGTTTTATTTCTTTTTTTCTTCTAAAATAAAATCGAAGAAGATAATGTATTGGTGTCACAGTATATCTAATGATGGGTTTAATGAATCATTATCTAGTTATTAAAATCAAGAAACTTGGAACAGGACTTCAGATTAAGCAAATTGAAAATACTGGGAGATCCAAGGAAGCGCACATGGTAATCATTTAAAATTTTAGCTTGATTCTATAATTCAAGTTCTGTGCAAAGCAAAAACTTGACAATACATAAAACATACTGGACTTAAAGACTCAATCTCCATTATGATATTTGATCAAACACCGTGTTTGACCAGGGTTTTCAGATCAATGAGTCATTTATTTCTATATGACTGCATACTACTTCAAGGTCAAAATCCAAAGAATATCCCAGTACTGAAATAGGTGAGAATGATAAGATCAAAGTTTGAAAAGGGCTCCAGTAATATTTTCTATGTACGTTCAAACGTAACTAACCAGACCTTGAGATTGAAGGTTACCAGGGATTCCGATGCTTGTATCATTTCAGCTCTTTCACAGACTCTTCTTGACAACTCGCATCCTTTCACAGACTCTTCTTGACAACTCGCATCCTTTCACAGACTCTTCTTGACAACTCATCAGATCACTTGGTGACAATAGCAAAAATTACATCCTATCTACTGACTGGTTAGACATTCAACATCCGATCCTTTCCATGTTTCTTCGATGGAAATGAGGAGATATTTTCTTGATCAATATTAAGTGCAGAATTAGACTGGTGAACGCAAATGAGCTGAGACAGATTTTGATCGTAGAGTAAAACGAATAGAAAATAGCTAGGCTCCTCTGACATCTGATGTACCCATGCATGGATGTTGGACAGATCAAGAATTAAGAAATTGAGGAAATTGTACACCTTGCTATGGAAAAGCGAATAACTGTTCAAGGAAACAGGGATGGGAAAAGCTTCATCGTGGGGGTGATAGAACATCAGATTGCCTCTCAGCTCTTGAATGTCAGTTCACTCATCTGAATGAGGACCTAGCGGTAGTGATTAAGTGGGGCGCAAAACTGAAAAATTACAAAGTTATGATGCTAGATCTCATCTTGTATTGCAGTTAATTCATTCTGTAGTAAATTGGAAAAAATTTGACAACTACCTAGTTCCTCAAACATTTAATTAACACTGCATTGGGTAGAGATCATCTCTATCACTCAACCCTGGACAAAACACGAATAAGCCTTATTGCACCCATAGGTCCTAATTTTAATTTTAAGACAGGGATCCAAGCACTGTTGTAAAAATATAATTTATAATCTATTAATTGCTTGTACGGATGCTTTCAACTATTTGTATTGAAAAAAAAAAATTAAAAAAGAAAACACAATATTTGTACAGAGTATATGCTGACATACCAGGGAAGGGATGGATTAATGCGGCTGATTAAATTTCCTTTAGTTAGCAATGAGGAACGACAATTTCTGCCTCATTTCAGATACAACATATCGATAGGGATAGTGCACCAGTATCTTTGCAGACATCCAATCATACTGTTTTTCATATGGATAAATAGTAAACCCAATTCCTTGAAAACTTCGGTCAATTTTCTTCTCAGATAGCAAAATATTCAGTATGCACTCCAAGCTGTAAAGTCAGCTTATATCTTCTAGAAAAATTGAGAAAGAGCAGAGACCCCTATGGTGATACAATATGTTGCACTTCGGCCATCGATATGTGCGATAATTTTCCCTATGCAGGTGTGTGCTTGTATAAATGAGAGAGGGATGGTAGTTCCTCATTGCAAAATGTAATCCAAATGCCAGAATACATTTTAAAATTTTAGAAGTCTTTAAGGAGGACAATTGATAATGGTGTGGCAAACAAATCTTCCCTAGGTTTAGCTCAAGATGTTAGGAAGTTTTAACTTCCACAATTTGGATCTACTTCTCAAAGCGTGTGTTCAGATAAGTTAACAGTCATTCTTTAACAGAGAGGTCACTGAACTGAGATTTATCTCAGATCAACAGGAAGATTAATAGCCTTAACTTCTATTACTGTAAGTATTGGGACATTCATCATCAAGAGATTTTTCTCTGGGATTGTAGCACTTTCATGTGTGCATCAGTGCAATAAAAAATTGTATTTTCAAAGGAATCAATGCGGCGTTCATCAGCTGATGGTTGTGAGTGCCCGCATCTATTAACAGGAAGTTAACAACTTCTAATTTTCTTTAAGACTCTCTCCCGACTCTCAGCAAGTGGCTTTAATGATGTCATCATTGGCAAGTTTTAGAGAATTGAAAAAATTCACTCACAGTGCAAAATCATTTAGTGAGAGAAACAATAAGGAAGAGAGGGGAAAAAATCCATTATTAAATTAAGAACCCAGTCTAGAAGATGTTCCGGTTATACAATTTAAAAAAATCTAATCAAGAGAAAACACATATCTTGGCTCTGGAATGAATGTATTACAAGGATGTTGCTGCCATAGGAGGATTTTGTAAGCAAAAGATTCCTCTGTGATTACATGACCAGATTTTTTAAGTAGTACTGAGTTAGCAGCAGATCTCGGAGACCATCTCACAGATACATGGAAGGACATCCTGCCATAGAATGGTAGGTCTACTAGTTGAGCCATGTATAAAAATCTCGAAAATTCAATTGTGTTAATGGTAGTTCACCATCAGGCTGAAGTGATCTCTTTCTGCGAGTTCGGAATAAAGCATCGCGATGTACAACTTTACATTCAGCGGAGAAATTTCATCACCCAAAAGGCCTGAAGATGAACTTAGATAAATTTATTGACTACTCATTGATAAAAGACATAGGTATAGAAAGAAAGAAGTGAGAGAACTTGAAATTATCAACAATTAAAGGCTTCTTGGAAATATGGCTTGGAGTGAGTAGGGAGACACGAGTGTAAGGGGTCTTCACTTTGTACTTCGTAAAAAAGTTTACAATTCATTCTAGGAAAAGTCTAATTAACTTTTAGATTATTGGCATGCAAACTGAACAATGGACTTATTGCTTAAAGAGAGAGAAAGAGAAATAAGAAAAGAAGGTAACACACTTCCGTTTGAGCAGTCACCAGAACGAAATTATAAAAAAGTAAAAAAAAACCTCGCTATAAACGTACCACAAATTTTTCAAGCTTGTACAGAACATGTTGATACCATACAAGGCTTGCATTGCGTTGACAAGCCCAATTAATTGATCATCAAATAACTGAGGGTTCATAAAGATTTTTAAGAACGAACACAAAAATCGCCAGGCCAGGAAAGCAGATGGGTAGACGAATTGCTTAGGTGAGACTGATGAGTAGTTTCTTTGGAATAAGCCTCAATTTTAGACCAGCTCATACATAAATTCTCATTAACATAATAGTATCTCACTTAGGGAGGGAGACCAAATATAGATGGAAAGCAACACAACAAGAATATTTTGTGTTGAGGTCTAGAATCACAGAGTTCTCAATGAAGTTTTCTCTGGGATGAACTGGGTGATGAAGTACATGAGCCAGCTAAGAAGCTTAATTAAGCGGACATAACATAAGAACAAATTGACAATAGTTTCTCATGAGTAGGTAGATCATACTTCTGAGTTTGCAAAAGTGTCAGCTCACAATGTTAGACTGATACTAGCAACTTGTAGAGAATAATACTTATTGAGACTTCAAGCACATCAATTGTTGAATCAACCATCAACCAGCAGTAAAAGCCATGGATTGATCTAGGACATGGCAAGTTTACGTAGGACAAGGAAGTCATCAACTAACAACCAACAGCTAGCCGATAGGTATGTGTCCTTGGCACGCAAGAGTGGACTGATAGCAAGGAGAAACTGGACAGGAAACAATTGCAACTTCAAAATTGAGAATAGGTAGAACTGGGAAAGGGAAAGAAAGAATGGATAAAAATTATTATCAGTTGGCTGTGTAGTTCAGTTGGATGGTGCGATTATCTGAGGTGACCTTCATCTATTCTTTTCCATCCCCAGTTTTTTATTTCTGGCAAACTAAAAAGAAGAGCAGGGGGCATTACAGAGGAGTTCAGTAACAATCACAAGTTGGGGACAATTAAAACTCCTTGTCATGAGTATAATTGCCTCATTAACATCTCCACCCAGAGGAAATGATTCTACAAGGTAGATTAGGGAGCAAGTATGAAAAGAATTGGGACCAAACAAACAGGATTTTAGTATTGGACTCATCTAACATCACCTAACTGACAACGATCAAATAAAAATGGAATTGAAAATAATTTAAGAAACCCCTCAAAGGAGTCAGGGTCGTGTTCATGCTTCACATCATGGCATTACTAGACCCTTCCTGACTTTCGTTATGCTGTTATCTTTTGCTGCAAGTGTTTAGAGTGGACTCATCATATGTTGAGACACATATCAATCTCTGATTACCTCCGGATTAACACCACTCAACAGGTTAATACAGTCAGTCAGGTGGCGCCACTGATGAGCGGTGACCTAAACAATACTTGACTTTAGTCTCAACAGTCCGCTAGATGAGTCCGCTCTAACAGTAACTTTTGAGGAAGATAACTGAGCTGTAGCACCAGACTATCATTACGGTCACATCACATAGTCATGCCTTAAAGAACTCCTCTTCTAAGGGAGGTTCCATATGAATTACTTCGTGATAAAGGAGGTACTAGCATCAGGGAGAATGAACTCCTACCTTTACTTTTCAAGGAATCATTATATTAACATTTAATAATGCTTACAAGTAGATAAATCTACACATAAACAAAACTGAGCACTTGATAAGGTCCGTTACGGGTCAAGCATTTGTCTTATGGTACCAATAAGCTTCTCTCAAATGATAAGTTTCTCTATATTTATGACTCTGGAACATTTTTTAAAGCTGGTGCACTTTCATTCTCAGTGGTTTAATAACATAGCATCATATAAAAGACGATATCTCCAAGCCTCAGAATAATCCAACTGCAGGATTACGGTGACAGATTCTTGCAAGAGATCAAAATAATTTTCAAGTGCAGAAAACGTGAAATATCTAAGAAAAAAATGACAGACTTTGAAATTTCTTGGCATGGTAAAGCTACTATTCGGGTTGTAGAGGACTCAAATTACTTCAGCCTTCTTCGGTACTCAACTTGAGGCTCTTGAAAATGTTTCATATTGAATATTCTGCGATTTCTATCATTAGAATCTCTCACCTGCAGCCTGATTGTTGAAATCTTGTGTTTGTCAGGTCGACATATATGACATAGGTTAAACAGCGGAGCACGATTGGTAGGCTATGTCTCATCCCCGCTTTATCGTGATTATGTCAGGTGGAATGGACGACATACTGTCGAAAACTTAATGGGTGACATTAGCTTGTCATGAGTTCAACCTGACATAGGCACGACAAAGTAGCGGTAAGTCATAGCCAACCAATGACGCTCCTCCTTTTGACCTATGTCAACTCGACGAACACAAAATTTCAACTATCAGGCTGCAGGTTCAACGATCAAAATAAAACAGCATAATTTAATCATGGTTCCGTAACAAAATCTTGGGTTTATTGGCTTTCTTCATTAAAAAAGTAATTCATGTGGGGCCTCCCTGAGATTATCTACTTACTGTACGCACGACTGAGGATACAGCCTGATAGTTCGGTAATCAAAGGTCAAGACTAATGGAGCGACTATGTCATAAGTGCTATGTAATTTAGAACTCAGTGGTTCAAACCGAAACGGATAACATGACCTCACGTACAACATCTATCTAAATTAATTGAGTTGATTAATAACAAATTATTCATAGACAGGTCATGGATCGGTTAAGGACTGGTTAGATCTGAGAAATATAGATAGGGAGGAACGTTTACACAAATTTTACCACTATGACACAAGTTTGAGACACGGTAATGAGTTTGTTTACAATTGAACTCTGATGTGGGCACTAAATCCGTCTAATTTGAAGACCAGCTAGGCAAGTTTCAGCAAACTAGAGCTAACCGGACGACTAACTTGAGTTTTTGGAATGGATTTAACTCTGCGCTAATAGGTTAAGTTTACACCATTTGTAAGCGGCTGGTAACCAACAAAATTCAGGCCTGCATGCCTTCGCAACTTACAATTCATGACGATAGAAAAGTGACAGAGCTTCATGGGGGAGGTGCTTTTCAATAATTTTCAACGAATGTATGTTGGGTCTACACAGCGATCAATGGATTGGCAGCTAAATACATAGTTTGAGATTCTTTGGATATACCGTAACAAGAGACGTGTTAAATGCAGAACCTTTGTACTATGCAAGAGCAGCAAAATTCAACCCTGAGTATCGTAGGCTGCTAACCCACCTACAGAGGGAGGGGATTTAGCTACGTACTTAAGAACTTTAAACGGAAGACAGCAGTGTCTTGTTGCAGCGGTGTTAGATGAATGAGAGATCTAGTAGAAGTCCTTGTACGGCAGAGTAAGGAAAGTTTATCATCTTACTTCAAGTGACTGAGTGCACTCTACGGACGGGGGGCAAGGCGGAGTGGGGCTTGGGATGGTGTGTAAAATCTCAGGTCGGCTGGAAGGACATATTAATAGAACTGATTTCGAAGATGAGCTGACAATGCAAAATCAAACCGCAAGTCGGCAAGGAAGAGAAAATGAGGTAAAACAAAATCGAGGTCACCCGTGAAAATAGGCTTAAAATGCGGCTCGTCGAGAGCCACAAGCATTTCGGTAACCAGAAAGATGAAGGACTTCACTCCGAATACATTAGAAGTCCAGCTCAGAGAATGAAGAAGAGCGAGAAATGAAGAACATTTTTAACGATAAGCTACTGGAGGAGATGAAAATGGATAAATAATAGGAAATACGGCGTCCACCATCATGGATGCTGTGAAAATCGATGAGCCGGCAATGAGGACCAAGACCTAAAAATTAGCCTGGCAACGACTAGATCTCATCGGATAGGATCAAAACAGTCTTGAATGATCAAATGCTACAATTTGGAAGAAAGAAAAAGATAAAACTTAGAGAGGGAAAAGTGAGAAAATGCTCAAGAGAAGATGCTCTGGTCTGAAAGAACTTACCTATCGTCATCCTTTCCAGAGGATGCGTCCGTGGCTTCGCCATTTCCGCCTTCACCACCGTTCATGTAGTCAGTTTGTTCTTGCTGACCATCTCCATTTCCCATTTCCTGATCTTGATCAGCCATTGTAAATTAAAAATCACACAAAAAAGGAAGCACTTAGAAATAATCGACGGCACCGGCCTAGCGAGCGAGAAGACTACTGCGCACCGACGCTGCGCATGGGGAAACCGGCAACGCAATGCATTGTGGGTCTAAGAGCCGGGGTCAAGACTCGCTCCGCAGCTTGGAGGCGCACCGAAAGAGGGATGAAATCTTGTTCGCGAGCCCTCCTCCAAAATTGATGACCCCCTCTGGGATGCATTCCCGTATTACCGTGGAGAAAACGGGGAAAGTCCGTCCATTGAACTTACACCTATCGTCTTTCTCTCTTCCTTCTTCTCAAGATCTCAAGATCGTTAGAAAATGCCGGTGTTCAAATTAGGCTCGCCTTCAGACGGAAATGTGTGGCGCCGAGCATGATTTTTCGGAGAAAATAATAAAGGGAAAACCGTGACCGTTAACATGAATTAGCTCTGTTGGGCATATGCACGCTGAGATAAGTAATTCCCCAACGAAGATTTATATTGAATAATAATGTGTATGGGTAAGGAGAAATATATTCCAGCACTTCTGTTGCTTCATGTTTTTAAATTATCTGAAAATAATGCAGAATTTTCAAGACTTTGGGTAGGTAGGTATATCATGGCAGCCCTCCGATTTTCTCAACTAAGTAGGTACGGTATGCTATGCGGTCATTAAACCTCGTGTTTTTTATTTAATATTCTGTAAGTATCGGGTGAGTTGCGGTGATTTACTGCGTATTTTCAGGGCCAAAATCCTGGAGAAACCCGCTTATGAAAAATCAAAAACCTCCAAGGAATTTCAAACGCGCCCGAATGGCGGGAAAATGATGGCAGTGAAGTACTGCTGCGGTCAAATCGCTATCTCCTCTCATTTTCCACTAATGTTCTTTAAAATAAAACGAATTTTAATGTAGAATTGTTATTTGTTATTTACAAATAGCATAAATGAGATTAGATTCTATTGATTTTAAAGACGTAGTTTCTGCTCCCCTATTGTTTTCGACTACGCGGAGTAGAAAGACATTCGACGGAGGTCGCAGAGGCCCGTACTCGCTTCTGATTGGTGCCTGGTTTCGGCGGGAAACGGGAGCGCCTTAAATTTGCGGAGAAGTTAAAGCCCGTTTCGGATTACTTTTCCTCTTTCGCTGTATGCACAGGACGGGACAGGGCGCTGTATTCCCTATCCTGCGCATATTATAGTAAAAGAGAAAGAGTAATTTCAAACGGGCTCGATATGCAATTTGTGCTGCGTCATTCTCATTTTCAGAGTTACTTTCTTGGTACTACTCGGTACTACTTCGATAAATGACGAGAAAAAACGATGCACGTATCGTTTTTTCGCGTCATTTATCGTGGGAATAAAATATTCGCATGTCGAAATTCGCTCAAATTTTAGTGATCCCATATGCGCTCACCTTGTTACTTATTTGATTTCTGAGAACCATAGTCAATCAATTCATTAGTAGCCCCTACACATAGTTTCGGAAAGAGGAGCCTGTACTTTTCTGGTTATTGTTTTTTATCGACTTCTTTTTTCCCCCTTTTTTCAAAACTTCCCTATTGTAGGTATGTAAGTTCTCATCGTGATTCCGTGCGGAGCTTGAGGCGGATCCAACAATTTGGCAACACCGAATTTCCACATTTAAATATATGCTAAATAATCGATTTTTGTCGTAGCACATGGTCCCTCCAAGAATCGATACATTTCCATAGGTTTAAATGGAGAAAAGACGATGTTGCTGATTCGCTGGATCCGCCAATGTGCGGAACACACGCGGGGATGCGGGGCCCGTCCACGACCATGCAGGGGGGGGGGGGGGTGTAATGGAATATTCCCAAGGTCGTCCTCTGTTAAATTTTAGAAAATAAACACCTCCATTATAGCGATGAAAAATGGTTGAATATTCTTTTCTTAATTATTTCGCTCCGATTTTACCAAGAAAAATATGCATTCGTAAAATATAAAAAGAGTATTACATTCATAATGTAAAAACGGGCAACGCCTTGAGAGGGAGCATGAGATTTTGAGGATAAGAAGCTGCGATCGGTCCCGTGCAAAAATAGAGAGGCAGCCCCATAAAAACGGATTTCAAAAAATTGACAAGCTGGTGCACAATTGCATAACCATTGCGCATTTTCCACAAAAACGGAATATTTGCGTGTTTCTCGCAAAACCGAGGTGGAAATGGCGCATACAAAGTCGCGGGATCCAGTTTGTGGAGGGTAAAACATTTTCGCGCTGGTTTTTTAACCCTTTTTTAAGCAAATTTTACTTCGATTTTTTTTTTCTTTTTTTTTTCTTAGAACTGAATGTTATTAAAGAGTTTTTCTATTACACTTTTCACTTTTTTTTACTTACATCTTGTCTCTCGTAAATAATACGTTAAAAAAATCCGAAGAAGGATTTTTCTCTTTATAAGTTGTAACAGTTTCTATAAGAGTTTTTTTTTTTTTTTTTTTTTTTTTTTTTTTTTTTTTTTTTTTTTTTTAAACAAACAAATTTAACAGCCGTCGCAGTAGGGATCTCAATGGATCCGCAATCCCTAGGCCGAAAGTAAATGTTAAAGCCTATTTTACATTAAGTACCTAGGTTCTGCTACTTTTAACCTAGGCACTCAAAAATTCGGAGCCTAAAATTTGCTTGAGATTTGCCAAAATCTGGCCGATTTTTAATATTCACATTGTTAGCCAGGGCACTATGTATCCAGTCGCACATTCTAAATAGGCACTCAAAACCGTATACCTACTTTATCCTGACGGTTCGCTTATTGGCCAAACCAAATGCGTCCTGCAACACCTGCAATTAGTCTCTCGTCTTTTGTGAAATTCGACTTACATCTTTACTCCGCCGAGTTGAAAATCGGCACTTAGCTCTTGCACACCTTAAGAATTTTGGACGTATCACGCAAAGTGTCGTAAGTGCTCTCTCGTAGGTACGTTGAATTTCGCAAAAAACCCGACGGAGAGGAAAAGCACAATATCAAAGTATTCAGGGTGTTATGTATGTTGCCTATCTACTAATTGAAGGGGCACCTTGCATAGAAATGTAATGCAATAAAATTAAAGTAAGTTGCAATTTCTCTTTGCATTGCAAATCCCCACCTCAGTGTTACTTGTAGCTTGTCTTATGGGTCGTTCAAAATCTGCATTTATTGACTAAAATTGCAATTTCATGGTGAAAAAATTTCAATCTCATGGTATCGAATCGAAATTTTATTTCAATATTTTCATTGCATTGAGCTACTTGTGCGATGGTGCTGTTGGCTGGCTACCAGATACCGGCATCCGAGTATACCAGATAATTTTCCTGAAGGTGATATGAGCAGTTTTGGACTATTTTAGCACATCACGCAACTTAATATTCTGTAGTCGCTGTACTGATGACAGAACCTTTTGTTCACAGGCTCCCTGCACTTTCTTTGGCTTACTTACAGAACTTTACTGTTGTAAGAACAGAACTTCGGTCGTGAGCACACAGATTTCTCTGTCCTCATATCGGAAACTTCTGTAGCCGTAAGAAAGGATAGTACAGGAGCCCTATGAACAAAACTTTTTCTTAATTTCAGTGTAGGTATCGAAAAAAAATTGATTTAGTCCGATAGCCAAAATATGACCTGAAAATTTTTATGCGGTGTATTGATTATGGAAAGCGGCCTAAAGATTGATACAGGTTTAGATTGTTTTATTTGCACTGAAATAATCATACTCTGGTGTCGCTAATTCACGAAATCAACATTATTTTTGACTTTTTCATAAACTTTCTTTCTGTCATGATCGTTGGGCTGGAGCCATCAACGACTGATTTCGCATCAATTCTCTCTCTCCGCATTTTCTGCAGGAGTCGATCTTTTGTCCGCATCCTTTTCAGGATCCATTTGTTTAAGGAAGAAACTTTGGACAAATCGCTTCCCGGAGAAGTGGATGTGAGCGAATGCGATGTCCTGCCAAGTGAGCTCTTCATCAAACATACGCCTGCAAGGTATCAAAAGGACAATTTTAGAAGTCACAAATCGACAGCGAAACTGCAATATTGCGTGAATAGATCGTGATGTTTCAAAATCTATGCTTTTACTTCATTTTTAATGGCTCGAATTTTTTACAAAGTATAATTCACAAAAAAATGAAAATTTTTTGGAGGAAATTTGGCAACACTTGGAATGTTCATACGGCGTTTTTCCTTAGCACGGTAGTTTGGGTGATCTCTTTGGCAAATAAAAAATTAAGTAACTTTAATTAATTGATTTGACATTTTTACTGTGGTGAATGCATAGCTGAAGTGCGCTTCAGCTAGAATTGTACTTACAAATGGGTGGTTTTTCTACGAGGATTAAAAATAAACAAGTGGCACGGAATATAACAAAAGAATATGAAGTATAAACGATAATCCGGGTACCGGAACTTGGCTGATTTGAAAACGCCTTCAAATGGGGCGTGATACCTCGCGCATTCCGGAGAGTACGAATGGTTGTATCCTTGCGCCTTACAAATGCGACGGAAGATTACAATTGAAAAATCCTTCATGCACGCTGGCCTTTTCGATTTCCGTTAACATTTTTGCAGTCATGAATGCGCTTAAGTGCGCTTCAGCTAGAATTGTATTTAGCAAATGGGTGGTTTTTCTACGAGGATTAAAAAATAAACGAGTGGTACGGAATATAACAAAAGAATATGAACTATGCAATACGATAATCCAGGTATCGGAACTTGGCTGTTTTGAAAACGCCTTCAAATGCTGCGTGATACCTCACGCATTCCGGAGAGTTCAAATAGTTGTATCATTGCGCCGTAAGAATGTGACGGAAGATTTAAATGGAGATAGCCTCCATGCACGCTGTGCTTGTCGATTTCCTCTGAAATTTTTGCAGTGGTGAATGCATAGCTGAAGTGCGCTTCAGCTAGAATTGTATTTACAAATGGGTGGTTTTTCTACGAGGATTAAAAATAAACAAGTGGCACGGAATGTAACAAAAGAATATGAAGTATAAACGATAATCCGGGTACCGGAACTTGGCTGATTTGAAAACGCCTTCAAATGCGGCGTCATACCTCGCGCATTCCGGAGAGTACGAATAGTTGTATCATTGCGCCTTAGAAATGCGACGGAAGATTACAATTGAAAAAGCCTTCATACACGCTGGGCGTGTCGATTTCCTTTGACATTTTTGCGCTGACGAATGCATAGCTGAAGTGCGCTCCAGCTAGAATTGTATTTAGCAAATGGGTGGTTTTTATACGAGGATTCAAAAAGAAACGAGTGGTTACGGAATATAACGCTGGCCTATTCGATTTCCGTTAACATTTTTACAGTCATGAATGCGCTTGAGTGCGCTTCAGCTAGAATTGTATTTAGCAAATGGGTAGTTTTTATGGGAGGATTATAATTTAACAAGTGGTTAGAAATGGAAACGAAATAATATGAACTATGCAAAACGATTATTCCGATAACGGAACTTGGCTGTTTTGAAAACGCCTTCAAATGGGGCGTGATACCTCACGCATTCCGGAGAGTTCAAATATTTGTATCATTGCGCCGTAAGAATGTGACGGAAGATTTAAATGGAAAAAGCCTTCATGCATGCTCGATTGCTTGCCACATCCCATCTCGGGCCCTGGTACCAGTTTTAAGGTCCGGGCCCCAAGCACGGAGGGGAGGGGGGTCCGGAGGGCATCCCCCGGGAAATTTTAGAATGTGTACGACTAATTGGACGCATTTTGTAGCTTCCATAAAGAATTTTTCCATCAATTTCTGCGGAATAATTATGTTTTTTTTTATACTTTCTGCACAAAATACTTGCGAATTGTTGCATTCAAAACATCTGGAAAATTTTTACTTTTTTCTGGGGGGGGGGGGCATATGATACTATTTTCAGTTCTAAGAGGGCCAGCCCCCCCCTGGATTCCCCCTTCGTTTGTCTATGGCAAGGGAGTTGAGCCATGAGCCATTGAAGTTGAGGATGCCCAGACTGGAGACCCTTAGCATCTGACGACGGAAGAAAATGAAACGCAGTTACTAAAAATATCCCTCTGTACTGAAAGTCTTGAAAATAGATAGAAATTTTCCAAGAAGTATACTTCTTTGAAAATATAGGAAGAAAACTACAGTGCCCCAGCGTGTTTCTGAAAATCTGTTCACCTTTTGCGAAATTTTTAGGGTAAATTTTTCACTTTTTCTTACGAAACAAGGGTTGCATGTGAATTCGTTGTGGTTTTTCACGGGTAACACGGGCCCCGGTACCAGGGACCCAGTAGCCCCCCCCCCCCTTGTGGCGGGCCTGGTTGTATACCGTGTAGCTTTCATCTGTCGCAATATGAAAAAACGCCGTATGAGCCATCAGACGTTGCCACATTTCCTTCGATAAAAATGAGTTTACTTGAAAAATTGTAAATATTTTTTTCTCGAAACGTCGCAATGGAGCGTGCGTGATTTTCATACTTTGACCAACGATCTATTTTAAATTTAAAATTTTAAACTTGACAGCTTACTCTTTGACCAAGTTTAAAAGGGTAGTCGCGATTTTTCGCCTGCGGAAGCTTTGCTTTACCCAAATGGCGGAGATACCACACTTGACTGCGACACGCTCTGCGCTCACGCACGGTAAAGGGTCATTCATGAAATCAGGATCCTGCACGTACCAAGAGCCTGAGGTGACAGGGCGTGCTTCCACGTATCCCACCACAAGCAAACGGGAGCGGATTTTTTTTGCCGCCAAAAATGCCTGGAAAAGAGGTTTCAATGATAATGCTCGAATGGATCGTATTCGACCGGTGAGATTGTATTGATTTTAAGAATTTTCTCAGTTTTAGCTTTTCCTGCGATTTTTTTTTTTTTTTTTTTTTTTTTTTTTTTTTTTTTTTTTTTAGTGACTGGCAATCCATTAAAATATTAATTGGGGTTATGTTCTATTGTTGTGAACCAAACGATAGAACATAATCTCAAACAAAAATTTTAGAGTTTAAGTTGGAAAAGCTGAAAATGCGAAAATTCCTAGCAATTTCACTTTTCATTGCCATTTTGTACTCATAAGAATTAAAAATCTATCACAAAAAACCCGTTCCCTCAGATTACTCAATTTTTTTTTATTTTGTTATTTTGTTTTATTTTTTATTGGGTGAAATAACAACAATCTACAGATACAGTATTTAGTTGAAGTTGGATAAGAAGCCTCAGGGGAACATTGAATTTTGAAGCTATGTTTACATGTTGAACCAATCGATATCGATACAGTCTCACCTGTTTGATGTATCGAACACGCTTCATTTAGGCTGATGCCAAGATCTGACGTTTTCACTTAAATTTTAGATTAATTAATACTCAAATACGAATAGTAAAGTATACATGAAATTCAAAAAATGTAATGATCAGTTGAAATCACTCAAAATTTCACGTTCAAAATCATCATTATTTTGACAAGAGCAAAAAAATATAATTTTAAAATAAAATGTAATTTTTACAAATAATAAAGTCTTCTCCATCCGGGTTGATTCGATAACTTAGTCTGTGCAACATTTTGTAGGAAAATGGGTGTATCATTTTTCGAAACATCTCAGTTTCTGGCTCTTAATTTTTGCAATCTTAATACCAGATTCAAGCTGTTCTTTAATTATACTTTTGAGTCGATAAAGTTGTTTAACTTTTATACGCACGAGAATAAAGTGATGATAAAAAAATCACTCCTTGCTCTGACTCTTTTTTCGCTCGTAGAAAAAGAACTTGGCCGCCGTCTCAGAGCAAAGTGACAAATTACAAGTTTCTTTGAAAGGGGACGCTTGAGCGTCCTTGAGCGCCTTCATTTTGAGTGGAAGCAATATACGTATCCATCAAACAAGAATAGTTGCATCTTGCATCTATGCAGGCGCTACGCAACTTCGCTTTACCATCTAAGTAGCGTCAGTGGTTGTTGTTGCATTGTGCCGCTTGTTTGGCAATATTTGGCTTGATGATGCTCAACTTTCGTTCCTGTTCTCATTGAAAGAAATGTAGTTATGTTTTTATTTTTATCTTAAAGAGCATATATTTTATCCATGCAGCGAGCTAAGATTAGTGATTCTAGCGGATGCATGATGGGATATGCAATTTTCTGGCGCATGAGGAAAGATTTGAGTATATTTAAAGATTGTTTTCTAGAGAAAGAAAAATGAAAGAGAAAATATCATCGAAACCTTAAAACTTTCCCACAATTTTCATTTTAATCGTTATTTATTCAGATATATTTATAAAATCTGGCTAAGTTTTTTTAATATAACTGGATTTCATTTTACGGCAAGGAACCTATTTTTGGCTCATCTAAAGCCACTATTTGGGCTGTAGACTCCACTAGACTCTGGGCCAATTTCCACTGAAAGAGCGCAGCATCTGTTTGATGTTGTCCTTTTCAGCACGTTATTGTACTTGCTGTCCATGCCTTCGTTTTCCCCCGCAAATTTCGGAGTTATTTCGCTGCTTCACGAGTTTTTTGCCACCGGATAAAAAGTATGTTTCGAAAGTATAAATCCAATTCATTTTTCCTATATTGATCATAACACGTCTTCAATATGAATGACAAGATTCGGACTAAAGAACCTTTTATAGTAATTTAAAGCCTCAGATTTCTTTAGAAGAACCATTTCATGCCTTTTTTTTAAAAAAAAAAAATAATTTCAAAATTTTAAAAATTTGGTCAGCATGAAATGGGTAAATTTTTGTTGTTGGAAAAAGTACCTATTTGGACAGTTTAAAGTAGACCAAAAGATGTTTTAAAAAAACCATCTATCCGGCTTCTTAGCTAAATTTCAAATGCCTGTCATCTAGAAGGGGGTTTATATACCTTGAGATCAGCTCGAGAAAGGTTAATAAAACCTTAGGACTCAAAGTTTAAATAGAATAGAACAATCGGTATTTGTAAGAATGACATACAAACCCTGCTATTGTAATTGGTTGTTCGAAGATCCTTTGGTATTCCAAGATTTTTGTAAACCACCTTCCTGACCGTCGCGGTCTTTTCTTTCAGTAAGAAAGAGGGAGAATCGCTCGTGACTTCGTAATAATAAATAGCATCTCTAACATTCCGGTAAACGTACGCCAGTTCCTCATCCGCTTCTTCATTTGAGGCTCTCGGCTCATCAACAAGTGCTGGAAATTTATCCTGCCAACAGATTTAGCAGAGCACAAGGTATTGACAATCCTCGCAAGGCGCTAACATTGTTTTTCTTCCATTCAATCCAATTAAAAGTATCGATTCTAGACGAGACAGCTTGCCTCATCTAGAATCGATGGTTTTACATACATTTATGTGGGGGGAAATACAAATAGTTTTGTCAACTTGCAAGAATCGCCCCTGAATGAGGTACCCACTGGTTAGTCATAGGCTAGGGGAAAAATTTCTCGAGATTTGAAAAAGCATCTTACAAACTGCGCAGAATGGACGCTGACAAGTATCTTTCAAACTTATTTGAAGTGTCCATCGTGATTTTTGTGCAGGGGCGGATCCGGCAATTTGGCAACAACGGATTCCCCCCATTGAAACCTATGTTAAACAATCGATTCTTGTCGGGGCACCTGACCCCTCCAAGAATCGATACATTTCCATAGGTTTAAATGGAGAAAAAAAAAAGTGTTGCCAATTTGCTGGATCCGCCAATGGTTTTGTGTAATTTTACGTATGGTAAAAATATCCACTTGGCTTTATCCATCGCACGCAACGGACCCATTGAACCCCGAAAAACTTATGCCTCGTCTGCGTATGCATTGATTGTGCAATTGCAATGGAATTTGTCTCAAATTTCAAAGACAAAATACATGCTTCTAAAGGAGGAAAAAGACAAGAAGGAATTTTGAAAGAAAAAGAAAGCGAAAATGAACGCATATCATGAGTCAGAATAATCGGAAGATGCTCGTTGATTTCTTAGAATTGCCTATAATTTCCTAGGAATAATGCGGCGAGGAAAAGAAAAAAAAATCATTGTTTACATTTAGTAAGAGGACTCGAAGGATGCAGATTAATATCTTTGCTCAGTATTTGCTGGCAACGACGTAGGTAAGTAAACCATTATCTAGCTCGATAAATCGTATTTAGTGCACATTCGGTAAATATGATACCTAAAGTGCAATTTTAGCTTCAGGAAGCAGAGCTGCAAAGGGCGTGTGGTCTAATGAGGGAGAAATACGGTACACCTGGGACTGTGTTGCGCAGTGGTCCTGATTTGTTGAACTTCGAATCGCTGGGAGGAACTGGGAGAGATTTTTTTATCTTATGAAAGTCTATTGAAAAATTCGATCAAAAGCCACAAGAATCCGGAGTCAAACAAAAACAAAAAAATAACAAAAAAAACCGCAAGTATGAGGACGAAGAAAAAAATTATCTGAGTTTTGAGAAATAATAAAGCTGTCTGTTTGAAAATTGAACAGGTTTACACATCGTCCCAATTTCCTCCCAAATTATCGAGGTACTCTGAGAAAACTTTTTTATGTTTTATATTTACATTTTTTTTTATTCAACTGAAAAAAATCAATAAAAATACTTTTTTCAGCTACTTTCAAGGTCTCTCCGCTGTTTCTTGAAAAATTCGGGGAAAGGGTCAAACCAGTTCTACGTAATTTATATGGGTTGCGAAGTTAGCCCCACTGTAGTCTCAAAGTTGGTAGTGAAGAGAAAGGTGGCAGGCGAAAGGGGGGAGAGAGGCGGGGGGGCGGAATCTACCTTAATGATGAGCACAAAATGGAAACAAACTTAAGAACTTAACCTAAAAATACCCGTCTTGCAACTATGTACAAAAGAAAAGAAGTTTTAAGTCGAGAGATTGTGTGATTATACGTTGAGGCAACAAGACTCTAGTTTTATCCCTGAGCCATTGATGCCAATTTGGAAGGATCTCTAACACTTTTTTTCATTTTAAAAAATAAAAACACGTTCAGAAAGTAGAGACTGGCAACGCGAACGAGCAAAATAGCAAAAATCGCACATAGTGGAAATTGAGTTTAATCAAGGAGAAGTAGGTAGCAGGTTTCGGATTCCCTTCGGAAGGAGTGAAGGTGACATTTTGTGGCGACATTCCAGGACGTTCTAAAGTTACATTCTATTGGGCTAGCACGAACGGGGAATACCGGCTATTGCCATTATTTAATTGCAGTTCTTATACCAATATTACCAGAATTTTACCAAGTCCAGACCGCATGCTTCTTACCGAAAAGGAAGTCTCATCACAGAAAAAAATGCGACAGGCACGGCTGCGGTCAAAATTGCGTTTTCGCCCCTTTTTCGGCAAAGATATATCTTTGTCTAAAAATATGGAGGGACAACTATTAATACCATGTAAAAATAGGCAAAAAAGTGTTCTAGAGCCTGCATTATGAGGGATTTGGAGCGAAGGCATTGTGTTCAAAAAGACATGGAGATCGGCTAAAAAGCGCGATTTACCGTCATCACTCAAGAGCTCGGGCGCGTCCACTAATAAAAATTTTAAAAAAAAAAGAATATTCTTTCTCCGTTCTCTACTAAAAACTTTTCAGGAAGTCAAACGATATAAAATCGAAAAATTTGAAACTGAGGATCACCCTAATGCGATCAGCACTGCTTCAAACTGTCAAAACTGTCAAAAATTCCATGTCTTTTCACGGAAAATTGCTGAAAGAAAGCTTCATAGCCGTCTGTAAACCATTTCCACCGTCAAAGTATATCACTAGGCACAAGAAATAATTACTTACAGTATTTTACATTAAATGTGGGGCGAAATCATGGGCCGAAACGCCGAAAAAACTCGATTTTTGACCAATATTTGGGCCATTTGGCAACACAGTTAGTGAGCGACCCAACGGTACCTTCGATAATTTTTTTTTATTTTTTTTTTATGGTAACCTTTCATTTTAAACATGAACGCAACTTTTCTACCCTAACGCGAAACTGGAAAAAATAATTGGGGAATGAACTGACCCAGGCACGGATGTCCGCGTTGCATGTTGCATACGCACGGAAGTAAAGGCGTTTTAACTCTCCAGGCACCTCTCATCCAGCGGCGCGCGGCGGCGGGCAATACTGCGAGGATCGGAAAAGACGAAGCGCTTCTGATTTTCGTTTGTACTATAAAGACATCTCATAGACACGAATGATTTCAAACAGGTGTAGGATTTGAGTATCCTTTGTGTTTGTGCTTCAGTTTTGATACTATGATGTGCTGAGCATGATCTGTGGAGCAAATACACCTATCTCGGAGGTGTCTTTGTAGTATGTATATACGTCGAAGTAAAGGCGCTATGTCTTATGGATCCTTGCTGTGCTGCCTGCCGCCGAGCCGCACGGTAGATCGAGTCAATCAGAAGGGTTGGACATAACATTTTTGACTAAAACCGCAAATTTTGATGTTTAATCGGTCACATTTTAAATTTCAAGGGGTGCTTGTAGCAGTAAATTGCACGAGGAAACCAACGGAATCACTTTTAGAACCGCAAGGTGTATATAAACGGAGTTATAAGTGTTTAAAGTTTCCGAATTTTGTCCGACCTTTCCTATTGACTTGGTCCCTTATGTGCGCAGTGCTGCGGATGAAAAGGTGAGTGCCTTGAGAGTCAAAACGCCTTCACTTGCATGTGCATGCATCACGCACATCCGTGGAGCTCGAATAGTTGCCGCCAGACTAAGGCGCTTTGCTTGCTGCTATTTCAAACCTTGAGAATTCCCATGATACCTATTTAAACTGTTCCTGACTTTCATCGCAACATTGTTTGTTTCCCTGAAAATGCATAGTTTGGACTTTTCTATTTTTTTTTTCTTTTGGAAAAAAACTTGAATTTTAAGCGCGAACGACGAATGCGACAGTGTCGCTTCATGGACAGTTCGGGTAAATTATTCAAGCAGCATTCCAGCATTTGTTTTTTAAAAAAGGTCCAGATTGAAATGTACATCAATCTATGGTCAGTTTAGAACCGGGTGAGGCAGGATGTAAAGCTTGTGCAAAAAATGTCTCACAATATTGATTGCTTTAAGTTTAAAGTCATCGAATTGGAGCTCTAGTGGACCGGGTTGCCAAAGAGAAACAATAAAGAAATACATGAATAAATAGAAGAATAAGGAAATGCAAACCAGGTCATCAAGGTAGACGTTTTCAATGGAATAGAGATGTTTTTCGTAACCACGCTCATCAAAGTAGATCATGTCAGGACGAAAATCCGCCATTTCCACTGCAATAATTAATTAACGAAATCGAAAAACTCACATAAATGTTGAATAATGACTAATTCAAACAAACGATTTCCACACCTGAGTCTCTTTATTATGAGATTCGTACAGCAGATGCTGAATTTATCAGATAAAGCTGATAACGCGATGCGGCAGATGCGACGAAACCAATTTTGATAAGGTGTTCAATTAATGAAGAGAAAGTGAGAGAGCGCAAACGTGTGCCTTATCTTACAGATGATAGCATCCCCACGTAAAAGAATAAGAAAACTGTCATGTAATTACTCATTTGCCGAATTATTATAAGTAATCGTTCTTTGAGGTAAAAGTCGCCTTCAAAATATTGCCTAGGCAGTCCCCTAACGGTCGCGCGTTAGAATACGAGCCCTATATTTTAATTATTTGTCGGGATTTTAAAATTTCGTTAGAATAAATACGAGGCAGCAGGCGATATAATATTCGCTGATTTACGTGGAAATGATCGAATAATAAAATTCAAGGAATAATCGAAGTAGCGCATTTTGCGAGTTATAAATAATAATATTGTCTGTAAACGCATGTTTTTGTCGCTTATTAGTGCAGTAAATGCACTATTTGAACTTCAAGCCCATCATCAACACACATTACCATAATATACTATGGAAAAATCACAAATTAAGCCAAAAAGTATCACGACGCTGTTATAGTATTTGAAAGAGTTTAAATAATACAAATAAAAACAATTAGAAACTTAAAAATTCAAAACCTCAGCAAGTATAATCGCATATTTATCGAGATATAGGTATTATCTAAATCTTAAAAAATACTGTGTTTGATACCAAGATGGTCCAGTAGAGGGCAGCGTACACATCGGAGCAAGTTGAAAAAAGTGGAAAGGTGTACAAAATGCGTATGAAAGTAAGACTCCCTTATTTTATTGAATTTTAATTTTAGTTTAAGATATTTGAGCGGGTACTGAAAGACGGTAGTAGTATATAAATAAGATAAAACATAGTAGCAGCACTAGCACTAGAATTAGCAGCACTAGCACCAGAAGTAGTAGTAATAGTAGTAATTGTAGTAGTAGTAGTAGTAGCGGTAGAATTTATTTGAAAGAGGAAAGAAACAAGAAAGAAAACCATTAGAATGTCCCTCTTTTCCAGAGACGAAACATAATTTCTCAGTTCAACTTTTGATTGATTTTTTTTCGAAATTAAAGGAAACTCGCAGAGATTTTATTTTATTGAAGCTAATTTTTGGTTGCCACTCTTTCACGCCGTCTCCAGAACACGGCAAGGCTCAAAAAGTTACCGATCGCTGAGGGATGCTCGCGCGAAGAATATACCCGGAATTTACAAGGTTTCTTTCGATTGTTTAAATCGACGACCCGTAGAAAAGTTTGTCGGTTTCAAACTCTGAACGATTTTGTTCGAGGGAGTTCCTGATATCAAGAGGTGTGCTGAATCAGTGATGCGCGCTCGGGTTGCTCCAGCACGGGGAGCAGTGGCGTGGCGTGAATTGCGATGTATCGATTGTTTTGCCATTTAAACCTATGGTAAAGAATCGATTATTAAGGTGTTCGCTGCGAAAACCCTGTTTATCGATTCTTTTCCATAGATTTAAATGGCATGACAATCGATTTATCGCAATCCACGCCACGCCACTGACGGGGAGCGAAAATTGGGACAGGTTCCCCGGCAGAAACGTTGTATAGGTCATAGGTAACGCAATCCCCGTGCAGTTATAATTATAATGATATTGCAGGAAATGCCTACAGGATCATCTATTGGATGTACATATGCATTTACATATCGAAATTCAAAGCCTGTCTCCGTTGCAGTGTTTCAAAATCCCCACTCTCATTATTATATGTACGTATTTCTGCCAAACGGAACTATGTGCATAATAACGTGAGCCCTGTTTTGCATGTATTCTTATGGGTCTCAGGGCTCATGTCTTAATGCACATAGTTCCGTTTGGTAGAAATGCGTCCATATGTATAATTAAAACGGAACGAGCTAACGCTATTGCTTGAACTTTTCACGAAATTCTCTTCACAAACATAGAGGAAGTTCAGGGAAATTTTCAAAAAATGTCGAAGGTTATTTCTCTATTCCAAAAATAAATATTATGAACACGAATTCTGCAGCGTCGCAAACCAAAATATGCGTTTTTGCAGCTTCACTGGCATTATGCGGCACTACAATATTGTTGAACAGCATTAGTATTGGAGGGTGGTTATATAGCACTTTAGAGAGCGATTTGGGCTACATTTCGAAATTTGGGACCACAATTTCCGGCCCAGTTGAGAAACAACGTATGTACCTTTAGTTTCTCCACGTACATAGGTTTTTTTACGGATGAGCCAGAAATTATATAGTTCCTATAATCGGAAAATGAAGTTGATTTGATGATGGAACGATTATCTCTGGAGTAGATGGCGGAGGGCATTAAAAAAAAAAAAAAAAAAAAAAAAAAAAAAAAAAAAAAGTCTATCCCGTAGAAGTATGTTAGGTATTCGAACGAAAACTTTTACCGAAAAACTTTCTGTATTAAACTTCTGAAAATGCGTAGTGCTGTACGCAAAGAAGCGAATGTTTCAAATTGTTTTTTCTCTCGATTTGCAATTTTTATTCGGGACGTAGGTTTTGAAGTTATTTTAAAATACTTCGCGATTAAATCTTGTATACACGAACCTGTCAAGCTGCAACGTATTGTATAATTCGAGGATTTTTGGAAACAAAAATCATGAAACTTAAAAATTATCAATCGATGGCTTGATTATCGAGTAGTTGTCTAAAATTCTGAAGATCCATGCTGTAGAATCTCAAAAGTATGCATTCTGTCTCTTTAAATCAGTTAAAAACACCATTCTGCATGCCGTGCATGCACACGAGGCCTTATATGTAACAATGGCGGATGTGAAAAATTACCTTGTCGAAACGGGAAACACGCTTAAAAAACTGTTTTGCTCACACAAAAATTTAATATGTTTGGCTCTGGCATAATGTACAGATCTCGAAGATCACATCTCAAGTATTTTCTCAAAATTTTCTCGATGCCAAAACAGCTTTTTGAATGTGTTACGAAAAGGTAATTTTTCACATCCGCCATTGTTACATATAAGTCCTCATATATTTACTTCTTATTTAATTCATTTTGCAAAGTTCTATGTGGTATTAATACTTCCAGCCGTCAATGATTATTGAGTAATTAGGGCAAACAGAGCAATGGCGCTGTGTTGAAGTAGGCTCAAAAATCATAATGACTTTTTTACTCATCAGAGTGCACTTTAAATAGTGAAAGAGTAAAAGTTTAGTCATTCGCAGTGCACTTTTTCATGTCTTCGATTGATTTAGTTGGATGCATGAAACCGTATCACTCCGCCTCCAAGAGAAAACCAAGGAGAGAAAGAGTGATTGTCTAAGGCGAAGGATCTGTCCTTTTTCCTCTAGTCACAGAACTTTGAACTTCCAAAAGTGGAGGGAGTGGTACATCGCCAAGCCTCGAGCCGTAATGAATTAGTGCACGAAGGCACCGAGCCTCGATTAGAAGACATGAATCGAAACTCTTGACTGGTAAAACTTATAAATTTAAGACCCTTACCCGGGCCAATACAGCGTATATTATGTATCTGTGACGTCAGCGCGTTTGTAGCCAATGAGGAGCGGGCTCGGGGGGCGATGAATGAGTTGTAGCCTCTGTGCGGGGGTGGGATGGAAACCCTCGGTGGTGGGGGCGTCGGAGAGAATGAGGGGAGTTGGGGGTTTCCCGGGGGGGTCGGCGAGAGAGTGTGATCAATAACCGGGAGAGCCCGGCTCGGCCGTGTTTTCGCCCGTCAGTGTAGACTCGTTGTGGGCTCTCTCTGTGACGCGGGTCACCTATCGGCACGATGCAAGGCGTTGTTCGCGGTTCTGTGAATGTGACGCTCGGGCTCGATTCGCCAGGACACTAGGTAGGTGCACTCTGTCAATTCAAAAAGCCTATTCGATGTAAAATCATCAGAAATGTGAATCGATGGGCCCACGGAAGAAATAATCCGATTTCGATCGAGGGAGGTCGCGTGCGGTGCCTATAGGTTAATCAGCGCGCGCAGCGCTATCTGCTAAGGAAACTTTCTTCTAACTTCAAATCCAATTTTATCGACTGGCGTGTATTTTAGAAACGTGATAGAGCGAGAGTAACCAAAATAAAATGGGGGGGAATAAAATCGAGCACGGTACCTGCATAGTTGCACGTAACGAAATTTCTAGGTTATGCAAGAACTCCTTAAAGAATGTGCTGCTATGACTCACTTTTGATCTAAAGTTAATTGGACTTTCAGTTAAAAATTCTGCTTATAGATGAAACCGACGATAATTATAAGTTACGAGGGGGAGAGGGAGGCTATATCATAGTTATTATTCTTGGTTGTTAATTTATTCCAGAACAAAAATCGATTTCCGCAGGTCTTCGGCTTGGAGGAAGAACCCATTTATTTTTTGAGTTTCAGCGTATTGAGGACGCATGCTAGAGTAGGAAATTATACTCATAAAGCTCTTGATGGCTGAGTAAACTCTCTACTTTTATTATTCTTTTTGCAAAATTGAGATTAATTACACGAACGGAGTTCTGCAGAGAGGCATCGCGAGTGGCAATCAATTGGAGCAAAGAAAAAGAGGTCTGCATGCAGTTTTACTCCTTCATGAGACTCAATGTAAGGGCGGATCTTCAGCACTTTGGGAAACGGAATCGATAATCGATCGATTAATTGATAATTTCTGTATTTTAGAGGATTTTTTCGCGCATCACATCACGTCGCAGCCCATCAGGCATTTGTCATCAAAAAAACTTTTAAATAGCTTTTAAACTACAACACGAATCAATGGGGAAGACTATTTGCGGTATTCTCTTGGGGGTATACTTTCGGAGTTATTCCAAAGTGTGTCTCGGTCAAATTATGTTTACAGATACTCGTCGGACTGCACAGTGATGTCATGCTCGGAGATTTTAAAGACATCTCCTATAATCCAGAAATTATCTAAAATGCTGAAAACCCATCTCAAGGATGAAGCTGAACCTCTATTTTCACATTCGAAATATTATTTTCCGACTCAGAATAATTCATGGCAGAGGAAAATATGTAACATTAATCAAGCTCAAAATAACTCCCTTTCCCCCCGAAAGAAGGCTTGGTTGGTTCCCTCCAGTCTAACCGGATCAATTTTTTCACAAGTAAATTAAAATCACGGGTTAACAAATGAAGGGAAAGTTAAAGTCATTAAAAAGAATCAACGATTTTTTGAAACTCGACATCCTTTCGCGTTCGAGCTTCAGTTTTAGCGTTATTCTTTGACGATGCCAATTGTCGGTTAAATAAGTTTCAGGAAAAGAGAAGGCTCTATATCCCTCCCTCTGTTTTTTTTTACCCTGGTTATCCATGTAAGTTTGCAACGCCGTTTTTGTGCCACTTAAATATATTATAAACATCGACCGTGGCTCGCGTAGAATCGATTGTTCTACATACATTTAAATGGGACGGATTCCAATGCTGTCTATTGACAAGATCCGCCAACCTTGAAGGTTAAAAAACATTCAAGTGAAATACAAAGTGACTTGAACATACCGCTGGATTTTCCTCAGAGTCGAGAATAGGATCCCTTGAATCAAGCAGGTCTCTGCTTAATATAAGAGACATTCTTCTAAATTGATTTCAGCATATTCTCTTTTGGATTTGAGACGAATGTCCTCTTGGTGGCTAGTTCAACAATATCCCTATTTGAATCAAGCCATTCTTTTTACCATTAGCAGAGTCCAAAAAAAAAAATGGCGGGGGGGAGGAAGAGACAGGGGGTGTATGACGGTAGCATCAGAACAGCGCCGGCACGGTAGGCGTGCGACGTGGCAGAGGGACGTTTTAAATTGTGCCTTGGCTGCGCACCTCTTGCACGTTGACAACCCTGTCCATCCTTCCGCATTTAACTCGATTATAAATGATCGATCTGAGGTGATGGAAATCGATTATTTTAAAACAAATTCAAGTAGGCAGTGCTGCCAATTTTCAAGAATCGACAATGTACAGTACCGGCGCGGCGCTTCGGACTGTTCTAATATGTGTTGTAGGCAATTAATTAACTTGCCGATTCCCTCCGGTATAATCACTCTTTGGTGCTCAAACAAATATTACAATCCACAGAGCCCGAATAAGTGTGACGCATGAAGAACAATAATTGCACTAGGCGCCATCATAACAAAGACGCTAAACGAGAGGGAAAGTAAAAAATATGAGGAAAATGAGGGTTTAAAAAATGAAGAGCAACGGAGAGATTCTCCCTATAAAATTTACCAGAGCAAATAGGCATTGCGTAATTACTGTCAAATATTGTCCTTTTTCTGTCCGCCATCAATTTTGCGCCTTAGGCAACAAATACGAATAGTTACCTATTCGCAAAATATACATTTGTATCGCTCCATGACCTTTGACAAAAACGATGAACGGTATTGTTGAGCTATTGGTAGGCACCGTCCATCTAAATTTCGCCTTCAATTTCGCTACATACGCAAAAACATACCGAAGATGGCTCTTCGTCATATTTTCGTAATACACTCACTTATATATCGCTCCACGAGATTTAATTCGACCATTAAACGACGTTCTCAACCGGTTGATAGATATCGGTCCCGTTGCGTGCCATATTTACCTTTACTTTGGAATTATATGTCTTCCTCAAATTTCCACTTTTAATTTATGGGTAGTATTTTTATCACTCAAACTGGAAAAATCACAATCTGAACAATACTAGCCTGCCTAAAGTTTGAATTTTTAAGTTTTTACAGTCGTCAATAGCAAGTACAATATGTAATATTTTAGAACATTGGAGTGATGCTTACTTCACAGTTTATCAAATACGGCCATTAAAATGCTAGAATGTAGAAAGAATCATTTCTGACTTAGGAAAATGAGGGAATTCGTGACTTTTATCCTCAATTTTCCGTTTCATTTTTAATAAGCAAAGGGACGGAAATTATACTAATTATACTCAATCTGCCACACTACATTTTTAAAATTCTTCGAGGATCCTCCTCTGGGTCCCTCTTTCCCTTTAAAATAGTTCAGCATGTTTTCTTTTTTTCATCACAATATCACAAGAAAAACGAATTACTGACTGCACAAATTCTGTTTCTCTAGTTCTTTAATGCAAAATGTGGTCCAATATTCATTCAGTATCGAAAAAACTCAAAAGATTCATGCATTTAGCGGTGTTGGTATAAGGAAAAACCCCAGTGAAACTCGAGTCTCTTTTGTAACATCCATAATGCCTACCTCCACAGGATGAATTTTTCTTAAGTCGCTAACACACGTACACTCCGAATGTACATCCTGGCCTAGTGCGCATTCATTTTGTTCTCTTGATCAACTATAAGTTAAAGGAATGAGTAAAAGATCGTCACGGGTTTTTTCTTCTTCTCGTCAAACTGTACATTCTTTTCCAAGAGAATGATGAATGTACATTCTCGATGCCCGCGCATGCGCAATGGGCCAGAATGTACATTCGGAGTGTACGTGTGTTAGCGGCTTAAAAAGATGTACTCATGATGCTTGAGGAAAAGTTCTCTTCCAATTGAGCGTGGGTATTTCGCAAAATTCACTTCTCATTTTTGAATATTTGATGAATGTTTAAAGCGTTAAAAGCGCTCCATTTGTGATCCACTTTCCGCCGATTAAAGTTCTGCGGTCGAGACGAGCAGGGGTATCGGAGTTTCGCGCGCGTCTTTTAAGGGAGTAATTTGAGACCGACGGAGCTTACAATGAACTTTAAAAGAAATGAAGCGGCCTCAAATTATGACGCAGTTAGGTCTCGAGAGAGGAGCGAAATTAATGATGATTTCATCTAACTTTCACGCCTAATCGACGAGACACCTCTTTGCTCTCCGACCTTTATCAACGGCCGATCCATTAATCTGATTAGGTATCTAATACGAGCGAGGAGTTTCCCGCTAAGTACAAGTTTATCAGAAACATCAAGGGTGGAATAGAGTGCCTGCATAGCGAGAGTATAGACAAACTCCGAAAATCCATCAGGCCTTCACCAATGCCTCCGCGAATAAAGTTAGGGCCCAGAAATGCAGCCAACCTATGAATTTCAATTATCCAGAGCGATTTATAAATACAATTGTTACGAACCATCGTTTATAAAGCACGTATTTGACTTAGTTTTTGCATAAATTTACTCATTTTTGTGGAAGAACGCTCATTTATGTACTTTCTTAGCCATCTTCGTTAGAATTGGAATCTACAGACTGGCAGTGAAATTTTGTGCGTTAGAAGTTGGTTAGAAGGGTGGCTGCACTTTTGGGCCCTAAGCCCTCCATGAAGCGATGTGTCCATACTCTCGCTATACAGGTACTCCAGGGTGGAAAGACGGTTGAACTCCTCGGTACATTTGTTGGATCTTTCGTAACAGCAATTTCCCTCGGATCTGTTAGGTATCGATTATATTCGCGTGTGCTTAATTTAATACTGCCGTGCTAAGGAAAAAACACCGTATGAACCTTCAGGCGTTGCCAAATTTTCTTCAATAAAACACGAATTTCCTGATAAACATATAAATATTTTTCTTCCAATTTTTCATATAATTTTGTTCGCATTTTCACGTATAGTTTCTAAAAATTCCGAGGGAAAATATTCATAAAATGCCTCAAAAATAAACATTTTATCGAAGGAAATTTGGCAGCTCTCGAATGTTCATACGGCATTCTTCCTTAGCACGGCAGAATACTCCTTCATCTGATAAGCAGTGGTGATTTTCCAAAATGGCAACACTGTTTTTCCCTCATTCAAATCCATTGAAAGTATACCTAATCTAACATCTCTCTATTCTGGGATAGACGCTCTTAATTTCTTCCATGGAATTATTCATAACAAAAAATCGCTCACGCACAATCCCATTTCAGAGGGCAAAATGGGCGGTTTCT